AGTCTGTGGCATTCTGTACTGACTATATCAAAACAATCTTGTAGTCATAGATACCAATCTGATACTTCCTTTTCAAAATGAGAGATCCCTCAAGCAATACCAAGCAAGCCCTCCCAAGGCAAAAGCTGTATCTCCCCCGTCCAAGGCCTCTCCAACGACAAAACATCATAACTCCCGAGAGCCCAGCCCCTGACCCCCTCACCTTCCGGAAACTTGAAACTCACCTCCTCCTTGCTAAAGTTGAGGATCGTGATGGTATGTCTGCCGTTACTGAGTCTCTTGAACGCAAAGACGTTGGCGTGCGTGCCATCAATTATCTCAAGGTCTCCGTACACGAGCAGGTCTTTGAACTTTTTGCGTATCTGGATACTTCGCTGCCAGAACCTATAGGGTGACACGAGCATGGTGCGGTCGGTTGCCCGGCCTGCGGAAGTCTGTAGAGCTGCGTTGACGATTGTGTAGTCGTCGTTTACGCGCATCCAGGGCTTGACTCCCGCGGGGCAGAAACCACCGTTGGATGTAGAGTCCCACTGCATAGGGGTCCTAGCATTGTCTCGCGCCTTGAGGCGCAGAAGGTCCTTGGCCTCTTTTCTTTCGGCAGACCCTTCTGGGAATTGAGCACAGACACTGTACCATGTCAGTAGGTGCTAAAGTTGATAAGAGTAATGAGGCTTACTTCTTGATGTAGGCAATAGACTCAATGTCTTTGTATTCCTCTAGTGCCCAGGACTTGGGCACGTTTCTCATACCAAGCTCTTCGCCCTGGTAGACGTACAGGGTACCAGGGAGGCTTGTCTGCATGATGGAGAGGAGCTTGGTGCCTGCGACACGATGCTCATCCGAGTCGTCGCAGAAACGCGTGACAGAACGCGGCTGGTCATGATTCTCGCAGAAGAGCGTGTGCCACCCATCCTGGTTGACGAGCTTGCAGGCCTTGGCGACTATGTCCTTGAGCTCACAGACCTTCCACGCCTTATTGCTGAAGCGGCCTTTCTCGGGAACGATGTCGAGGTCGAGCATCTCAAAAGTGAAGATCATGTTCAGCACGCCTTCTTCAGCCGCGACCATCCTGAGTCTCTCCTTTTCATCGTCAAGGTACGGCATCTCGCCGACCGTGACGGCGTCGTACTTGGAGAAGACGGCGGTCTTCATCTCCTGAAGATAGTCCATGAGTTTGACCCCATTGGCGAAGTAGCATTCACCCGGCTGGTACTTCCTGCCCGAGTGACGGATCTCTGCGTCAGGGAATCTCTGGTCCTTGGAGATGAGGTTGATGACGTCCATCCGGAAACCAGCGACGCCCTTGTCGAGCCAGAAGAGCAAGATATCGCAGACTTCCTCTCTGACGAATGGGGTCTCCCAGTTAAGATCGGCCTGGAATGGACTAAACAGCGAGAGATAATACTCATCTGTCTTGGAGTCGTAGGTCCAGGCTGATTCAGTCTCGTCAAAGAGGCTGCACCAGTTGTTCGGTGGCTGCCGATTACCCTGCTGGTCGTACTTTGGCTTGCGCCAGATGTACCAGTCTCGTCGCGCGCTTGTGGCGGACGAGGCTGAGTCGATGAACCAGGGATGCTATAGCGTCAGGTGAAATCAGTCACGTTAAACAGGACACATAATTTGAAAGGCTATCTTACCTCGGTCGACGTGTGATTGACCACCAGATCCATGATGAGCTTCATGTCGCGTGCTTTGAGCTCGTCAATTAAATGGTGCACGTCCTCCATGGTGCCGTAGGGGCGATGGATATCGCGGTAATTCGACTGCGATAGGGTCAGTAAGTGCTACATTAATTTTCATGGGGAAACGTGTGTCGTACAATGTCGTATCCCATGTCCTTCTGGGGACTTTCGTAAACTAGAGCGCGTGTTAGATTGGAAGCGCGTCACTATGGATGGGATAGGTCTTACTGGGTGAAATCCAAAGAATGTCCACTGTGAACACTCGCGCGTCAGATCATGAGCATAGAAGTAGGGAGATCAGCTCTTACCGCCCAATTCTTTGAGGTAGTCCAGCTTAGCTGTGATCCCGTTGATGTTCCCGACACCATTAGAATCGGTATCAAGGAACGATGCGGGATAGATCTAACGATTGTATAAGTCTATGCAATGACAAGAGGAAAGTAGTTCAAACCTGATAGACGATGGCTTCCTTCCACCACTTCCTGTCAGGCGTTCTTCCAGAAACTTGACTCATTTTTGCAGCTTCAATGTTGGCAAGCTTGAAGTTTGGTAGTCGTTGACGTAGCCCATCAACTCTGACCGTTCGTTTATGCGGTAGATTATATAGACTCCTCGACCAGTGCACAAAGCTCCCTCGAACAGGTTTTCGCAAGAGTGCTAGCATTTTCACGTGTCTAGGCGGTCAAAACCATCATAATGCGTCATTACTTTTGATCGAGGGCTGTAGGTATTACGAATGCAGAGTAGCGATATACTTGTACGCGATAGATGTTTGCCTAATTGAGAGAGTGCTTTGACAGAAGAGGTGATTGCACTAAAAACTGCCGTGAATGACCCCGCGTTGATTACAGTCCATGATGAAAATTAAAAGTCATCATGTATGTAAGATGGTCTGATACACTTGAAGTGTGTTGGAAACTCTATGCTGATTTGAAATATTTGTTTGGGTGAGGATTAAATGACGATATCTTGAGTTGTCGTCAGGTTTCGTATAGATGCCCCGTATCTTTCGGGTTACAGTCAATCATCCCCACTCTGCACTGCACTGTGCTGAATGCATGAAACGAGATATGACGTGCGTCCAGCCAATCAAGTATTTCCCTTTTTGCACGGAAGCTCGTGTCAATCCTTGATTTTCAGGGTACTAACCAGAGCTAAAATAGCCGAATGAGCCCAGACAATCTTATCGAACGACTCCCGTTGTCAATGTCTTTAGTGTCCCCACTGCACGTCAGTAACTTCGAGCACTCGGTGTGGACCATTCTCACATACACCATCCTCAAACGGGACACTGAGTTCTCTGTGCTGATTTAAGTTATCAGCCACATGTCTCAAAGGAAGAAACACGTGAATGGAGATATTGAAAATATCGTGTTGTCATTCATTATCTGTGTTCACAGTCTAAGGCTTAACCTTATCGGCTGCCGTCATTCATAGCTAGCTACTTGCGCTAACCTGGCGAAATAACTCAACTGGGACACAATGGAAATAGAGCATCTTATTACGTGCTAGTACTACCGGCCTAACATCAAGCAGTAGTCTTATGAGGACCTTCACGGACAGCCCGCTCATCAGCCTTGACAGGCGGCAGAGACTCCGCTCCATCAGCAGCCAACCCTCCCTCTCGTCTCCCGGAATATCCCCTCTGGCCCTTTTCGACATTGGGCTTATCAGCAACCGTATCCCTAACCTTGTCGAACACAGAGTATTCTGTACTAGCACCGACACCCTCCAGACCACTGCGCTCCTTCTTTCTCTTCCTCGGATGGACTCCTCTGATCTCACGGTTCTCTTGGCCTATCAGTGGCCTGCCGTGAAGGGTGTCAGTAGAGTTGTAAATATCCTTCGACGTCGCGCCTGGCATGTCTAGAGCAGGCATGTTAAGGGGTTCAGTTGTGTAATTGGTCTCGGGATTCGGGTAGAATGTGTTCTCTGCGGGTGCAGTTCCTGGTGGGAAGGTCTCGGCGTGGTACTCTGGTGCGGTATCGTTGCCCTGCTCATTACCTGGCTTGTGCTAGAAATGGTGAGAGAACGAAATAATTGGGAGGATGCGGCTACTCACCCACTTGTTCACTGCAGGGTGAGATGGGTTGACGCGGGCGTGGAAGGGTCCTTGGCCGACGAGGGAATCAGGGTTTTTGGCCGCCATGTTGATTAATGTTATTGGTGTAGATGCGGGTGATAGCAGGTCGGGACGTAAATCAGAGCACTTAGAATGTTAAGACACAATAAATGATAATGGAGGAGAGTTTCCCTTTCCGCTGGCTTTGTGGATTTTTAAAGAGTGTCCAGTAGCGCCAGTGAGAGAATGACGATGAGCGACATGACATCAAGCACAGCGTATACTTTGCATCCTTAATCGCACAGAAGAAGCGATCCCAAGTGGCTGATGACGGCATACGTATTGCTCTCTCATACTACCATCATCGTGATTGATGGTTAAAGCTTATAATATGTCAGCAAGATGACTATAATGTTGACGTCATGATGGCAAACATATCTATCACGAAATAAGCACTGTTCTCTAACGCTTCTTCTGCTAAAGGCTAGTGTTGATGTCTAAGTTATGGGCTAGAAGTGTTATTTGCAGTTGAGACTGGTGGCTGTGAGCTTATTCCGGCAGAGAGAACCTAGATGAATTATAATGACTAAATGGTTGACATGCAATATTAAAATGGATATCCAGATATTGTCATTGGGCATGAGGACGAGGTTAAAGATTTGAGCACGGAATGGCATATCTCCAAGACTTTGCGGCGCGGAAGTTAATTCAAGTCCGCGGGGTGGAGCCATTTGATAAAGCTGACAATGAATATTGGCAAAAGATTCGTTGTCATCATTCAGCGTGAACCCTATAGCGTATTGCACAGCCACGTGGCTAGGAATGTTGAGATATGACCCGACTAAAGGGCGGCGGAGGGAAGATATTAAATCGCGTGAGGGCGGAACATAGTATGGCGCCAACGCAAAGATAAAAGCCGCGAGGCTGTAAAGTCCATCATTCAACCACTATCTAGAGTAAGTGTTAATAAAGAAATACATATAAATACGCTGGCGGTTTAGGATTTTGCATGATATAAACTATTTGCAACAACTACCTGGCTTCACGTTGTCTTTTCAAATCGACTCAGATTGATTCCCAGCTTTCAATTCATACCTATCTAATAAAGGGAAATGACAATGGATACCCCTAACCTAGGTGGAAACATCTTCTACCTAGCTTGTCATGCGTTCCTTATCGTGCCTCAGATATACTGGGGGGTACGCCACAAGACCTGGGGTTATCTCTTTGGCATGTTTTGCGGGCATGTTCTCGAGATGGTAGGCTTTGCAGCTCGGATCAGAATGCACTTTGGTCAGAGTGGTTTCTTGACGTAAGTCGAGACATCCTGCCATGACTTGAACGGCCCTTACAGTGCTGAACTCTAGATACATCATCACCATAACCATAGGTCCTGCATTCTTTAGTGCTGCAATCTACCTCTGCCTCGCTCGAATCATCACAGTCTATGGACGGAGTTATTCTCGCTTCAGCCCCCGCACATATACCATCACCTTCATGCTCTTCGACTTTATTGCGCTTGTCCTTCAAGCCACTGGTGGTTCTATGCTCGGCAGCGATGAGCGAGATACATTCAACATTGGTCTCGCGATCATCAAGACTGGACTAGCGGCGCATTTAGCAGCTATCTCAATATTTGTGATTTTGGCAAGTGAGCTTGCATATCGCATCTTTCGCCGTCAAGAGGACTGGGACCCCAAGTTTCATCAGCTGCAACGATCCTGGAAGTTTAACCTGTTTCTGTCTTGTAAGCTCAATCTCCCCCTGAGATTCTCAGGACGTCCCTAACAAAGTTTTAGGTCTCACAATCGCTACCGTCACTATTCTGATCCGAACGTCGTACCGGGTTGCTGAGCTGAGTGCTGGCTACCATAGCGCTCTAGCGGAGAACGAGACCGCCTTTATGCTTCTTGAAGGCATGATGATCGTCATTGCCACGAGCGCGCTCGCGATTGGTCATCCCGGTCCCTCGTTCCAGGGCCGCTACCAAGACGCTGATTTCCAGCTGAAGAAAGAAGATCATGCTGAGGAAGCTTCCAAGTCTGATTGCAACTCCCAGGAGCTTGCGTAAAGCACTCCTGGTCGAGAGGGCAAATGCCGATATGGACAGTCTCGCTGAGACTTACTGAATAGCAATTTCTATATATATAGAGCTGGTCTGGAGGGTTTGTTGAAGAAGCCATCGATCTGTAAAGAAACGATGATCGAAGGTTTTTGAAAGTAACAAGCGGGCCAAAAGCTATAGTTGCTATCATACAAGATATAATTTAGTTGGTATTAGAGGACATCAAATAAGTAGTATCAACTATGTGAAGTCCGGATAGGCAGCTCATGGTGTGATTTGCCACTTTTCTTTTCTACCTTTGTTTTCCTGGACTTTTCCTCGGGTGGGTAGGCCAGTTGAGCCACACGTTGCCAATCCTCATCAGCCTCAAAATCTCTCCTGATTGGCTCCAGAAGCTCGTTGAGTGTTTTTATCAGGGCAGGTTTGATCATCTGCGGTGTCAGAACATCGCTGGCGTAATCCTCTTTGAGCTGACAAATGTCTTCGTAAACCAAAGTTTCACCGTCACTTCTTTCAACCATGAATCTTGGCTTGCCGCTTGTCTTTAGCGACTCAACCCGGAAGATGACATGCTCTATAAACGCAATGACGCCGTTGCCTTCGATCTGCCTTGGGGCGCATACAGCCTTTCTGAGCTTTTTGGTGACTTCTTGTGGACTATCGAGAATATTAATCTTGGAGCTCGGCTCACTTGAACTCATCTTCTGTGCCTCTCCAAGACCGGGGACCATGGCGTTCATTAAATGTGCTCGCACTTTGTAGCCAAGCTTCGGCATATGGTCGATGGCGAAGGTGAACAATTTGCGTTGATCTACACCGCCCAGTTCTGCGTCGACATCGAGGTACTCTTCGTCGAGACTTTGCCAGATGGGGTATTCCACGCTGCCCAGCGTTGGATTCTCGCCTTGCTTTACGACTTCAGAACCAGCCTTGATCAGCTGTGACACGGTGACGTTATTCGAGAATCCGAAGCGGTCGTTCTGGTATTCTTTGCTGTCCTGGAATGAGCTTCCCACTATAAACTCAAGCTTGGAGACATCGACGCCAATAGCCCGAAGAGAGCTTTTTATGAGGAGTCTGTAGTATTCGCATCGGTGTTTGATCACGTCGAGGGGCGCGTGGCTGTCCATGTGTGCGTGTTTGTCGGCGAGCAGGATCTTGACGTGGCACCCAGCGTGGAGGAGCTCGGCGATCTTGACCATTGGTACGAAGTACCCGCAGTGAGGTTTTCCTGTTGGGGCGGTTCCCCAGTAGACTCGGAGGGGTCGCTTTTCTTTGAGGATCACATTGTCGATGATCTCGGGGTTCAGGACTTCAGCCAAGTTGGCCTTGATGAGGGTGATTGATTCCTCTGGTGACATAGTGGTTGGGTGTCGAGGGGCGCGATGGGGCAGGTTGATGCAATCTCAGAAGAGTCGAAGGACTGTAGCCAAAGTGCAACATCTTATAATATTTATTTGTGACTCCAGGGTGAGTCACGCCGGCATCTGGAGTCGGCCCTGAAAGTTGAATATGAAGTGGCGTAAGGTTAGGGTTTTAAAAGAGGCTTCAGCCTCCAGGCCACAAAGGCAAAGTACACCAATAAACACATACGGGAAAAACAGTTTCTTGCTACAGTTTGACATCGGCGACCTCCCAGTAGATTCCACGGAGGCCTCGTGATCTCCAAAATCATCACAACGTCATATCAAAGTTTACATCAGCAAGAATGCTATCTATCTCCGCGGTGGTCAGGCCCATGTCAGGATCAGGTGGCATATCCAAGGATATGGTCTGCTCCTGTTGCCATTGACTGAACATCCACGCCTTGAACTTTTCAAGAAGACTTGGATCATCTGCAGATGTCTTCTCTGTGCCAAGAATCTCGCGGCCGCGCAGCTTGAGGGCCTCGTCAGAAGGGAACCCAGCGCCACGTGCCATCTCTGCCTGGCAAAAGTCCACGAGACCGTTTTCGAGCTCCCGTGAGCAAAACACTGTGGCGGGGCGATCGTAGCGCGATGCAAAGGTCTCGATATATCCGTCCAGCAAAGCCTGGTTTGTCTCGAAGGGCGCTTCGTCATTCCCGACGAATATTTCAACCTTGTCGGAGCTGTGAGACGTCGTGGCTGCGCTGGACGAGGTCGGTGAGGATGAAGTAGCGTGCAGCAGCTTCTTGTGGGGGAAGGCGAATGGAGGTGCGAAACCTGTGCCGCCGTCGATGATGCTCCAGGAATTGATGTCCAGCGGGAGGCCAGGCCCCGAAGGCAAGATACCAACATCACGCTTGAATCGTAGCAGCCACTCGGCGTTGTCAGCAGCAGTCTGGTTCCATGGGTCGTCGCTGGAACGTGCTTAGTAGATATCGATCATAGAAGTGAAAGTGGGCACTAACTCATCGAAGATTATGCACCGAGCCTGATGCTGAATCTCGGCATCGGTGGGTACATGACAGTTCGGATTATTGAGCGACATGATGGAAGTGACCCAGCGAGTCAACTCGCGATTTAGGCGTCGGTAACAGTTGACATCGGTCAAGAAGAAGGCTCCCGCTTTTCCTGTAACTATTTCAGAGCAGGGATGCTTCCGTGCTATCTCATTCAACTCCCGGCGTCGAGCCTCCGGATTCATCAACTCATACGAGCTCTCGGGCGTCTCGGCTTTCGCGGCGGTTGCGATATAAGGGAACGGAGAGCGGCGGTCATTCTCGATCAGATCTGTATAGATGCACCATGTAAGTATTCGATCATCCGTGAGTCTTGATGGGGGTATTTACACGGAGGAATGAAATTTTCAACCATCTTGAGCACTGGAGGGTCGAAGCCCCAATCTCCCCTCCAAGAAGCCATCGTATCGTCCTTCCTGAAGTGTTCCGCGAGATGGTCCACTCGAATGGACCAACTAGACATTGAGATACCGCAAAACCCGCAGCGCGATCGGATATCAGGACCAGTGACCTTCCAGGACTTCATGCTCCAGTCGAGGAATTTGACGTTATGCATAAGCCTTAGGTGTTGATTCAGGTGATCCTTGCGATAAAACGTCCTGTCTTCAGGCCTCCTCTCCATGCAGGCCAAGACGTTATGGCTTTCGATATGATCATCGCTAGGCTCAACTTCGCCGCAGAAGGCACAGCAGATCTGGTTACTCTGGGGATCCGGGACCCGAGGACCTTTAGGGGCACACATCCATCGTTCCAGAGAGAGGTGCAGAGACTTCTCATGCCTCTGCCAGTCATACTTGGTCCCAAAGGTATCTGTGCAGAATGTACATTGGAATTTCTTGAGGGCCACGGCTGAGTAGGCTTTCTCTTTGCGCTTAACAACAGGTCTCCTTCGGCGGCGGCCACGCTGTCTTGTCATGGAACCGAAGGAGGCACCACTCGAAGTGCCAGCACTGCTCGCCGAGGAGACGTTGTAAAGTGAAGGGTTGGATCCGTCATCGGTGGAAGCCAAGGAGCGTGGACTGTTCTGTCCAGAGGAAGCATGTGAGTTCGAGGCGACAGCACGAGCGATAGCGGTGACCGAAGCGGGTTCGTTCTCTGGAGGTGAATCCACCCAACGCTCGAGGGGATTCATGCTGTCTGTATTGTTCTTGAACGCAGGTGTGTCGGGACGCCGGGGAATGTCTATAGGGCCAGTCCATGTGTTGCGGACATAAGGTGAGGTAGACCTGGGTCGTTGTACCTTGCGTCTACGGCGAGCATTGGTGAGCCAATTTGAGATTTGGGTTTTGTTAAGGCCTGTCTGACGCTGTAGCATCTCCCTGTCTTCGTCGTCAAGGTAGGGATGATCGTTGTGAGAGGAAAGCCAGTCTTTAAGAATCTTGAGCGTCTCTTTAGAAAAGCGAGTTCCGTTCTTGGGCGGTAGACTTTCGTAGGCCGGATAACGTATTTCGGCGGCACGTTGACACTGCGGGGGCTGGGAAGAGACATCCGGGAGGCTGGAGGGATGGTGACTCTCGTGAGTTGTAGTCCATGATAAGTCAAAAGACAGCAAGTCATCAGGCAGAGAATCGACGAGAAACTCGTCTGGGATGATGGACTGAGAGTGGTCATCATTGAGAATTTGTCGGCACCAGATACTTAAATCATCGTCATCGCAATGGGGTACAAGCATGCCCCCTTCGGGATCAGCAGGCATGTCGATTTAATGATTCAGGGCGGGAGACAAACAAAGACTGTGCCGAGCAAAGCCGGGGTCTTGTCCTTGCGACCGAAAGTTGGGTTCTCTTGGCGGCCGGACGGATACCCTATGTGTTGATGTGACGGCGAAGGCGTCAGATGGCGGCGCTGAGCGGGGTTTGGTCAGCAGATGTGTTAAAATAACTAATCACTCAGGTCAAGCGCTGTTCAATGGGTGCAAGGGACAACGCATGACACGAACAAGTTTGAGGAGTGTAAAGGTGAAAATCAAGCACCAGGTTAGTCTAGTGGCTCGAGGCTCGATACGGAAGAGATAAGTTAGTGCGCCCTTGTGTCAAAGACAAGTGGGTTCTTGTGGGGCATATGTGAAGCTAACCCGATACGCAGTGCGGAGTAGTTGGCGAACTAACAACTTAACCTAGACACATTTGCGCATGTCCCAATTGATACAGTTCCAGGGCTCTTGTATATACTAGTATGCAATCTAATTCAGAGATAAATGCAGAGATAAATGCATTAAGATATATAAATATACTCAGTTTATTCTTACAGATCATTCTCGAGTAGGGTTAGGATTTTTAGCAAAGTAGATGTATAAGCAGTGCGTCATTGAAATGACACTTTTCTATAGAGCTTCTTAACTAAGCTCCTTCATCTTAGCAATTTTAATATAAGAAACCTATATGACAGCCTTTAACCTATAGGCTGTCTTGTTCTAAGTGCTTCAAAGGCCACAGCCATGATGGCTAACCCACTGGAGAAGTCCAGCAAATGTTTGGACAGCTAACCTATGCTGCTTTCCCACCAGATGATAAGCCAGTCGAAGGCATTATTGTTATTGTTCCTGATGCATTTGGATGGGAATTTGTGAACAACAGGCTTCTTGCTGATCAAATACATTGAATGGCAATTTCCTGGTCTACCTTCCAGACTTCATGGATGGCAGACCAGCCCCTACATGTCTTCTTGTACGTCGGCACTGATGTCAATTTTGACTGCTGTACTGACTGGTTCTACAGGACATCGTGGGTCCGCTGACTGACACAACTCCAAGTTGGAACTGGATCTGGAAGCTGTGGGTGACTCTGATAGCTCTACAGATAATATGCTAACGTTTTGTAGGTGGTACCTTGCGCAGACCATATACGGAATGGCGCCCTTCTTTTACTATAACGGCTTGGCAGCTTCATGGCCCAGAATTCGGTCCGTTTTCCAGGGCGTCCGTTTGCACGAGGATCCTTATCGACGCATGGGGGCCGCAGGATTCTGCTGGGGCGGCAAACCCGCGCTGTGGCCTTGGCGCATCCAGAATCTATTACTGAAGATGGCATGCCCCTTGTTAATGCTGTTTTTACCTGCCATCCAAGCGGCATGTCGCTGCCTCAAGACGCAGAGCCAATCGCCAAGCCTGTCTCAGTGGCCATTGGAGACAGGGATATCATCACGCCCCCCATGTCTCAGGTCAATATGATGAAAGAGACTTGGAAGGATTTGGATACGGCTACAGAAGTGGTGGTGTACCCCGGAGCCGGGCACGGCTTCTGCGTGCGGGTAGATGAGAAGAACAAGAATCTGTTTCAACAGAGCAAGGAGGCGGAAAAGCAAGCTTTGGATTGGTTTGCGATGCATTTTGGTTAAGTCAAGGGCCTTTTGTGCGACACGGCTGACAAGGTTGAGCTAGACATTTTGGGTTAGTGGTGTAGAAGATCAGTGAGACACTCTTGTCACTACGTCATAAAATACTGCATGCAGTTATAATATTTTCTCTGCCGTGCTTTGTGATCCTTTTGGGCAGTATTTTAGGTTAACGCATACCAGACCGAATTTTAACGTCCATCAACCGGCCAGAAGATCACTTAACTTTCGGCAGTTATCAAGCCACCAACGCCATTGTGTAACGTTGCGCCTTGAAAATCACCAAAACGCATAGGTTAATAAACAATAGTGCATGACAACTTTCCATTGAGATCTTCATGATGCTTCTTAGAATGTACTGCAGGTAAAAGTTTAATCTTCTAAAAGCTATAAAATTTATTTCTTAATCCTTGGCAAGGACTAGTCGTCACCGATTTTCTCAGTAACTCATGGCCATAAAAGCATATAGGTCCTACTCATATTATAAGTTTACTACTTCCCGTATATAAAGCCTCCTAATGCCTGCTGTTTCTATATAGCATTCTCTTGCCCAGGTATATATATCTTACTAATTCACCCTCTCGTTAAAGACACCAGACACTCCGACTCTATCTTTTCATTGTCGCCACAATATCCGAATGAATACTTCCCACTCTGTTACAATGGCAAACCGACTTCCCACTCCCCCTGAGTGTGCTGTGTCGCATAAGATACCTATTCAGGTTCACAGGCGATTTATGGGCACCTACATACCACGTAAGAAAGTGGTACGAGCTTGTGATAGATGTCGAGTTAGAAAGACCAAGGTGTGTATTATTTACCTGACCTAAGAACATTGACTCACATCACAAAAGTGCAGTGGATTCCCACCATGTACACGGTGCCAGCGGGATGGTTTTGTCTGCACCACTGAAAGAGCAGTGCGGGGCTTTAGGCGACTGTCGCCAGGGTATGTATTTCGCAGTCATCAAAGGTCCACGTTACTGATTCTGAAATCAGAGATACAGAAGTGTTCCGGGAAACGCACTCTGCTCTCAAAGCAACCATTCAGTGTCTTTACCTCATGCTGCGCAATGGAGACACTTGGGACTTCGATGAACCTGAACGAGACGATAGCGGGGAACTCATAGTTCACGATATTGTTCATAAACTAGGCTTCGCGCTTCCAAGCCCGGAAGTTGAGTCACCAACATCCCCCGCGGTTTTAGAAAGTGAAGCGAGCCCGGAAGAGAGCGCCAGTCAACACGGGAAGGAAATTGAAGACCAAATCCTCAAGAAGGAGGCCTTGTCACTAGATACAGGGTTATTCACGCCTTGCCAAGAGGAGCAATTACCACCGGAAGAGGTTGATGAAACCTATACCGATAGTTCGAAGGAATCCATTGATCACAGTGTTGGTGGTGACACTCTGAGTACCTTGGCACAGCAATGGGTCGACGCTTTCTATATGGACTTGTCAGCGCCAACCTGGGGGGCAGATATGATGACTGTGAATTGGCCGCAACCAGCTTTAATGTCTGAGGTCACTACCGAGACTGAGACAGATAACTTGCCTCTACTGTTTCAACCAACAGGTTTCAATATGTGATTATTCGAGCTGTCTTGTATATTTCAATATCAAAAATAGAGACTATTTAATGACGCCTTTGGCCAAGATCCAGCATCCACTATCTTCATTCATGAGCTAATATGGAACGACATCTTCATGTAATCTCAGGATAGACTCCAAAAGCACCCACGTTGGAAGCTATTGAAGTCGCAGACGAAAAAAGCCGGGACCCTGACTATAACTGTTGCTATCAGAGCACAAGGAGTCTTTCTTTGGGTTTTCCTGATGACTAGGCTCTTCAGGGAAGCGTTGAGTAATGATGATAGCTTCGCCGACCGGAGAAGAGACTTTTAAGCATACCAATGGAGCTAGAAACATTCTTCCGACAGATTTTGGAGTCTATCCCAAGCTTCTATTATGAGAAAATGGCTGGCACACTTTGAGTCGTACTGTATGCGAGAGAGCCACGAGATTCCATGATATACAGCTTTGTCAGTGACGAATACAAAGACCCGAATTACTTCCGGCATTCTTTCATCCCAGAAAGCGACCTTCATCCTGATGAAATTCAGAACCATTTAGCAGCATGCCAAAATCAGATTGCTTGCCGACTTAAGGGCTGGTGTCGTGGGCTCTTCGATGAGCAAATGGGAAAGGTCCACTTCCTACACCGAGCAGTAAGAGAGTTGATCAGAACCAGAGAAATTTCAGATTTTCTTGAGTCGAAGCTCCCAGCACATTTCAGCACTGGGACTTCCATCCTGAAAGTATATCTGGCATGGCTCAACTTGTCCAGTCTCGAGGTTGGAAACTTCATGCTGTTTGGAGACAATTTTATAAAGAAGCTCGTCTTGTGCTATGCCCAATTGTATCTTGGACTTCAATCGGCTCTCAAGTATGCTTCATACCATGAGCAGGAGGACAGTGTTCCCAGGACATTTCTGGACTGGCTTATTGACGAAATGGATCTTAGGCTGGCAAGAATAGCGAGGTATATCAAGCCACGGCTTCTTAGGAAGTTGCAAAGATCTAATGTATAAGTTGTGTTGTAATGTCCAAGATGTGCGGAGTGACAGCCCCAAGTCGGGCCCAAGGGGCCAAAGTGTTGTAATGTTCGGGGGGACTTGGCCTGAACCGCGTCGTCAGGAGGTCATAATCACATCTAGGACTATGTTTAAGCCGCCTCATAGGGCTCGAGTGAGGTCCACCAAGCTTGGACAGATCGGAAGTGGCAGTATCACCAGAGACCGGGAAAGACAAGCTTCCAGTCTCCACATAACAGAGAACGCTTACACGATGACACCGAATTCGCTAGCTTTAGGTTGTGACATTGTGAAGGAAGGGGTCGAATTTAGTCCTATATTTACCGTCACGTGTAAAAGTTGTAGCGTTGCGAAGGAAAGGTTCAGAAGGTTAATGGCACTTGAATTGGACAAAAGACTCCTGACATCAAACCAGGCGGGGGTGGTAGAAGTATATACCTAGTCTAAGGTCTTCTAAATCTGTACTGACTTTATACTATGTTATCCTAAGTTATACTAAACTATAGTAAATTATACTAAACTACACTAAGTTAACCAAAGGCAACGGTCTGTGTTCCTTTGGCATTTGTCCTGTGTGTAGTTCAAGTTCCGACCCCGATGGATGATCAGAAGAAGTAGCGATAGGTGCTCGCTGCTTGAGAGACGGTACAGTAAGTGTGCTAATGAGATAGAATGTCGAAGGCATTAGGAGATGCAGTCTCGAAGGCATCGGGAGGTGCAGTGTCGAAGGCATCGGGAGGTGCAGTGTCGAGGGCGTCAGGGGTGGCAGTCTCGAAGGCATCGGGAGATGTAGTGTTGAAGGCATCATACTTTGCAAAGCTACGTTTTCAAAGGGTTTAAATCGATGCTAGGTGAAGTTGTTTTAGGAGTGTGCGTGTGGGAAGCAGTGTGTGTGGGAAGCAGTGCGTATGGTGGAGGGATAAGCCTGCGAGCCTACGGGAGGAAAAAGAACTTGGGATCTCATTTTCAAGGGCACCGAGTCAGGTTAGGAGGGGTCGGCGGATGCCCTCTTCCAGGGTGCCGAGTATCTCTTCCGGCCCAAATGGCCTTTATCAAGATGATGGCCCGGCTTCTAGTTGGCAGATTGGCTCCGTTTCGTCCCGTTTGCTGATTGAGCCACCACTGGTCATTGGATTCGGTAGACCCCTTTCCGGAAAGGGCGCAAGTATTTTGTTAAGTATCACGCTTCTCACTCGCATGCCTCCCCCCCCCTGATCTCGTTTCTCATCCCCCCTTGGCTCGTCCTTGTACAACACGCACTACTTGGCAGTCTTAAAACAACTGCTCCTACCAGCGACGATAGATTGAAAGTCCCCAAAAGAGCCCCTAATTTTGTGAACACTGAGAGACCTGGTCACAGAGCGCATCGCCAAGACCGAGGGAGGTCCACCGAGCTTCGAAAGATCGAAAGTATTACAGGAACTTCCCTGCAAACTAGAATTCCTGCGGTTAAAGTCAGGGCCGCCAAACAGAGGGACTAGAAAGGCCGATAGATTCAGCCAATGTATCGAGAAGCTATCAATAGAAGGATCTAGAGTTTTGATAAGAAGAGGTGGTTGTTCGTCGATAGCATCGAGATGAATTACGGATGAAGTGGTAGTAACATGGGAAGCGATCGTGTCGGTCGCAAGGAAAGATAAGTTTTCCGCCTTCACTCCAGCGGAAGCATATTGTCGGATTGCGCGCGTGAGAAACAGTGAACCAGAGCCTGTGACTGTGTTGCCATCCGTTATTTCATTAACTTGATCACTATTGGTCTCGTTTAACGTGTCCATAACAGCATCAGCGAGTCACGCAGATAAGGGCACGGCCCAAATCATCGGTACTGAAGAAGTCGTCGATATCCTGAAGGCGCATTCTCATCCTCGTCGGAAAATATACAGACGTTGATCAGTTGTTCTGATGGTTAGGAGTTAACGAGATGAAACTATCTGATGGATATTCGGTACTTCCGCCAATCTTAAGGCAGTTGCAGATATCTAATGCATAAGCTGTGTTGTAATGTTCGGGAGGACTGGGCTTGGACTGCGTCACCAGGAGACCGTAATCACATCTGGATTACAATAACGTTCCGTCTTCACGCCGGCCTAGCTGGTGAAGGCAGCACTAGATATGAATGACGGGATCCGCCATCGGGAGTGCGACGAGGAGGCGGAAGCGAAAAGCCGGTGACACATCCAGGAGCGGGTTTATTTCGTAGTCGCGGAGGATGGCACCGAGTCGGGCACAGGATGCCCGCCCGAATCCCAATCTTGTTTTCTGCCTTCATACTTTGTTAAAACAGATCATAGCTCTTTGCATCCACCCGCATGCAGCACCAGTGACCCAAGATACAGGCAGCGGCTTCTCCATTGGATGGCCTGTAAAGAAAGCACCAATGAGAGGCCATAATGGCGTACTCGTTGTAGCCATGTAGTCCCAGGTTTTTAAAAGACAAACCAATCCACTGCCTGAAAGTTTCAATGCCACCATGGTCCACCATGGTTGATCTGCATTCGCGCTCTTTTACCGAGAAGACACGACCTTGTGTATATAGTAAAGGAAGTTTCTAATCGAAAGAAGCGCGAACCAATTCGATAATTGCCTCGCTTCGGACCCATTCCTTTCGCATCCGAGAGAATTTCATTTGGTTATTCTAGTATCTTCTTTTTGTCTTTGGCGGTGACTCTAGTATGGTCTGTCGCGAACGTTCAACCGGCTATATTGAATGGATAATGGAAAGGGTCTAAGGTTAAAGAGCCATTACCTCGCCAACTAGAATCCTTTTGCTTTTTTTTTGACATCCCACACTTATCTTCGTTTCCGTTGACTTCCTTCTGTAGATCATTCCAGCTCCAAACCTGATGTATCTCATGATAGCAAATATGCTCAATGCCTTCCACTGCTCCGGCCCAGAGGTAACAGACAGGTGTTGTTTATCATCTCGGTTCCTGACAGCCGAAGGGTGATCTCCCAGTAAAACCCCTAGATCTCACCTCGTTTGTGACTATGGCATCGTAATTGTCATACGTTGAATGCCTAAAACATTCTCCTAGACACATGTCTTTGTTGCCGCGAATAGGAGGGTCTCGGGATTAATACCCCTTGATCAGAAGGCCCTGAATGATTTACATCCTGGAGTTGAATCAGATGGAGACTATGATCAGTTGGAGAGGAGAGGGGGTTGAAAGGGGGTTTGAGGTTGAGTGAAAGACATGAACGACATCAATAAACACATACGGGCAATATACTCACAGAAATCTCTGTTACTGACAGATTCCCGGAGGTGCTTGCGGGTACGATTTAATTGTTGTTTGCTGATCCGCCTCTGATTAGAGGCAATTGTTCGTCTTCCGTTGAGCAAGTCAGTTTGCAGTTGCGTTCTTCGGTGAGTGAGACGTGACCATTCCACCAAATGGTTGACAGATTGCTCTAGTTCAATGCGATAAATCAGACATTTTCCAGCGGAGAAATTTGCTTCTAGTCTAGTCAAGTCTCTTCTTTTTATAGGCGATAGTGTTTCCTCTCCAGATTCAACTCTCATTCTCATTTAGTGGTTGCGGCATCGACGACCTTCAAACTCGTACTGAGTGGGTTGACATCTATAACTTATTGATTAATCTGAGATAATCGCAAAGGTCACTTCACCAAAGCTGTTCGTTCAAATTGTAGACATCGCCATTGATATGAAGTTCCTTGTCAGACATGCAAAAGATCCAGCTCCATAGGATTGCAGTCGACTTGAAATGCTTGAGATCAGGACCAGAAGACAGATGCGTCCATTCGACTTGAATAGGGCTGTTGCAGAAGCTGTTGTAGCCCAAGATCGCACGGACTGTATATGTAGGAACGGCAGTCACCGGAGAACACGTAAAATATAGAGCGGGGTGGCTTTATTTATTTGACAACGTAAATGGAGATTCTAGACAATCTTGGCACAATTGGCCACATTTACAGCATCGCACCACCGAAGCTCTCCTCGCTACCATTCGCTAAACGATAGTTGTGGGAGGAAGATTGGGGCAAGACTTCTTCAGATGAAAGACGCTCGCCGGGGGGTTCCTGGCGCGTATAGCTTGCCATTGTGCCTCTTCGGGCGAAAACCGCTGAGCGGCATTGTTGGTTCTGATAGTAGGGCTATGGTTAGCATAAATCTTCTTACGAGAAGTAGATCAACTCACCGTCGATTTTGAAATGTCCAGTCCCAACCAACGCGGTAGATCCTGACAGCGGAGTCGAGGACTACGCGATTATACTTGCCCCATTCCTCAGCTAGTGTGACGTCTGGATCATTGGGGCTTTTGTGGACCGTGTACCACTGGTCAAACTTATCCAGCCGGTCGTACACACCCTTATAGCTATCACACCACATGCCCCAGATAGTATCGTTGTTCATGTAAGAGAAAGTAGGGCCTGCGAGGATGAACTTAGTGAGTACCAAGCACTGGTATCAAAGCCGGAATAATGCTCACCTATTTCCTTAACTGTCGCCCACTGCTGGTCGTGCGTCATGTACGGGTAAATGCTTGGTTTGTAAGATTTGGCCAGGGCGAAGACCTAGGATTGTTAGTGCTACAATTTGGAGTCCCAGGATAAAGAGGCGCCTACATTCTCCTTCTTGCGGTTCAATCTCTCTTGCAAGATTGCAAGGCGGTCCTTGTGGAAGACGTTGCCCAACTCCGTCCAGAGTGTGCCGAACAAGGAGTAAGGCTGCCAGGGCCTGGAGGGGTTGAACCACGGGAATTTGGTACCGTCGACAGTCATGATATACTGATCTATCCATGTGCAGTCAACCTTACCCCTTGTCCTTCCTGGGGATGGCTTTTGCCTTCTAATCTTGCCTTTAGTGAGCCACTCAGTAAAGAATTGACCCAGATTCTGGCCCTCATAAACATGCTCCGCTTGAGAAGGCACCAAATGTTAGTAGTTGCGTTGATGTAATGGGATTCAGCAGTCAACTTACTCTGATACGCTGAGGGAATGAAACCGCGGGTGGGGTGATGTGTCTTGTCGCGTGTATCATTACGCCCTATACTCCAGTCTGCACACTCGGCCGAGCTATTTCCCCAGTAGCTGGAAATAGGGTCATAGATACCACCCATGGCCCCGTCCCATACCTTGTTCACGTCCTTGGGGAACTGCGGGTACTTGAATATTGCCGACACCGTTGTTGGGTCGGGGATATGGTACAGATCCTTACAGACCTTGACATGCTTCCAGGCAGAATTGATGTAAGGGGCACGAGAGTGTAAATCGTTCTTGTGATCATAAACCCCCCCATCACCTTCGTGCTCGGCAACGTCGTTGCCACTGGTTCGGTCCCTTTTCACGAGAGAACCTGGCCATGGAGCTTCACTCCAATCTCCCTCCTCGTAGCACTCTTCGCATGGTTCAATATCGCCACGAGGTCCCCACTTGCATTGCATGCAAACACAGCCACAGCATGGGTCAGTCCCAATCGCACCATAACAATAATCGCATCGTCTGCCATCGCAGCTGATGTTACCGGGCATTTCATTGTGGACGCTTCGGCTTGTGAAGAGATAGGCGATGACGGTGCCAAATATATCGAGCGGTCTGAGGCGCGCGGAACCAAAGGCGTCTTTGGGATTGTTTAAGCCTCTCTTATTGAGATTCTTAGTCAATATAGACGAAGACTCGTTTCCAGGTGAAGGCAATTCGAAGCTTGTTCGCTTTGTCTTGGGCGAGTAGTGGCAGGGTTCGTGAAAAGGACGGTACTAGATAATTTCAGTTAACATGGGATGCCAATGTCCGCCGAATGTCACTTACGACGTCATGGTAAAATGTAGCCGATCCATTATTGTTTCTCCAGCTAAGAAGGTCTCTTGTTTATTCGTCAGTGCGGTTCTCAGAAAGCCATTTTCAGTATCAGACTATACTTACTTGCCAACAACATCTTGTTTAAGTAGACTCCTAAGTCTTGTTAGTTCACACTATATAGCGTGTGCGATCAGGAGCATACTTACGAGGCCGAAGATTGAGGGCAGGTTCTGTGGTTCTCAGCTGGTGGGATATCCCATCTAGAAAATGTTTCGCTGGTAACAAGTAACTATAGGAGGTGTAAGCTAGCACCTAGATGGTCTGGAGCCAGAATAATCAACCGGAAACTTACAGATGATTCCTGGGGCTGGAGAACAGGCTGTTGACCCTGTACTTGGGGGTATACCTCAAAGTCCATGATGAGCCCAAAACCGAGGTCATGTCCGATTTCGATGGTGCTGCCTTTCTCGCCTCCGTCTCCATAAACGTAGTTATCTCCATGCACTTGCACCTCGGTTGCCTTATTCTGTTTTGTATAATGTTCTATTTCTTTTGGCAATAGGGGTTCAGGAAGCGATGCTGGAAAGCGGCCCAAGTCAGTCTTGACTCGTGTTCCCAAACGTCCGTTCAAGATCGCCGGGTGGCCAAATACGGTAGATGGGGACTCTTTCATGCGAGATGTGGACAACCAAGTTTGCCGAGAGATGAAGGGAGTGAGAGCCATGAAGCCCCAGAAAGACCCTGCACCGATCCTATGTGTGTTAAATATGTCGTAATATTTCTGGCTCCTGGCAGGGTTGCCTTTTCCGGCCATGCCGATATCGAGACGACCCATTCCGCCAACTCCAAAAGTCAGATCCGTCTCGCCGGTGACTCCAATCCAGCCAGTAGCTTCCTTGACATCAACTCTCGAAGTGCCCCGGTCCCCGGTTGCCTACAGTTCCGTATTAGCAAGATCGTAAGAAAGATAGAAATAACATATGAAATACTCACAATCACTGTAACAGCATATGACATTTTGGCATCGACGTTGCCCTGGATGTAAGCTGCGATGCCTTCACCATACATGTTGCCCCCTATGGGACAGTTCTCGGCAGCTTGCCAAAAGACCGGCGTACTTAGGTTACTCCTGACTGTTATTGGCGAGTAACTAGAATCATGTATGAACCTGTCTCCGTTCCGTAAACCCTTCTTCCAATCTCTGTAGAGATGCGAAAAATATCTGGGCTCGACATCACGCTTCTGAATACTGGGAGAGTCGATAAGACTGTCCCAGTATCCTTTGACGCTCGTCATATCCATTCGTAAGGCTACCTTCGCGTCGGCCCGCCCCTTATGTTTGTTGAAGTCAAAGGAGAACTCGTAGATTGGGGACGTGGGGGTATGTTGCTTGGCCAGGTGGTCTGGCATAGTTTGGTCTTCAGAAAGCTCTAGTGAGATAGCTCGAGCAAACGAATTCGGTGCACACTCCTCACTGTTGCCTAAGACCTCTGTTTTGCGACAGTCATCAAAAGTGTAATTTGGCGAAACGCGGCGTCCATTCACATGCCCCGATAAAGAGATCGTCCTGTAGCTGATTCGTTCTTGAGACTTGTGGCTGAGAGCTTGAATTAACAGACAGAACTTAGTTAGACCCTGATATCCACGTGATGAGTCAGCGCCATGTACAAAACATGAAGGAACCCCCAAAATAGGTTCTGTTGATTTTTCTCCCACTCAAAGTTTTTGTGACATGGTAACATCATCTCACGGGACAACGAAATACCACCCTCTACAAAGTTTCCCCCTTCCCCCCTTGGGCCTCTTCAGCTATCTATCATTTACATCTTGGAAGACTCTCAATTGCAACCATGGGCTTGCCCGACGATGCAAGTCCCTCGCCTGCACTTCAAGGACTGCCAAATGAACTGCTTGCCTCTATCTGCTCTCTACTTTGCAATCTCGACGTCAAGAGCTTACGTCTTACTTGTCGAGCCTTGAGAGACAAGTCGTATCTGCGATTTGACCGCATTTTTATCTCTGCCAATCCACGGAACGTCGAAGTCTTTCTCGCAGTCGCCAACCATGACGTTTTCCGTCATCGCGTGAAAGAGATTATATGGGATGACACCTTGTTGAGGGAAATTCCCATTACGGACGACCGTGGCTCTTGTGGCTATAGCGAGGATGAGAGTGACTCTGATGCCAGTGCCGAGGATGAGAGTGATTCTGATGCCTGTCCTGAGAATGAGGACAAGGAACAGATCTCGAAGGCTTTTGTTCGTCTTTGCAAAGACAGCATCTTTCTTACCGAGGGCAGATTGACGTACAGGGATTGGTACCAGAGCGACAGCGAAGCGCACATTGGCACCCTGAACGAAGTGCAGAATCAGCGTGATAACCTGATGCCCACTCGAGACTCACTGGCGTACTATACAGATCTCTTACATCAGCAAAGTGAGCTGCTGTCATCGAGCGCAGATGAGGAGGCTTTTCGGTATGCCATTCAACGTTTCCCACAGCTCACCAAGGTCACCATTACACCGGCGGCACATGGATTTCTCTTTATGCCACTCTATGAGACGCCAATGGTCCGAGCATTTCCATCTGGGTTTGTATACCCAATTCCTCGTGCCTGGCCACGTGACGACATCCTCCGAGGATGTCCAGAGGATTGTCCTGAAGGATGGGAAAACGACGAAGAGAGGAAACAGTGGCGCGGATTCTGCATGGTTTCAAAGGCTCTAGACGATTTTGCAGACAAGCTTCAAATCTCTGAGTTTGTGGTGGATGGCCACAAGCTCCCCACTGGGATTGACTACACTCTCTTCGACAAGCCAAATCAAGAGTATGATAGCCTGTGCAAGATTGTGGCACGGCCAGGATTCAAACGGCTTGTTCTCTCGCTAACAAATGGGTACCGTGCGTTGAACTTTCCTGGTTCCGAAGATTTGGGTATCTATAAGAACGGCAGGATATCCAATCTTCTGGCAAAAGCGACCGACTTGGAGGAAGTTACCTTGCAGATCAATGATGAATTGAGCTCTTGGACTTGCGACATGGAAGACTTTATATCGCTCTATGATATCTTTCCAGTCGACACTTTCTCGATTGGAAAACTAAGACACTTTGGGCTTTCCGGGTTGTCAGTCAAACAGGATGATCTCATTTCTTTTCTCGGCAAGCTCCCGTTAACACTAAAATCTGTCGAACTCAGCTTTCTCGCCTTGGTCAGGGGTCATGGAACCCACGCTACCATGTTGGCTGATATTCGAGACAAATTAGGGTGGAGGCATCGACCTGTCAATGAAAGGGTCAAGGTCAGCATTTCAATGATGCTCAATGTACGCGCCGAAGGGCGCTACGTGTGCCTCGACAAGGAGGTTCACGAATACGTCTACGGCGATGGCCCAATGCCCTTTATCGCTAGCGAGAGGTGGGAAGTGGCTCACTTTACATAGGGCACCGGCGTTATTTGTGATAAGTTTGATCCTGGCTTTGCGGTACCTTACGAAGATCACCTAATGCGCCGCGAGAGACAGCTCGTTTCTGGTAGTATAGCAGTTTGATAGAAATAAATCCCTGTTTGCCTTTGGCGGTCTATATAAGCTCTGCTTGTAATGTCTTGATGATAGGTCTGATCTCTAAAATCTGTGTTTTTGGTCAGTTATTTACGAGCTAGTCGGAAGAATAGATTGCCGAGTATGATGGTTCAGATTCAAGGTATTTTCCATGCTCCATACGTATTTATTTGTGCCCCTTATATTTATGTATTGGGGCTAATACCTCTATTAAACTCTTATCGCATGACATTCCGTGGAATTACTCGTCATACAGAGAAAACACTCGTAACTTAGATATGTTATTCGCGGATGAGACTTGTAGCTAGGAGCTTAAATCATTTACAGGGAACTTAGTTCTTGGTTTTTTCCCCCGCACTTCGGGAGTCTATAACCCCCCTCCCTACTTAATCACTATTCCCAGAGTCAAATTAGAGGGGCTATAAAACTCAAAAAGGTCCTCTCTACCAGATCCCGATTTCGTCCATGGTTAAAGTTTTCTGTCCACAACTAGCAAGTTAAATGTCCTACCAGAGCGGTAAACACGTCTGCCTCGTATACAGTAAGTCTTATGAAAAAGCCGACTACCTTCGGCGACATGCCCAATCTCACCAAAATTACCGACAATTTCGCTGTTGCCTCTATCTAAAGGGTTTCAATCGCATCGACTTACTTCAGCGGCATAAGTCAGCTCACGTTCGAGCCATGGATAGACTATACGGGTCAAGGCGAATAGATCGTGCTTCATAAGCCTGCATGGCTTGTGTACAAGCGAAAGCGAAATGCAATGACTTGAAGCCTTGTTCACGCTATCATGCGAAGAGTTTAGAATGCCAGCTATCGGATCCCAGTTTTGGCTTGACCTGCATCGAACTGAGGTCTTAAGAGAGACAGAGCAGTTCATTGGAAGTTAGTTAAGAGTTTAGAACCTTGGACTAATAAGAAACACTGACGGGGAATAAGGACTGGGATCAGACTTTGAATGATACTAGTATCAAGTCGCAGTGTGCTGATATTGGAGATGTATGCCCGATCTTATCCATTTTTGAGGACATGGACTTTTTATAGTTTGATTCCGGACTTTTAGATCTTACTATGGGCACACCCAGTGACATGAACAGTTCTGAGGCTACAGTAGCTGTCTATAACCAGACCGGCGAGAATGAAGGTTCTACGCTGACTAACAATGATTCTCCTGGCCCTTCTTTCAGGAGCTGGTCAGAAGTATACCGGCGCTGTGCCTAGACCTCATGGCAACCTTCTAGGTTTCAGCACTCCTTCCATAGCCAGGACGTCATTAACCTAGGCTCAGGCAACAGGAGAGAGAGATCTACTCTACTTATGAAATCCTTGACAGGACAAATGATCAGTAGCAAGCTAGATGATGCATACAGGGATCGCTTGTTGGTGTTGGTGACCGCGATGAAGATATCTTACTTCTCTATATACTCGTTTCTACCCGCCGAGTTACTAAACGACCTCGTGCGATTCTTCTTCATCCAGGAAAGCGCATCTTTCGCACCGAGCATCTATCCAGGCATATTCTTGTGTTATTACGCGCGGCTAGAGTTACTTCTTGGAATTATTGCCGCTAGTGCAGTTATCGTTCCGGAGCGTCGAATCCAGGTGACAGGACTCGTTATGCATGAAATCCTTTGCAGAGCGATAGGATAGCTATACAAGAGTGATAATAGCACCACGAGAGATTTGCAGGCCCTCTAGGCATACTTGAGGGCCCTGGAGGTCAGAGCCTGGAGCGGCCTTAAGCGAAAGACTGAAATTGCGTGCAGCTTTATGCAGCCGGGATATACCATGCTATTCTAAGCGGGAGCTTTCTTTTCACTGACTGAGAAAGAGTTGGTAGGAGATATCAACCATGGGGCTGAAGAGCTTAATGCAGCGTGGAAGGGCTGGGCCGCAAGGGAGTCACTGAAGCGCCTGGCAATTCGGGCCTTTATCCATGACTCTCAGGTATCGATGGCTTATCTCCAGACACTGACGATTAGCTATACCGAGTTGAACATGGCGGTTCCATACCCGCCTAATGTATGGCTTGCAGAGAGTCCCGAAGAATGGAGATATGAGTTCTTGGGCTGCACTAGTAGCTCGCGGCGTCTGCTACTTACCCAGGTTCTGGCTAATATCACAGTCCTCGAAGCGTGCTGTGGGCAGGCTGATCTACACCTTTGTTGCTTTGCCGCTATCCACGCACTTGCTAATCAAGTATGGGACCTTTAATAACAATTCGCGCTACAATTTTCAGCCCCCGAGGCTAAATGACGCTGAATGGATTCATGGTGTATGAGCCGATAACGTAACCTGTACCAAGATCTGATCACTCTTTGTATATACTGTGAGAGGCATGTCACACAGCACGAGATTTAACTGTTACTTGAATACGTTATGATGGCCCTCCATGCTCCTATGGCCTATATACAACGTTTTGCTAGTAGAGATGGAGAAAGCGAGGCGAGGAGAGTAGAGCTGATCGTAAGTGAGTGAAGGCAATCATTAGCTGCTAGAGTTGCAGTATGGCACGCGGGCCAAGTTCTAAGAAGGGCTTGCGAGTTTCCGCCTACAACCCTGCAGAACTTTTATGCTGTGGCGACGTATTATGCTGCTTTTGCGCTTTGGACTTACAGTATACTTAGTAATAGAAGTCTAACGCAGGCTGAGAGTGTAATCTCTAATCACAATAGCTTAACTAATTGCTGTTCTGTAATTCCGGTTATACTAGACAGAAAGGAAAATGACAATATCCGCGCATTCTGCACACTAGGGTATAGAACGCCGGGCCTTAGCCATAGTGTGTAGCTTGGAGTAGCAGAGACTTTCAGTACACTCACAGATGCTGCATTAATTATGCGGTTATTAGCCGATATTCTACACGGTAACCTACTCTCTACAGACTATGCCCCGCCGTTGTTAGTGGGCAGTCTGATTAGCCTGATGGGGGACCTAGGCTCTTTGCTAAGTTACTCTAGTAATGGTAGTAGTTCGCGGACTTCTACTACGGGGTAGTCCACTAATGGAGCCGATAGGTACCTCCACCTTGGCCGGCAACCCAGCCGCCTATACGGAAAGTCGCAGCGCTTCGGGAGTCCGGGGCAATAATAAAGCACGAATGTCAGATTAAGGAAGCCAATGATAGCAATCAGTTGGAGCGAGACCCTACTCATGGCAGATAAAGTGTTGACGAGCAACGGTAGATGAGAAAATATTAATCAAATGTATCAGTCTATGTTAAAAATCTGCTATAGCAATCTCACTATAAACCACATCATTCAAATCCGATCTCTCCAGTTGCGTCGCTGACGATCTTCAATGCTAGCCCATATATATACATCAGGTCCACCGCTTCTTCAGCCACTTTATAACCCCAGTGGTAGTCACTGTATATCTGCGCACTCTTGAACTCAAACTCCTTCGAATCGGTGGCCCTCGGTGCTATTTTCTTTGTGTTCTCTATGACCTTAGTGATGTGTAGGAGGCATAACTCATCGTATATCTTAAGTCAGGATACAACATCCTTACTTAAGGCACCACTCAAGACTATCCCAAGAGCTTCTGCATCCTCGATAGCTTAATAGGCGCCTTAGCCCTGATCTGTGAAATGAATGTTAGTGGTGGCTTATATGAGGGGTAAGATTACAGGGAATAAAGCAGGCATACGTAGACCTATTACATATACTGCATCTCCTACTAGGGCATAATAATCCTTGACTAATGTAGGCAGTGGCACGCGCTGGCGCAGCTGCTAGACTCCCGCACTAGAAGCCATTGACAGGGCAGCGACTATGGAGGGATGAAAGTCCTTAAACTTTTCCACTATGTCTTACACCTCGACTTCACTACTCCACTGAAGCCGTCATTTGCTATTGTCTAGGTAAATGTACACAAAGTTTATCCAGTCCTAGCTCGAGCAAGGATATACAATGATTCTTCTATTAGGACCAATCACCATAAGCACTTTTGCACTCTCAGTCAGGACCTGAGTCTGCGGGTTCTTCCTCAGCTCCTCTGTGCAGATCATGTAACGATATGCAGACAGGCCTTCAGGTGTTGTCTCGAGCTTGCCAAACACTGAATTTCCACTCGCAGACCGAATCCCATCCGCACCGATAATCAAGTCAGCCTTGTAGGACTCCCCGGACTTAAGGAATACTAAACCCGTTTTTAAGTCGACTCTTTCGACGTGGGCGCCTGTCATTAAGCGAGGTATCGTGCCTAAGCCATCTTCGGAGAGAGCAGCACGTTTGAGTTCGGCGTGGATGTCCTTGCGAGAGAAATACCACTATAGCTCGCCGTACTTCTTGGTAACTGCACTGATTGGCCATTCTAGGAGGACTGAGAGGTCCTTTTAATGGAGTTCCTGGAACTTTGAGGCATTAGTAGATTAAACGGTAACTTAGCGGAAGGGCTAGACTTTATTCTAACCTTTTCAGCCTTAACGTAATGGGCGAGATCCTTATCGAAACCTGCGCGTAAGAAGCTTCTTCTAAGAAGCCTGGTCGCATTAATGGAGAGGGTAATGGCGGCACCCAGCTCCTTGTTGGATAATGAAGACTCAAGGACCAGAACGTTGTGTTCTTTATGTAGGAGTAGTGCTGCTGCGAAACCAGCGATCCCTCCTCTACAGATAATAATCTTGAGTGGAGCAGGCTTCTCGTTCTCGATTTGTTTGTCTATGGTCTGACTTACAAGTACCCTGACTGATGCCCTGATTTGTGTGTATGTGTGTACTGAATACCTGGTCTTGGTGCGATTGTGAGATCCTAATATAGGGCCTTCAGTCTTCCTCTAAATACCCAAATCCGTACTGTGAGCACCATGGTATATCACATGGACATCCGCCATGTCCGGCCACTTACAGAGCCCCCACCTATCCGATCTTTGTGGGGGTGTCCACCTCCCCTCACTTCCGTGCCGGTCCGGAAGTGAGGGGGATGCACCGAATTCCTATCTAGTTCCCGGAGTATAGTGGGGAGTGAATGAATGATCAAGATGACCATGGCCACTTTTGTAGAGCACTAATAAAATAATTTCAAATGTCATTTAAGAGTTGACCTCTCACACAATTCAAGTCTGCTATATCCGCCTTCCAGAAATTCTCCCAAATTATCTTGAACAATGGATTCTTCTACCATTCCAAGCCTTGACTTGCACGTCTACGTCCATTACCTGCACAAGTGGCTTAGAGTCTTTGCAACTTTGACCCTAGCTATCGTGCTTTTCAAGTTGATCGACTTCCTCTGCCGAGTTGCTTATCGTCTATATCTCAGTCCCCTGCGCAAATTCTCTGGCCCTCGGCTCGCCGCCTCCAGCAATGCATGGGAGATCTACCATTCATTAACAAGTGAGTAACTCGTAGACGTCCAAGCTGTTCTAACATCTGCATCAAGATGACCGATTTCGCGCTATTCATGAACTGCACGAGAAGTACGGCAACGTTGTGCGCATCGGACCAAATCAGGTCTCTGTAGCTTCACCTGAAGCTTTCCACCACGTGTTCGTCACAAAGTGCAGCAGCTTTCTGAAGACGGATTTCTACGCGACTATCCAGCCGGGCATTGGGCCAAAATATGCCGGTCTATTCAACTACGTCAATCATAAACAAGCGATGGCGGAGCGTCGCGATCTACAGCCCCTGTTTTCACCGGGTAGCATGAAGCACTATGAAGCAAGGTTTGATGAGCAACTTGATATCTTGATGGAGGTCATTAAGCAGAGAAGGAAGGTTGATCTCTTTGGACTGTTGTAAGATCGTTCGACACTTGCTTCCCAGACTACATTCTTCTGACGCATCATATAGCAAGTTTTTCATGTTGGACGTCATCGGAGATCTAGCCCTTAACAAGAGCTTTGGCCAAGTGACATCAGGCAAAGAGCATCAATACGTGGTTGACTTCAACAACGCTTTTATGCTTATAGGGCTTGTGAGTAGTCCAAGAACACACATCCCTTTTGAATGAGTTGCTAACCTCAACAGCAAAACACGTTTGCGTCAATTATACCCTTGATACCATATCTGCCGTTCAAGAAACTGAAAGACGCTTATTATGGACTTCAGCGAGTCTTTTCTTATTCCCAGGCGCGAGTAGAGGATTATCTCAAGCAAGATGTGTCAAAGAAGCAGGGATCGTTGATGTCAGGTTACTTGGACCCGGCGACTGGGGATCCGAAAGACGGCTACTCAGCTTGGTCTATCGCACTTGCTGGCCACGGTTTCATGTGAGTCTATACTCTGGAGCCCAGTAATACTGGTGCCTATACTGACTGTCCCGTCACTAGAGTTGCTGGGTCCGAAGCAACTTCTATCACCCTGACATATATCATCTGGATTTTGATCAAACGTCCAGATGTTGATCAACGTCTACGACAAGAGCTGAGCACCCTCGTCAAGGGCTACTCGAGTACTGATTTAGCCAACCTCCCTTATCTAGATGCTGTGATCCGCGAGACTCTTCGTATCTATCCTCCTGCACCGGCACCAATGCCACGAGTCGTGCCGAAGTCGGGGTTTGAATTCGAAGGCATCTCTTATCCTCCAGGCGTAAGCGAGATTCCTTCATAGTGCCTGATAGATCTCAGAGCACTTGAACCTTATCGAGTCCACTTGCCGCTGACATGCCACAAACAGACCGTTATCTCAGCTCAGCCATATACCATACACCGTCATGAGGGAGTGTTCGAAGATCCAGACGAATTCAGGCCCGAGCGCTGGCTCGATGTGCCTCCTGAAAAGAAGGACAGGATGTACCGAGCGTTTGTCCCATTCTCAGCTGGTCAAAGAGGGTGAGAGCTCGCATGTTCCATGACTGTGGGGTAAAGGGTGAGAAGGGTTACGGCTAACATACTTGCCTCCAGATGTATCGGTAGAGGGCTAGCATGGATGCATATTATGAAGTGCACCGCAAGAATCTTGCAGGAATTCGACAGGTTTGAGTTGGCGGAGGGGATGACGGACTATGACATGGACTTGATCGAGCGAGGAGCACTTGCTAAGCCCAGATCAACAAAGATGTGGATAAATGCTTATTCAAAGGTTGTTTAGCATGGTTTGTGTCGTGTTACATCCCTGCTACACAACTATCTACTAAATCGCCCAGAAGGTGTCAGTGGTGAGATTGTTTAATGGAGGTGAGGTTGCTGGTTTATGATCAATAACTATTCTAGACCTGTCCATTATACTAAAACTCTTCCAATTTGACCAACACTGTCTTGGTTTCCAAGAAGTTATTCAGACTAACCGTCGTACCCTCCCTACCAACACCACTCGTCTTATATCCACCAAATGGCATATCTTTCGCCTGCGTAGGACTAGTACAGTTGACACCAACAGTTCCCGCCTCCAACCTCTTCGCAACACGCATTGCCCTGTCAATATTCTTACTATACACAGCCGCATACAAACCAAACTCTGTATCGTTGGCTTTGCTTATTGCTTCAGCTTCAGTCTTGAAGGTGTTGATATTCACGACTGGACCAAAGATTTCTTCCTTCATGATTCGAGCATCTTCTTGGGTCTCGACGAAGATTGTTGGGTGGATGAGATAGCCATCTGGAGTAGCCTCGTGATCCATGCCGAGGATACGCTTTCCGGATGATTTGCCCATTTCGATATATGATCGCACATTGTTGTATTGGATCTCATCAGCTTGAGGCCCATGGTTAACCTTCTCATCAGTCGGGTCTCCAGCAGTAATGATCTGGAACTTTGTCTTAAACGACTCAATAAAAGTCTCTGCAATACTCTCATGGACGTAGATCCTTGAGTTGGCCATACAGACCTGACCACTGTTCCATTGGATGGAGTACGCCGTCTCAGCAGCTGCTTTTTCGAGATCAGCATCATCAAAGATGATGGCCGGAGACTTCCCGCCAAGCTCTAAGATGACGTTCTTCAAGTTGGACTTTGCGGCAGCCGCTTGGATGAGTCGACCTGTCGGACCTGATCCAGTGAAGCTGAGGACTCTCACATCCATGTGGCTGGATAGAATGGCGCCTGAAGTTTTGCCGTGGCCGGAGATGATGTTGAAGACGCCTGGTGGGAAGCCAGCCTTTTGAACAAGTTGCGCGACTTTAGCAGACTGATAAATGTCAGCCAGGAATCCAGAGTAGTTCGGTATGGCTAGATACTTACAGTCAATGGTGCCTTTTCGCTGCTCTTCAAAACCACGGTGTTGCCTGCCATCAGAGCAGGAGCTGCCTTGAGAGCGAGGAACAAAACCGGCACATTCCACGGAATAATCGCCGCAGCTACTCCATAAGGCTGTCGAAGCGTAAAGTTCAAATGACCAGGCATGTTCAGACTACTCGTACCAAGCACCACCGCTCCAGCTTCAGCATAGTAATTAAACGTGTCAGCAGCGGCAAAAGCATCAAAGTATCCCTTGACGGGCCTTCCCATGGAAATGGCTTCGAGGTATGCTAGTTCATGGTGTGACTCGAGGATGAGCGAGGCAAGTTTTTTGAAGTACTGGCCGCGGTCTTTGGGGGAGAGTTCGGACCATGCTGGGAATGCGGCTTTTGCTGCGGCGACGGCGGCGTTGGTGTCGCTTTCACTTGCTTCGTGGACTGTGAAGAGATGAGATGCTGATGTAGTGGTATATGGTAGGGGGGTATACCTTCAGCTACGACTTGGTGAGTTGAAGGAGACTTGAGCTCAAATGTCTTCTTGTCTGATGACTCGACAAACTATAAACTGGTCAATGTCATATTCCTCATTATTAATCATGTCACTCGCGTACCTCTCCATTGATGAAGAGACGAGTCTCAATATCACGTGGGGTCTTTGCAGCAGGCATATTTAGATTGTATGCTGATCTGGGAATGTGAAATTGTGTTCTTTCTCCTCTCAGGTGGACTTCCAATGCTGCATACAATGGCATACACACTTATAAACTCAATGAACGGCATTAAGACGCCCCACTTCAATAACAGGTCAAGTGTCCCACTTGGAGGCGTCTGAATAATCCATCGTCCATCGGAAGGATGAGTCCGATGACACCCCCGCAGTTGACGTTCCTTCCGACGCGCGAGAGGTTGGCATCCTTCTTGTTTAAACCATCCGAGGACGTGGAGGTTATCACACATTCTAGTGGCATTGTAGATTCGGAGCCTTTTGATCGCGGCCTGCAGACTTATCCGAAGTCTCCGCTGATATCACAACTGGGGTCAAGTCGGGTTTAAGGTGTGAGCGGACGATCTAAGTCCTTGAATGCATGACACGAAAATGGGATATCTCTGAGACTGGGATGCGTCTATTTGGAATGCTACTCTTTTTGACATCGATCTGGAGCGATTATTAGCCTTAGACTTTTACGTCGCCTAGTGTTACGGTTCAAGTGGACATGGTGGTGATATTGCTTGCGTATGTGGGGTTATAGTTTTGACATGCATCGCATTCATTAGAAGGAAGCTTAACTCTAATAACCATGAATTGTAAGAACAAGTCAAGTGATCAATCCAACATGCAATACAATCGTAACCTAACCGAACAATCCGGTCCTTCTCATAATGACCAGTCAACACTCATATGCTGTCAGCTTCCGACTGCCAGGGCAAAGGCTTCTCAGCCGGTCTCACAGGACCAACATCCCCACCTGGCTGTCTTCTAGCCTGCCACTCCTCTATATCCGACTGATCCACAAAGTTACCATGAAGCCCCAGACGAAGCTTCATCGGTAGATGAATCGTAGCCACAGGTCCTGCAGCTAGGTTCTGCGCGTTAAAGATGACCACGTCATTGCGCAGAACGTCAAGATGGTTCAATAGCGCAATCAACCAACCTTCACCCTCTCCACCATCCTTCTTTGGTATGAACGATGGTTCTTGGAATGTAGCGCAGGGACCGGCCCAGAAGATATCTTCTGTTCTCTCATCCCATGTATAGTGAGCCAGACAGTTGAAGAGCCCGCCAGCTGGTGAACCGCATTTCGCAGCGTTGTACTCTCGAGCCCCATCAATCTTGGCTTGCCAAAAGTGATTGTACCTCTTGGTGACATAGCGATCATCGATACGGGAGAATTCACCGCTCGTGTCCCACTCTTCGCTAGCCTGTACGCGTGTCCCCGAAGGACTCTTGGGATCAAAGATCCAGCGCTTGGTAGGGCTGTTTAGGCGGTTCCGCTTCGCCACGGTACCAGCTGGTGTATCTTCAGGCGGGAAGAAGAAGAACACGTTACCATCTGCTACCGTAAGATCAAACACGATGTTGCCATCATCATTTTCGTAGCACCCTGCAACATGCCCGTGGAAAGCTGACTGCATGTCAGTAAGCACCTTATCATATTGCCGAGTCGACTCACCGTTGTCTGACCGGAACCAGATAATGTCCTCGGGCTTTCCATTTCGCCGCGGGACTACACCGTACCACTGATCCTCTTTTGGATCCCAAGCCCAGTGATTCCCGCCCTTTTCGAGACGATCTGGGTTGCACTTTAGGGGTGTCATGGGAAGAACGATGTAGTTCTTGCTGATGCCACAATCGTGAATCATGCCACAGAAGGGAGCTTCGTACCAAGCTTCCTCGGTCTTGACGCCATTGGCATCGATTGTCCAGACAGCGATCTGGCGCGATCCATCATTGCCATTCCCGCCGGCCTCGTAAGCAAAACATATCATTTCACCCGTTTCAGGATCAAACTTGGGATGAGCAGTCATTGTTGGAGACTGGATCTGTCCTTCAAAGTCATATCGTCCGATGGTTTCCAGAGTGACTGGATCCATGGCATATGGCGGGCCGTCTTCTTTGGAGGCCAGAAGCATTCCTCTCCAGAAGGTGATGTTGGTGTTGGCAGAAGTTCTGATGACAGATTTCACCAACTCTGAATCCGTGAAGGGATTGCGATACCTCCCAAATAGACTTCTCCTCTCTTTTGTCTCTGCCAAGAATCTGTCTGTTCTCACATATCGCTGCTTATAATCTGCATGGCCATTTTGGATGCGAATGGCAGTGATATTGCCGTCTCCATTGAAGTGGATGTCATCTTCAAAAACGGGAGGGAAGCGATGATCTGGCTGAACTCTGTAAAAAGTACCATTGATCTCGGATGGAATAGTTCCCGATACTTCGAGGTCGAAGATATCGCCTTCCAAGCGAAATGGCTTGTTGAAGCCGCTGAAGGTTCCGGTGTCTGGATACTTGACTTGGTTGCCGACCTTTTTTCCGTCGATATATCCGGTATCGATAAGCGGTGCGACATCGAAAATGTGGGCCATTGTGGTTTAAGATAAGATAACTGATGAGATAAGAGATAAGAGATAACAGAAACCAATAGACTAAGCAAGACAGGTAGATGTTTTGACAGCAATCTAAAATACAAGCTCTAGCATAGGTCAAATCTTCTAGTTATTTGTGTTGACCTCTATCGATGACTCCGAATTTTTGAGGCAAAGCATTGGATCATGATCTGGTGCCTCCACTTCTGGGCCTCCGTTTCGTAGGCTTTGAAGTGGAGCCCCTTATCGGAAGCATCTCGCCGATTGCCCCTCACGTTTCATCCATTCCGGCTGCGTCTTCGGCTCAGTACAGGGTAGTTTTATGTGATGAATTATGCAGACGCGCTGGAGCAGATGAGCAAAGGTCCAATGAGGAAGTCTACAAAATGTATGTTACCTTGATGGTGGCCTTTTATTTAGAAGAGAAAGTAAATCGCTAATTTAATACACACAATCAGAGCGTAACCTACTGAACGTTGTCTAAATTAAATTGGTTACTGTCCGCGAGCATTCGCTGTACATCACGTCGCAATCTCTTCGATACAGTCAAACCCTCTATTGACAACCAACTTTATTCATCATGTCAAAGCGAGGTACCATCGCAGTAGAAGAAGCAATTATTACGCCATCGACAAAATGGCTCCTCGAAGAAACCTTTTCAATTCTCAACCCTGGCGACAGCAGTAACAAGGCCCTCGAGGCCCACGCGGCTAAGCTCCTCGACATCCACGACAAGCGCCTCGCAACCATGGATGCCGAAGGCGTCGAGTACATGCTCTTGTCATTAACCGCCCCGGGATGCCAGGGCATAATGGATCCTCAACTCGGAGAGAAAACAGCCAAAGAAGCCAACGACTGGCTGGCAAGCGAGGTCGCGAAAAGACCAGACAGATTCGGCGGACTTGCAGCTCTCTCGATGCATGACCCTGAAGTAGCAGCGCAGGAGCTTGAACGAGCAGTTAAACAATTGGGGTTCTTTGGGGCACTTGTCAATGACTATCAGAGCGTCGAGGGAGGATCAGGACGCGAGTACTTTGATACCGCTAAGTATGATCCGTTTTGGAAGAAGGTTGAAGAGTTGGATGTTCCGATTTACTTGCATCCGAGATACGTCTCGATCAAGGATCTTCAGCCTGGGTCGCTGTATGGAGACCGACCTCATCTTCAAGGTGCAGCTGTACAGTTCCATTTGGATCTGTCGTACCATATCTATGCACTTTGCTCATCTGGTGAGTCATCACGATTGATATGCACTATTTCAGAGACTGACATGATGATAGGAGTTTTTGACAAATTTCCAGGCGCCAAGATCGTCGCTGGGCATTTGGGAGAGAAGTATGAACCTGTCCACTGGCAGTAATCGTTTACTAACGCTGATGCACAGCATCCCTCTGAATCTCTGGAGAGCTAGTCACTGGTATAACAAGCCAAGCAAAAAGGCCACGCGCCCGTCAAAGGAAGATTACAATTATTACTTCAAGCACAATGTCTACATCACGACTTCAGGAAACTTCTTCACTCCTGGATTAAAGCTCTGCATTGAGACAATCGGGCTCGACAGATGCATGTACTCTATAGGTAACGATCCTTGAATCCGAGGGACCGGAGAGTGAAGCTAATCTTGGCAGATACACCATACGACGACATTGAAGAAGCACAGGCGTGGTGGAGGACTGTGGACTTGGATACTGGCGCGAAAGAGCAAGTTGGAAGGACTAACGCTATTAAACTGTTCAAGCTTCCATTGGAGTATTGAAGGCTTGAGGAGAAGCGGGGATATTCAGTTTCTCGGGCTATCGCTTCAATGGTTCCGAGTCGGCGAGACTCCCCCGGCTTTGTCGGATGGTGCCGAAGGGAAGCTAAGCAGTATCTGTGGGGTATTAAGACAGCATCATATATCGATAGATACAATAACACATGAACGTTATAGTAACAGTCAACTGCCAACCTGACTGACTATCTCATCCCGAATTGTTCATAGTCTTCACAACTTACCATGGCAATCGTTACCAACACCCCGTCATCCCACCAGGCTGCTGTCTATGACAAGCCAGGCGAACTCAGCACCAAGGTGGTAGACATTGAGACTCCTAGCCCATCTGCAGGAGAGGTGTTGGTGAAACTGTAAGTCTCAGCGTCTAGTCATGGACATGAGCTGATAAGAACAGTTCTCATTCTGGCGTCTGCCACTCAGACCTTTCCATCATGAAGAACTCTTGGGGGATGCCTTTTTCGCTTCCCGATAGTAGGTCTTGTTCCGAAGTGACTGGCGGACTCAGCTGATTCAGTTGGTGTAGCTCAAATTGGTGGTCATGAAGGTGTCGGAACTGTTGTTCAGATCGGAGAGGGTGCAGATATACACGGTTTCGCGATCGGAGATCGAGTCGGAGTCAAATGGCTAAGGGATATCTGCGGCAGCTGTGGTATGTAACGCCTTCTTCACTTACACGATTAACTAACGCCATCCCAAGTCTACTGCATTGCTGGAGAGGATGGCCTCTGTGCCAAGCAGTCTGTGTCTGGCATGTTCAACCCAGGGACATTCCAGCAGTACCTCACTGTACCAGCTCGATATCTTACACCCATTCCCGATGGTGTAAGCTCTGAAGTTGCTGCACCGATGCTCTGCGCAGGGTTGACCTCGTATGCGGCGCTGCGTAAAGTGACGGCCAGCCCAGGCGATTGGGTTGTTGTATCGGGGGCTGGAGGAGGTTTGGGACACCTTGTCACGCAGATAGCAGCAAGAGCCTTTGGGTATCGTGTTATTGGCATCGATCAAGCCAGTAAGGAAGATGTTGTGAAGGAGAGTGGAGCGGAGATATTTATCGATGCTGCGACGCCTGGTGAGGAATTAATCTCCCAGGTAAAGAAGCTCACCGACAACCTTGGCGCCAACGCAGTAGTCGTATGTGCATCCAGCAACGCAGCATACTCTCAAGGCTTGGAGCTACTGAGACCCGGTGGAACATTAGTCGGTGTTGGAATGCCCGGCGGCAAACCCGTCGCAATAGCAAGCGCCATGCCTGGACCTATTGTTCAGAAGCAGCTGAAAATTGCTGGGTCGATATTAGGGAATCGACAGGACGCGATTGATGTGCTGAACTTGGCTGCGAGGGGGGTGATTACTGTGCATTATCAGACGAGGAGGCTGAGCGAGTTGACGGAGGTCTTTAGGGAGATGGAAAGTGGGAGGCTTGCGGGAAGGGCTGTTTTGGATCTGCAGAGCTAATGCATGATCCGTCTGGGAGCAAAGTTTATTTGTTCTGGAGTCTTCAGCTGGCAGGGAAGCAGCAGAAGGCAGAATTCTAGATGAAACTTATCAGAGACATCTCACATCAATGGAGTAGTGTTGATACGAAGACTGTGTTAGTGGTGTGCACTGCCCAAATTTTGAGTTGTTCGACCTGGCAGCTGTTGCTTACATAGAACGTCTCATCGTATACTGCCCAAAGTCCCTTTCAGAGTCTGTTTTACCAAGGCTGGCTGACCTCACAAGTGAAGTATTACGTCCCGATGGAAGTGGTAGGCTTGCAGATCACAACACATATAAGCAAGGTTGGGCGCCAGATGCTATATTAATCCGCAACCAAAGACTTGTAAAAAGGGACCAATACCGATAGTCCCCCGGATCAAACTTTATTCTGCAGTTGAAACCAGGGCAGGATCTACCAATACGAGACGAGATCTATTATAAGCGAGAGCTCTGCCGTGAGATCTGCCGAGCGCCGGCCGGAAGTACGGACACTGCCGCTTAGTCACACGGGCTCAAGCCGCAAACGAAACACTGATCTGCATTTATCTTCCGCTTATCCTTGTTGACGCCGCGCCTCATGATTACGCATTGTGTTTCTTTACATGTCGTATCCAGAGTACGTCGGTAGAGCTGATAGGCCAGTGGTGAAACGCTTGCTGACGATGAAGCGTTTAAAATTAGGAAACGCTTGTGAGGCGAGGCTGGTTACTGTTTGTTGGCACAGAAACTGACTCGGTTTCACTGGGGTTTGGGTTTTTGTTTTGACTCCAGCCCTTTTTGCTGTGATAGGGGGTTGGGTTGAGGGATTATGGTGTCGATCTTTAGGGCTCTGATAGATAATAAATATCCGGGTTAGTTCTGGCTTTCCATTAAGTTGATAACTGAACACTAAGCCGTTTTCACATTCACAGAGTCTTTATCATGTCGACCTCAAGTTCACAACCTCCCAGTCCTCCTACAACAGCATGCATCGGCCTATCCGCCACAGCCCTTATTGTTTTCAGTTTCCTGCTATTCCCAGCACTGTATGTGGCGTATAAACACCGGAAAACCGGCCAAGCATGGTTTCCCCCTTTCATTATCTTTTTTATCTTTCGGATCACATCGGACATTTATTACCTCTCCCGCCGTAACGAACCTGATATTCCGACTGCATATGCTATGATAGCCGCGGCTGCTAGCACCGGGACTTTATCAGTGACCATTATTGGCATAATATACGAAGCGTATGTGAACCTGTATGCACCTAGCATCCACATTATGCGATACTAATGTTCCACCAGTCTGAACCTCCCATTGTTTCCATACAAACGGCAACGAAACCGCATAGCAGTCATAGCGATGAACATAATCTACAACATCGGCACGATCCTGGCAGCATACGGTGGAATGAGAGACACATCGATGCCGGACAACATCAAGAACGGGGCTGCTGACAAGGCTGGGAACATCATCATGTTCCTCGTGATGGTTGGTACTCTGGGATGGCTATATCCTGCCGGGAAGCATATCTACTACGCTCGACAAGATATAAGCTATCGGTCCGCTGAGATACTAATGATGGCTGCTGCACCTGCAACAGTCCTTCAATTAATCCGCATGAACTACGACCTCATTTACTCATTTACGCAAATCGCCATGCTGCATCCTACCACGGGCACCTTTGCCATCCGATTCGTCACCTTTTCCTTGCAGCTGGTTATAGTTGGGATGATCATTGTTGCTGGCTGGTTCAGTAAAGATGCTGCAACTATTCGCGCACGGGTTCTTAAAACAGATAGCACCTCTGAGTTGGTTTGAGGTCTTCAGGTCCACAAGGAAGATCATGGCTAGGGAGTGATACGCCTGACCAAGGAGCTGGCTCCAGTCAGGGCAAACGGGTCTAGTTACTTATAAAGATATCAATAGCAGTGGAGGATAAATGAAATAAACTTCGATTAAATAACGACTTGCCATATCAGGACTTTTACTATGGATGACGGCGGCCTTTAAGGTTAAGCTTTAGGCTGCAAACACAGATAATTGTATTGTCGGCAAACACCAATGAAAACAAACTTCAGGAAGAGGACAGTTAGTTCAAAGACCATCGTATTTCTCTCTTGTTTCCGCGATAATGGTCTTTTACCTTGTGGGTACGGCTCCTCTAACTTGTCAAATGTAGTAAGGCACGACGTCCGTGAGCACCAGCGACATCCGACCATGTGGGTCGTAGCCAGGCACCCGCAAGATAGGCATGGTCTAAACAGGTCTTCAGAAACTTTAAATAGAGAGGGTTTTGCTTACAACAGAATTAAGAAAAGCATCCAACTCTCCCAATATACTCCCAAACATCATGCCACCCACAGAACACACACAGCAGCTGGACCTCAAGTCTTTGGAGGATGCCATTGCCCGTTTGAGACTGGACATAAACCAATACATGGACCTCTCCCCGGAAGTACCTTTCATGCAGCCTATGCCGCCAAAGGAAGGTTCGGGGAAGCCTACACTCAGTCCCTTGGAAGATGCCTTGTTGCATCTGACGTTGAACTGGCCAAACGCATATGGGAAGCTCTATCTAGAAATAGCTCTTCTGCAAGCCCTCAAAGAATCGCGCCTCGACATCGTTGAGGAACTCATGGAAAAGGCTATTCGCGCGAAACTCTGGGACGGTGACGAACAGACATCACTATTACAGGCAACCGAGCTAGGGTTTGAGGAGATAGTAGCAAGCCGTTTACAAAAGGACGTTTCAATGAACAAACAGGATGTGAAGGGAGAAACACTGCTTTTCCGGGCTTCTCTCGCGGGAAACGTCAAGATCATGTCGCTTTTACTTGCTAGTGGAGCAGATATTGAGTTGGCCGATGAGGAGGGATGGACTCCTCTGATGGTCGCGGCCGAACGGGGCCATGACGAAGCTGTGGCTCTGCTGCTGAAGCACGGAGCTGACCCAAATGCGAGGGATCACAATGAGTTTACGGCGCTTCTACATGCGGCTATGATTGGATATCTCGGCATCGTACAACGCCTTCTCGATGCCGGGGCAGATCCGAATGCACAAGACGAGGCGGAGAGCTTGACTGCGATAAGTTGGGCAGCGGAGAGTGGCCGTACAGATGTTGTGAAGCTGCTGCTTAAGCGAGGAGCGGATCCAAACTTGGATGATCGCGTTCTTCTCTGTGCGATGAGTGGGTGTGAACCAGACGATATAGAGGATAGCGATGTACTGATAGAATTGCTCATCAAGCACGGCGCGGATGTGTTCATGGATGGCTGGTCAGATGAGCGACCCCTTGTCATCGCTGCCAGACAAGGTCGTTGCAATACTGTCAACATGTTTTTGGAGGCAAGTTACTCGTCCAGGAGTGTCCGGCAAGAGCATATATGGAATGCCATTACAGTCGCTGCTGAGGAAGAGGAGGGTGTCATTCTGGCGAGCTTGATGAAGCATTATGATATGAATGAGACAGAGAAGCAGAGAAAGTGGGAATGGGTACAAAAGTCTCAGTTTGGTGACTCGTTGGAGCTGTTGAGACCTTACTTTGAACCTGACGCAACGAGCGAACATGGCGGCAACTAGTCTAGTCCAGTACCTAACCCAATCGACCCGAAGCTGTTTTCACACTGGAGTCAACCTGACTTAGGCTGGTGTACTCTTGTGATTTAAGACCACCTGTCTCACACTGAGTGTCGTCCTGGTCTGTACTCGCTGTCCTTTTCTTGTTTACCTTCGCCGCCTCGGGGTTTGCGCTTAGTGCCAAGCCGTTCAATTCGAAGCTCAATATAGCCCGAGTACATATAGCCGCGAATATCAAGGCGAAGATGACTGGTAGAGAGTCCCCTAAGGGTATGAGAACAATGTTGCCAATAGGGACAGTGCCAGTGATGATATGAAGTCCGGCAACCAGTCGGACAGCGGGTCCGAGAAGACGCGGCAGGGTTCTTAGACGGTCTGAAGTCTGAATAGATATGTCAGAGGAAGAGTCACTTCAATCCAGCCTCGACTCAGACTGATCACCCACTTTTGATAACAATAGTATTGCGAGATTGTTTTACATCTCGAGCATTATGAACATTAGAATAGATTAACGAGCTGCTTAAACTCTCAAGGTGATATATTCACTATCAGGTTAAGGACAATAACTACTCATTCCTCCCCGAAAGGATAATATCTGACACCACTGGCTTGCTTTCCAAACAAAAAACTCAATTGGGCCGCCTGACAGGGCCGAGTCACTGTCACTGGGCGTCAGAGCGAGTATTTGTATTCCGATATCCTCGTACGATTTCCTCTCAGAGCTTTCCGTATATTTGACCAAAACCGGTTACCAGGCCACTTTATTAGGCTGCTCATCAGAGAAGCTATTGTGCGTGCCGCATGACAGCGCGGACACCCACAGCCATGGACCAACAACACTGCGTAGTCTACGTTGCCAAGAAGAATGGGGCGGTGCGCGTGTGCATTGATTGCACCCCCGCCAATCAAGTTGATAACTGAGGATTTCGTTTGGCTGCTGCCGCCGGAGCCTGAATAGGCAGGTAGTATAGATGCGCCAAAGCTCTAATGTGTGAAGTGGCTGGACGACATGCCTGTTTGCAAGACTCATCTCTCGGTGGTGCGATGCACTTGACCTCAATTTGCGTCTATAAGAAGGCCCCCATCCCATTATTTACCTCGAGTATTGTTTTGTCACTCATCGCCACACTACCTTCTATTACTCCCACTCTCAATCCCACCGCTGCCCTCGTGCCAATCGTCCCCAAACCGTGTAAGTTCAAGTCATCCGGCAACGAACGTCGATGGGTCGGTCCGCTAATATCCCTTGGTTTCTTGGACGGACAGACAAAATGCAGCTCTCGTATGCCCTTCTCTTGGTCGCCGCTGCCAGCTCTGTCCTCGCTAGACGTCTTGTAATCACACCCGTCAAGTTGTTCTCGGGCAACGACGTGTATATCTACTCCAATGATGGAACCGAGCACGCAATCAAGGACTTTGTGCCTATTGACGGCTGCAAGTATAACCGGGGGGCGATCGGGGAGTGCTGTGTGGATATACCTAATAAAAGGGCACACTTCAAGTACAAGGGACAGTCGACGAAGTACTGCTTTAAGTACCATAGCAAGACTGGGACTGGAAAGGACACGAGGTTCATTTACGGCGAGGCCGGGTGCTCCTGGTAGATAGTACCTTGCGAACCATGGCGATGCTGTCGACGGTGGTGCTTCTTGGCTGCGCTGTTGCCAACGTCGCTATCCGGTGCTTCATCAGGGCGCCAGACTTCCTCGGCAACGTCACTGGGATGACGAGGGACTCGCCATATATTCAAGTCGATTCACCGGGTGGGAGTGGCGTAAGCAGTTGCGATAGGATTCTTGAGGTGAAGGACGTGAGGGTACGAGTTTGCGATGTGAGGCCTGAATCGGAGGTTGGGAAGATTGCCTTGACAACTAATGTAGATAGCCCCAAGTTGCATTGGAGGAGGATGTACTCGTAATCTCCAGATAGAGATAGAGCCAGGCAGGCTAAGGTTCGTCTAACAGCACCAGCTTGTGATTCGCACTCGGTGTTAAGGATGATATTGCCAAGTAGTATAAAGGGAAATCGACGTACTTACTAAAGCCGTTCCAGAATAGAGCTTCCTGGTTCTCAAAGTTGGAGTTGAAGTTAGTGAATCGCGTGCAATTGCCGCTACCTTATGCCGAGATCAAGCTTCCCCGCGTTTTTGACCATTCCCAAAGCGATAAGCTGTTTTGCTTGTGGCGCTGTTAGCCAAAATGAAGGAAATCTGGGTGAAATAAACCCAGGTGCGGGGAAGCCCTGGTCAGTTGATAAGGGGCTCAATTAAGCCTAACGGATTAGCCAATACACGTTGCAGTTCAGTTCATGACCCCCGCAAACTCGTGGCGATCTAGAGTCTGGGGTAGTGGGGACCCCGGCGAACCTCCTCTCTCCCAAGTCGCGACTGTTCTCGACAGCATCTACCTTTGATCACTGTCCTGTAGCTAGGCTGGGATACCGTAAGACATTATGTCGACGCGAAGCTCGAAAGTCACAAAGAAATCGAGGCTGAGTCGGACGGCCATCAGCTGCGACCGCTGCAAGTCGAGGAAGACAAAGGTGAGGCTTGCGACCCAGTCATACTCAGGCATTTACTAAGCAATCTACAGTGCAACAAACCTGGTATGTCGACAGCAACGGTAAGAGGGAGAATTCTGACTCTCATTGAAGATGCCGATGGCCCATGCGACTATTGCCGCAGCATCGATGAGGTCTGCTCCGTAGACATGGAGAAACGGCGGCAAAAGCCCTTCTACTTTGTCTCCGAAGAGGAATATCGTCTCTTACGTGAGCTTTGCAGTAAATGCTTCCCAGATGAGGAATTGACGATACCGAATCTACGACGATTGATTGACGAAAACCAAAAGCCAACGTTCAAGACACAGACTGATATCGCAACGCCGACAATGTCCCTGATTGAAGTATCGGCAGATGCACCCCTCATAGGCTGTGGAGATGAACCAATCGATCAAGGGCAGGCTTCACTGGATGCTGTAGAGGAGACTCAAGCTCAAGAAGAAGAAATATTATTGCCAGAGATTGTCAATCTGCACCAAGACCTGGGCTGTCTGCTTGCCGACAGTCACGGGGAGTATCGTAAGCTTCCTCGCTACACAAGGACCACAACTGTTACTAACATATACAGGCTACATGGGAGCAGAGTCAGGCGTAAGTTTTAACAGCGCCGTGAGGTCGTGGATGATGAGAATGGGAGCAGGGACAAGGAGTAAAGAGAAGGACAAGGATAAAATACCTGGAATGCTAAAAGTCAGTCCACCATCAGTCAAGTCACCTTTGACGGATGCAGCATCTTCACCTGGGAATCCATGCCAGTTTCCGTCGCAGGATCTACTATCTGCTTGCGCAGCTTGCTTCTTTGAGCAGGTTCATTGTTTGTACTGGATATACTCTGCCGAATCGTTTTACACCCGGCTTGAGACGACGTACTCTGGAGATACCGGACAGCTCACCGCTTCCTGGCTTTGCTCACTTCATGGAATAGTAGCGTTATGCGCCTCGTGTGAGCCGTCGCCTAACGGTTTAGTCAATGGACAGCGGGCGCATGACTCACTGGAGATGGCCAAGTCTCTCGTGACGAGGGTTTGTGATGAGGCAGATCTGGACAGTATCAGGGCATTGATAGTGTTGGTAAGTATCCTCATGCCTCCATAGTATCTGGTCTGATAAGAAAACCCTAGTCTCTGGCATTCCAGTCTAATGGCTTCACTAACTCTGCATACCTTCACATTGGTCTCGCAGTCCGAATCGCCTTCTCTCTCGGCCTTCATCTCGACAAATACTCCACCAAGAGCGGAGTAGTAAGTCAAGCACATGCTCGCCGCCTTTGGTGGACGTTGTATCTCGTTGATCAAGACCTCTCTCTTGCTTTGGGAAAGCCCAGCATGAATAGTCCACCCAACGAGACCTCTTGGAACCCGCCATTACCTTCAGAATTCGTATGTACTCAGTTTAGATGAGCTTACAGGGTCTTTCTAACACGTTTCAGGTTGTCAGCCCAGGCTCACACACGCCGAACGGATATCTCGAGCAGTGTATACGTCTGGCTCAGATAACACAGAGTATACGGCAGAACCTCTATGACGGACCTCTTCACGGTGGACAAAAGCTATCGAGGGCTCATTTCAACGATTCTATTAGTGCGCTGCAAGACTGGCTAGATCATGTATCGCCTCATCTCCACTTATCACCTTCGGTATCATTATCCTACAGGCGGTCCATATCTCTCCTACACCTTCGATACTGGAGTACTATGATGCTAGTCACCAAGCCCTTCCTTCTATGCAATCTGTTACAAGGCATCGAGCATGTTGAGGCTGTCAAGCAGCCAATGTTCGCTACACTTGCCAAAACCTGTGTCTCTGCCGCCGAGTCATCATTCGAGATCCTGGAAAGCATGGTCTTATATAAAGTTGCCTCTAGTCTGGTGATGGCCGATTATTTGTTCGCTTTGCAAGCACTTCAAGTCATCGTTGCTGCTTGCGGGCTATATCACATGGATGGACACCAAGCCCGAGCAAAGCAGTGTCTACGAATCCTCCTCGCTATCAGTGTATCTGGCTACCCAAAGCATCTCATTCCGGAAACACTATTCCAGTTACAGCAGTGTGGGCTTGCCGAAGGCGTCGAGGAAACATTAAGTATTCCACTACAAGCCTCCGAACCTCTAGGATATCCCCAGATGGTGACCGAACCTCTGCAACGGTACGTACTAGCTATCAAACTTCCATCAAGCTTTACTAATGGGTGCACAGGATTTCCCTCGATCAAAGCACGGATCAACTAGCGATGACGTGGTTGAACGAGCTCGACATGGCAGATATCGTTATTGACAATGGATTTCTGGATAATCTGATGGACATCTCTTCGATCTTCCCCTTTGGATCATCATGACGATGATCACGCTTGGCGTACTGTCCTCCAAGAATAATTCTGTACTATCACTACTTATCTCTGCTGTAGACCTTGCAATGAAACTCCCTAATCTTGACAAACCAAACATTCTCCGTCTCGTACTCGGGCTCGCCAGACACTGTGTCTGGAGCAAAGTCAAACTGTCGAACTATTTGCGGAACAGCTTTGGACAGCTCCATGAGGCTGATGTTTTTGCCCAAACATGTACGAGATCCCTGCCCGAACTGTTGAAGTGAAGTGTTAGGAGATGTCACTGCTAGATGGGGTTGAGGTGTTACCTACTGTCATGAAGTACGATTCGCGCTCTTTGACCAGCTCAGGATAATCGAGCCATCTTTCGGGTCGGAATAGGTGGGCATCATGGCCAAATACCTTTGTGTTGGCATGGGCTACCCAAGCATTGATGCCAACGACGGTCTATCGAAGTCAGTTCAAACAGCCGAATGTATGTACATGAAGAAGTACATACTCCTGGAGGAAAGTATTGTCCTGCCAAAGTTGCACCATCTGGCGGAACGACCCGACCGAGGCTGAGTCCAGTGGCAGGGTGCATCCGTAGGCCTTCTTTGATCACCGCTTGTAGATAAGGGAGCTTGTTGGCTTCAGCGAATGTGATTGGGTCAGATACAGTACCTCGACTCTCGTGATCCTGAATCTCGGCTCGGAGCTGCTGAAGAACCCTCGGGTACTTGATCAAGTTGAAGATGATTGAGGTCAAGCTGATTGACGTGGTGTCAGACCCAGCGCCAATGTTCATGTTGCACACAGAACTGATGTCGGCGTCGGTGACCTTGCCTGGATCCTGGGATTGGAGGCGTAGAAACTTGGTGACAAAGTCCTCTGCTGCATAGCCACTGATATCTTCCTCTGTCTTGACCTTCTCGCGCTTTTCTTCGAGCTGTGCGTTGGCAAACTCCCTGACATGGCTCAGGCCAGATACGGTCTTTGAACGCATCTGTCTGCGAAAGAGAGTCTTGTGCCACTCTGGGAACACCCCGACATTGGCGCAGTAAACCAGGTACTGGCTCAACGACGACATGATCCCTTGTATATCCTCGCCGGAGTCTAAGAAGCCGAATCGTTTGCCGAGCTACCAGACTTAGTCACCTGTATCAGAGCTAGTAACAGCTGTGTTTCTTACCGTCATCATGCCTATTACATCAAAGGCATAGCACTGCATCCAGTGTGATATCTCCACGGAGGCGCCAGACCGGGCAAACTCTTCCAGTCGTTCCCGAAGAACAGCGGAACATTTATCGATGAAAGGCTCAAGTTGTACCAAGTTGGTCATCGAGTAAGCTGCCGCGACCTTGCGTCTGGCTTGGGCATGGATATGCGGATTCGGCTCGACGAAGATGTTGGGGAGTGGACTGATGGGATTGCCGCTGGCATAATACCATGGAGACTACTCAAGGCGGTCAGCTGAGCTTCTAATAGTATCATGTCCTTTGTCACAGACCTTTGTGAAGCCTCGGCCACTGCCATAGATGATCTTGGCCGCCGCAGGATCGTCGATGCTATACTCGTTGGGTGCTATGCGGACGACGGGTCCTGGGTTACCTGTCAGATTGAGTTGACACTTCCGATGAACCAACTAACCATATTTCTTATGGAGCTCGATACTGGTCTTGGGGTATGTCCCAAAGTAAGCTTGTTTGAGGAGCCATAGCCTCGTAAATCTTGCAAGAAAAGGTCCAGGCACTCGTCTCAAAGGGGAGCGAATGAACTTGACAAGGGTCAAAATGACCCATCCCAAAGTCAAACAAAACGCCAGCAAAACATAAAGCGAGAATGGTTTCATTGTTGGAAAGTGTCAAATATTGATGATTATCGTCGATTGCATCAAGTAACCAGGGTCAGATATGATATTACTATTCTATCGGCATTCCTCCCTCTCATGTTGCTTGACATGTTCCATCCCAGCGGCAATGGGATGTACCACGAATGGTCGTTAGGTCAGCGTAACATTAGCCGATCGCTTCCTACCATTCGGGGGGGCTCTGCCGATCAGTTCCTCGTGGCTGTCTCGTACCTCTTCCCCGCGTCATCTACCCTTGTCCCGCGAAATGATGTGGCTGGCTATTGCACTTCGGACCCATACCCCCGATGGTCATCAAGCCGAGATCACGAGTCCCAGCCTCTCATTCGATTTCGGAATGTAGATGCCCGGGCATCACCCTGCTTATCGCTATTCAAGCCGCCGAATACTCATTTCGGTAGCGAATGGAACTAAGTCATTGGCAATAACGTCCTTGAGGATGATAAGCGTGTGATGTCCTATAGATCCGATGGGGTAGGCAATGACCATCACATAGGAAGAAAGTCAAACAGCTGCATGGCTTTCTGCTCATGGATCTGGTGACAATGAACTTGTGCTTTATGGATGCTATCGTTACGAAAACGGGATTCAATTTAGCAGTCATTGCATCAGACATGTGATTGCACAAACGTTCCAATGAAGTGTAATATTGTCTACTACTATAGCCACATGTGCACAGCGCATGCCTATCAAACAGTCCAGTCATCAATGACCCTCGCAGGCGGAGCACTACTCGCCGGCTCCCTCCACTTAGGCGCCTGCAAATCCTCATCCGCCACCTGCTTCCCCGTAACAGGATGCACATAATGAAACGGCACAACCCTAGTATCAGGCCACAAATCACCCCCATCCCAAAGCTCATCCGGCCCCTGCGGATTCGCCGGATACGTCTCCTTAAACAAGGGCACAAACTTATCAGCATCCTGCCAGCCCTTCTCAACACTCCCATGCCAGAAAGGGTGATATCGTAGACGGAAGATCTTCCACACACCGTCTTCTTTGATGTACTCGTTCTCGTAGACGCCGCCCTCCCACCATTGACGCTGGCCGCCGGGGTACTCGGGGTTGAGGGTCTTGTGGGTGCCGGCGCTCATGAGGGTTCTGCCACGGTATTTGGCGGTGTTGGTGCCGGGCTGGAAGTCGACGACGTCTTGGCCGATGAAGTGGTCTAGAAGCCAGCCGTGGATGGGGCCGTTGCGGCCACCGACGAAGTAATTGGACCAGCGGTCGATGAAAAGTCGACGGATGGAGTCTTTGCCTCTGAAGCGTCCATTCAGGAACTGCACGTATGCATCTGGTGAGTCTGAGAACAGATCCACCACCTTATCGTGTTAGTCATATGGAAGCTGGGGTCACATTGGTTGGAGCCGGTGCATACCTCCTTGTAAAGGCATTTGTCAAGATAGTATCCGTAAATATGCTGCAGTTTTCGTACATCTGCCTCAGCTATGACACATAAGGTTAGACATAGCAAATGACTTAACAGAGTGTTCATTACCTGTTAGCTTTTCGATCTTGGCTTCCATAGCCTGAAGCTGTTTCATGACACTTTCGGTATCCATGCTGCCAGTCATTTCGCTACTCTAGCGACGTGTCAAGTTGGTATGCTGAAGAACAGGGAACTCAATGTACAGTAAACGATAGCACTCTACTGAGAGGTACCTGCTGAAGCCCATTGGATCTCCAGGAGGTCTTATACCTGTAGACTAGCTACATCGGGAGTGGCTGTCAGCCTTCAGTGAGGGGTCCTCGACGCTTCGGCTCTTGAGTTCTGTCGGATGCATACCGCCGATGCCACTAAATTCATCACTAACCCTTGTGAAGCAGGGGAATTCAACTCTCAAGCCAAGCCAATTTTTGTTATCGCGCCGAGTGCTAGATCGCGGGGTAGAGATCTGGGGAAGCGAAGCGACGCGTCTAACAGGGCCTAGAACGTGCAGCGTTGGTGATAAAAGGATATATCGCTGATCCTTCCTCTCCACTTCTGATGCAAGGACAAGCTCGCAGATGCAAAGTCCTCTCTTTGATTGCACATCTTCATCTGTTCTCTAAGAAATCACCATCGACATGGAGGCACAACAGGTCTCTGCAAGAAGTCAGCTCAATTCGTTATGGAGCGAGAAGCGCCTGATCGCCATTTGCTTCTTTATTGCCTTGGCTCAGTTCCAGTATGGATTTGATTCCGCTGCTGTTTCTGGCTTTCAGTCCATGCCAGGCTTTCTCATTGTCTTTGGTTATGCTGATGTGAGTAATCTCCCGCCAATCCTCTACATGGATTTCTCTGACCGTTTCTCTGAACAGCCCACTAATCCAATCGGCTACAACATCACCACCAAAGTCCAAACCCTCCTGCAGAGTCTCATCAGTCTCGGCGCCCTCGCCGCATGCATCCTCATCTTCAATTTCGGCCGGTTCATCAGCCCTCGAGTCGGGCTCTGGATTGCATCGCTTTTCGGCGTAGTCTCAATCGCTGCACAAATGGGAAGCACGCACCTTGCTGCGTTGTACTTCGGCCGTGTCATGCTTGGATTCTCCAACGGCTTCTACAGTACCTTCTCGGCGATTTATATCGGAGAATCGACACCAGCGTATCTCCGAGGTGCGGCTATTGGCTTGGTGGTCATGCAGATTAATATCGGTGCTCTTGTCGGTATTGCTGTCGACAACGGAACTCAGACCATGCTCAGTCGTCTGTCATACCAGATACCACTTGCGGTCATGTTTGTCGTTCCAGTCATGATGTCTGTAGGCCTTATATTCCTACCAGAGACTCCTCGGTATTACATCTCCAAGGGTCAGGACGACAAGGCCGAGGCTGCGATTAGAAAGCTACGGGGTATAACCGATGATGAGAGAATTCGCGAGGACATTATGATCATGAGGAATGCGTGGTTGGAAGAGACTGAGATGCGTTCTACTACTCGGCTCCTTGACGCTTTCCGTGGCACCGACTTGCGACGCACTCTCCTTAGCATTGCGACAGCTGTTGGCCAGGCTAGCACTGGTATCTACTTTATCTCAGCCTTCTCGGTCTACTTCTTTGTTCAGGCTCGAATTGGCTCACCTTTCAAGTGGGTCATGGTATCTCTCGCCATCGCCCTCACGGGAAATATGCTCTCTTTCCCTGCCATACGCTTCTTCAACCGTCGGCATCTTCTTCTTGGCACATCTCTCCTTAACGGAGGCTTGATGTTGGGTATGGCAATTGCCTACACTGTTTCTCCCGTGGGCTCTCCAACTGTTGGAAAGGTTCTTGTCGGGTTGAGCATCGTCTTTACCTGGGTATATGGCATCGGCCAAGGTCCTGTGCTATGGGCCCTGCAGACTGAGATACCCTCTCAGCGACTTCGAGCGCAGACAGTTGGCTTCTCACAAGGCACAAGCTTCCTGGCTTCCTGGCTGTGCTCGTATTGTACGCCATACTTCATCAACCCAGAGTCACTCAACTGGGGACCTAAGTATTGTTACATCTGGGCAGGCAGCAATTTTATCCTGGCTGTCTTTACATATTTCTTCATTCCGGAAACTAAGGGCCGAAGCTTGGAGCAGCTGGATGAGCTGTTTGAGAAGAGGATCTCTGCCTGGAAGTTCAAACGTTATGTCACCGATCTGCAGCAGGCTGATACAGATAATTACGTTGGTCGAATGGACGCGAATGAGAAGGCGGGTATAGTTCAGGTGGAACATAAGGAGAACTAGTGGTCGGGTAACTCAGGATAAGTTAAAGTAGCTATCTTAATGTCTCTTTGTAATGTCATTTACTTTGCAAAATTTGAAGCCAGCTTGCACTATCTATCATTTGCCATACTGAGTTCTCACCACTAAGCTAATCCGGGCATTTAAACTTGGACACCGCCACTAATTGTTATTCTTATGCTGAATTCTACCTTATCCTCATATCAGCTTCCCTAGATCTAGCATAATAGCAGAAACGCAGTCTCAAATGTTGTTTGTAATTCCAGGTTGGATGTTCTCCAGTATAGCCATTAGTTCCCTATGCACACGTGCCTGGGTCTCTGCACCCTCCTTACTTCTAACAAAGGTGCTCGGTTCTCTAACCCTGCACTCACTCATATACTTTCCGTGGGTTTCATCTCCAGCAGCAGCACTATGTACGAGTGTTCGCGACCCTTCTTCCGTCTTGCGTGCAACGAGTGTTTTGGCGATGGAAAGAAGGTAGCGAGGGAGTCCCTGGTGTCGAGTTAGTGTCCATTGATTCCAGAAGGCAGCTTGAATCATACCTTTACATCCTTGTCCAGCTCCGACTCGCATAGCCCGGGGTGCACGTTATTCAAGATAATTGGCTGCGCGCTATGGGGACCGTCTTTCATTGCTGCAGCGATTGAACGCACAAGCATCACCACGAGTAACTTCGATACATTGTATCGATCATTGAGCCATTCTGGTCTGTTCTCGTTCAAAGCATCAAAGATTGAAGGCCCAAATCTTTCTCGAAATTTCGCCTATGCGTTGTCAGAAGTGCCTCCTTGAAGCAGGCGGTCGAGCGAAAAGGAGAACCCACGTTGTAATGAACTGCAGAGCTAGTAATGACAAGCCTTGGTACTCGCCTGGTCTTTTCGTATGACCTTCGAAGGATTGGAAACAGATTCAATGCCAGGAGAAATGTTCCGATGACATTGACTTTGATGGTGATCTCAATCCCCTCACTCTCTTCATAGGTATTCCTCAAAATGCCGGCGTTTTCCACCACGACATCGAGCCTTTCGAGTGTATTGCATCTTGAAGCAAAGGACTTGATTGAGTCATACTTATCCATTTCCAGTTGCCATACTTGCACAACGTTCTTTCGCTTCGTGGAAGCCTCAATCGAGGCTTTCGCTGCTTCGCCTCTTTCTAACGACCTGACCGCGAGAATGACAATGTCTGCATCAAGTCGCACAAAATGCCTGGCGGCTTCCAGGCCCAAACCAGTGTTTGACCCTGTAACGATAATGGTCTGGCCTTGGAATGACGTGGTGGGGATAGGAATGTGTTCTAGCTGTCCGCGGAAGGCGTCCATGACTGATGTAACAGCGATTGTGAATAGGACCGAATAGAGGGGGGAAATGTTTAAAGGGCTTTGTTTACGGCTCTCCTGTGTTTTGCGGTATAATCTCAAGCAATGGATTACTCGTCTTTATATATTTAAAGAATTGTAACCGGAATGCTAAGTAACCCGAACCACCGAATTAACATCCTATGAGGCTCGGGGACTAGCCTAGACAGCGATGGTCGCTGCAGCTGGTTTCAATTTCTGATTACAAATGCCATCAAAAGACCGGGCTCAACACATAAGGAGTCCAGACTTCAGCCTTGCGAATGGAGTAACATTGACAATACGTTCGCGACGAGATAGGAGACGGAGTTTGCACGCGTGTTATTATGCAATTATACTTGGTCCTAGAACAGAGTTTTAAGGCTAGCTCTTTGTGGTAAGTTCTTGAGTTTTTATCTCCCGACACGGCATGATATTTGCCCCGTCGGCAGAATTCATGCAAACTTCCGTCAAAAGATTGCCATAGCATTTGCCAAGCTTGCAACACCCCCAGGACTATTCAGTGGCGTGCTGACAAAGAAGAAGGACCACCGTTTCTTCTGCATACATTGTACAGACAGAGCCTAGAACAACTCAGTACGTCTCTCTTTGTGTCGTTGATTAACGCTGGCTGCTTACCTCGAGATCAAACATTTCACCGATTGGGACGCCCCAACAAGCAAGTAGATATTCATGCTGTCAAGTGTCAGTCAGATGATTAGGTTGCTAATCGAGGCTTCTTACAAGATGCCACTTTTGGGTTGTGGGCCAGCACTCAAATGAAGGTGCATCACTGGCCACAGCACTGAAATATCTACGACATGATGTCAGTAGTTACCTTCTGTCTCAATTTATAATACAAGTCACCTATCATGAAGCCAAGTCTTCATCTATTCCGTCTGCGCAAGGCCTGTTAGGTTAGGCTTGTGGGTGCCCGCTTCCACGAGCCTCTCGGGAGCCGATTTCTCGTACTTGTAGTAGGTAGCTGTGTAGCCACTCCGGACCAGAAGAATGTCTCCGACCTGAAACTCGACGTTCTGATAGGCTGCTACAGCTTTCAGCTCATCCAGGTGGATCGCATGAGAGGTAAAGGCATCGTATGGTTCATTCTTGACTTCCGCCTTCCAGCGATAGTAGTCCAGCAGTACGCCCCTTCCAACAACCCCATGGTCAGACCATGCCTGCATACCGCATCGGGTACCTATCCAAGGAGTAAACAGTCAATTGATGCTGTGATCGGCATGTTTGACGTGATGCGGTTTCAGGGGTGATGCATACCCGACATAACCTCCTCTGGGGTCAGGTTGTTATAAAGCACACCATGGCCGAGGTGCCCGAAATGACGAAAGCCATCCCATTGGCTACCGGATTGCACGTTCATTTAAATCCAATCATCAAATACCATGTGGCCGTCTGGATGGTTCGCAAGCTTGTATTTGCAGGGATCACGACAGAACGCGGGCTTAGCAGGGAGAGTAATGGGCCAACTTTCAGGTACCACTAATTAGCCAGTGCGTTTTTTTCCCTCTTGCTTCTTCTTCTTTCTCTTGTGTTGCGGCGGAGGATGGGTATAGGTTCATTCTAACTTACCTCAGAGAGACACATTGACCATCAAGGATTTCTGTGCTTTTGGCAGAGAGTATTCTTTCTGGTGTCAAGAGGTTAAGTCGACCAAGATGCGGTTATCTGGTCATTAAATTACACCGAGAATTATGCCAATCATCGTGCCTACTTACCTCATCGTCCTGGCCCCAAATCCAAGCTGCTTCCAAAGGAACGTTGCGGTCCTTGATTGACGCCTTGACTTCCTCCAGGGTAGGAAGAGTATCCACAGATCTCCCTGTAGTAAGGCTCATGATTTAGAGAAGAGATGCGTGTTTATGGTGACTCTTGGAGCAGATGAAAATAAATTACTTAAGGAATACGGAGTAAGCCTTGCATAATATCGACTGAGATCAATAATGACATACCTTCTGGAGATGGGCAATATATTTAGCTGACAACAGTAGCAATCCTTTTGGCTTTCACACGTCCCTCCTCTTCTTCCTTTTGCCCTTGTTTGGCCAATCGCGACGTGAAAAGGTACCTATTGCCATTTGATGAGCAAGCTTGCAAGAGCCCCAGATCAGCGTTCCGACGGATGAAAACTGAACATCCACCGGATTATACAAAAAAAGACTTTTGAGCCTAGGCTGTAAACAGTATGAACAAGTGAGCGTTGCTCCTCAAGATCCTTCAGAATCGAGACACTCCTCGCCTGAAGCCCAAAGCTCAGCAACAACGGACGGGTCCGTAACTGCAGGAGAGCAACTGGGGGATGCCAAAAATGGATATTCACCTTATACCCAGGGCTCCTCAATGGTGGATCTCACACTCAAGGTAAGCAGTTGTTTATGCCCTTGTTGTAAAGAGACACACACTGACACAGCATGTGTGCTCCTCGCTACAGATATTCAATCAGCATCAGCCCGGCCTCAGTTGTGACAATGACACATTTGCTCTACCAGGTGGCTCTGGGTCAGCAGCAGGTAGTCCTTACCAGGCTCGAGCAGCACCTCTGCGTGATCTCGTAGGGCTGGAGCTGCCCCCAAGACACGTCGCTGATTTCTTGATCAATACCTATTTCAAGTCAGTCCATTGGTTCATGATGGTACTAGACGAGCCTTCATTTCGCCAAAATTATGAACGCATCATTTCCTCTGGAGTTGCGTGTCAGTCTGAGCTTCCGTTTGTCACGTTGCTGATGATGGTGCTGGCAATTGCATGTAAGGATTGAGCTGGTTTCTAGCCTGTTGCTCCATAAGCCGCGACACGAAGAGTACTGACGATGATTTGAAGCACGCTATGCGAGAATGAAGGAGATACGAGATTGCTGTCCTGATTTCGACATGGACTCCCTCCAGACCCTGTTGCTGAGCAAAGTGAAGCAGCACATATACGATCTCTTCGACGATGCGTGTCTCGAGGCGGTCCAGGTCACCATCCTTCTGGGATCCTTCTACCTTTACAACGCAAAGCCCAACCTTGCGTTTGCCATACTGGGGGCGGGTATCAAGTGCGCACAGGCAATGGGATTGCACTTGGCATCCTCATGGAAGACCCAATCCGAAAATGTGCGAGAAATGCAGAGACGTACGTGGTGGGAGCTGTTTGTGTTTGACAGGTATTAACCCACATACAGCCCTGTGAGGAGATTCTGACTTTACGCTGCTGACACATGAATCCCAGATTCGCCTCTATTGTCTTTGGAAAGCCTTGTTCCATTAGAGTGTCTGACTGCAAAGTCGAAGTATCTGCGGTGCTAAATTGTTTCTCGCCCCAACATCCCGACTACCAGTCAACCGAGATCACCGAGGAGGGCAAGATGGTCCCCGTTACCCTCTATACCTATCAGTGGCTGAAGTCAAGGCTATATAAAATCATGTCACCAGTATTGGAGAACATGCACTTCATTGGCCCTTCCCAAAACAGAGTGCAGCTTAGTGATAACATCAACAAGACTCACCAGTAGCTCGTTGAATGGCACGCCTCTCTTCCGGAGGAGCTTCTCCTAAGTCGGATATCCAGCAACAACAACATTTCTTCTGGAGCAGTGCAGTCTACTTTCAAGATGCAGGCTCTGGCACTGCAACTGGCCTATGATAATATCATGGTTATTCTGCATCGCCAACTCCTCCTATCCGAGCCAGAAGACTTCTCAGTACCGCACACGGAGAATGGACGTGACGGAGCATCACGTAGTGAGCTAAGGACTACTTCAGCCATGCAGAAGGCCAATGCTACAAGTAGGAATCAATGTTGGGAATCGGCTATGCGCACATCGAGCATCATCCAGCACCTGGACGTTTTACGGCAAATGAAAGCAACCCATGCCGCTTCATACACTGGGATGCATCTGTTCACGGTTTGTGTGATGTTGAGCGCTGTTGCAATGTCCCAGCTTGTGTCTAAAAAAGCCCAAGAGGCAAAGAGGGCCATCGGTTGCATCATCCGGCTTATGAAGGGATTTTGACCTCACACGGTGCTTTCAGCCTAGGGCGCTACCATAATGGAGAGGCTACTATTACTAATAATGACCGAGGAGATGACGGCTCTCATTTTGGACTCACAGCACTCTCAACTGAACCATATGATACTTGGAAGTCGTCAGCCTTTGCCGTTTCCAGATTCTATCCGAGCGCAGATTCAAAGTCCACGCTCAAATGATGAAATTGTTGTTTCGACCCCAAGCCACGATCCTCAAGGCCTTGAATACTGTCAGCCTGATGGGTCTTTGCTGATGCCTGACAGCCAAACATAAGATCCATTTGAATTCACAGACTTCAACATGGGGATGCTCTCTGTGCAAGAAGGTAATATATGGCCATTTTATTCCTTTGGACGGATCTGACTGACATTGTGTATAGCTTTTCGTAGTGCTCCTATCTTTGGTTCCGGTTCCGAAGGTGATGTCACAATGCGAGCCCTTGGTGGTGAAGGTGATTCTGCAACTGGCCTTGAAAGAGACGGACAGTCTATTCAGGTCGCGGTGAATGGGGCTGGTAACTTCGTTTCAATGTACGGTAATTCGCTTGGTGGCCTTCCCCGATAACGGCCAGATGTGGCTACGGGATATACCCCCAAAGCCGTTCTAGGTATAGCCGAGACATGTACAAAGAGGAGAATACACTTGTGTAGTTTATTCTCGTTTTACCTTAATCTGAACTCTCAAAAACCTATCTATCACTTATGTATAGAAACAGTTATTGTGCTGTATAACCAACATCGATAGCGATAAGAGTTCCATGAACGAATTTGCTTCGCCCGCTCAGCAACCAGACAATAGTCTAGGCGACTTCCTCTGGCAGTCCAAAACGCTTGATTGGGACCCAGTTGGCGACCTTCTCACGGGCGTCTCTGCTCATCTCCCCAGGTGCAGAGGTCATGGGAGTGACGATGTAGCCTGGCGCAACGGCATTGATCTTGATCTCAGGATAGTCTAGGGAAAAATTCTTAGTGATACCAGTCACGCCATGCTTGGAGGCGACATAAGCGGTGTAGTATCTTATACCGATAAGACCTGCAATTGAAGGGATGTTGACAATGGCTCCCCGCTGCGATTGTGCGGGGGCGTTACTATCACAGAGGTCAGTAGTCGCTCGTTCACATGGGCTAGCCAGAGAGACTCTCAACTCACGTACCAAGTGGCTCTTGACGAAGCATCTGACGAGCCTCCTCCTTCATCGAATGATAAGTGCCCGTAAGATTGGCGCCGATGACCCTGTCCCAATCCTCCGACTCAGTGTTCACACCGAGGGACTTGAAAGCCAATCCAACACTATTAACCGCATAATCAAGACGGCCAAAGACCTCGACAGTAGCCTTGACCATGGCCTTGACGGATAAAGGGTCGCTGAAGTCGACGGCGATAGCTATGCAAGAGAACTTGTTATTTGTAGCCGCAGCCTCGACTTCCGCCTTGACAGTCTGCATATTCTCTTGCACAAGATCCGCCAGGGAAATACCAGCGGCGCCGTCTCTGGCGAGCAAAAGAGCGGTGCAACGGCCAATGCCGGAGCCACCGCCTGTGATGAGGGCGTAGCCGGGGGTTTTAAGGGAGTAGACCATTTTGGGTAGATGAATGGGTTGGAAAAGCTGAAATGGTGATAGCTATACTGTTATAAGGTATAGTTTAAGCTCCTGAGTATAAAACCCGTATTTCCCTCCTTATAAAATGTCTTTATATACTACCTCTTGACTGTCTATAGTCTATCCTTGCTGTCCCTGGCCAACTCTATAACTTGCCCAGGTCTTCCAAGTAGTCTCTCTCAACATCGACTATTCCTAAGCAGGATACCTATACGTCCAGGATAGAGGAGCCAATCAATAAAAATTCGTAGTACAGGTTGATATTAATGGAATATGGCTTTGCAGCAGAAGGTCCGCAAAGATCCGGAGATTACAGAATCTGCAAGATAGATATAAACAAGCTATAGCTATACGCCATTTCCCTTTAGCGTACAAGCATCGGAAGTACATCAGTCTTTCCTTAATCTCAGTTGATGAGTAAGGTCGTCATAACTATGATATACAGTATGACACAGCTAAAGTAGGGGTGCTTCTGCCTGCAGCTTACAGAGTGTATCCGAGAATACGTGTTATTTACAGTTGAGACTTATGGCTGAGGGCTGATTCCGGCAGACAGAACCTGGAGTGCCTCCGAGACATAGTGACATACAAATTCTCAGGGCGATGATCCCTAGTGATGATCCCCCGGCTCCCCACACTCAGCCGTCAAGGTTGCAGCCACAGGGTCAGTCTTTACCAGTCGCAGATAAGTGCCGACCTCCGGGACAATTTAAGGTCTACGTGCTGATTTAATTAGATTTCTGTATGGAGCCTAACCTGGAAGTATGCAGGGCGGTTATCTAGAGGGCGGTGGCAAGTGGAAAACCGACAACCTGTCAAGGCGGGACGGAAAAGAAGCAGAGTAGGGCCGACTTGAGCCGTGTCTTAGTAGGACGCCTAGAGGGAATATGTCTCAGTTAATCATTTAATGCCGCTACTGTCACATTTCAACCGTGCGAATATAGTGTGTGGTTGGCAGGAAATATTAAAAGCTGAAGAGAGACACGGCTTAGGAGAAATATAGAGTATATATTAACTGCAATGTTGATAAAAACATTATAATATGTAAGTCTTTGACTACTCTAACCTTTATGATTTTGTAATTTATATCTTACTATAGCAATATAACCTCTTATTCCCTTCTGAAAATTACTCTAATTAGGATTTCATAAGCCTGATACGTCTAGTCTTCCTTTTTACAATGCTTATCAACAAAAGTGTCCTCGTTGTTGCATTTGCCGGCATTGCTCAAGCAATCAGCCATGCAGATCCACCCTACTTTCCTGCAAACTGCAAAACACCCAGCGTCACCCCCGAGATTCGCGACCTCCCAGCACGTGATTTTTTTGGCAAAACGGTATACCCGTGTGTCAAGGTTGGAGAGAGCTGTAAATCCTCCAGCGACTGCACACGTCCCCCAGCTGCCGAGTGCCACAAGGAAAGAACAGACCGGAAATACATTTTCCCTCTGCCTGGGTCTTGCATTGACGGCTTCTGCCGCCATATCTCGAACAAGAAGGAATCCCCCTGCGACTGTCTCGCTGGTTGTGATCTCAAAGACTTCGATCGGGATCTGAGTTGTATCGATGGGAGGTGCAAGGCTGCTGAGTGCGCTCCGTGTGGCGAGTTCCCCAACAACCGCGCATGCTGTGCCCCTGGCGTGAGAGGCCAGGATGGCAGATGTTTCTGCCCTACTGGTGCAGGAGAAGGATGCGCCACAAACCCTGAAAAGTGTGACTCTGGGAGCTTTAATGATATGTGCTGCGGTAGAGGTACAGATAATGAAGGCAAGTGCTGTGCTTCGGGTTCATGCAATGGTCAATGCAAGCATCAGCCGAAGTAGGCGAATACTTTCCTAGCTATAGATATATGGGAAGAGAGACAATTGGGCACTTGGAACTCGATATTAAATGGGTTCTTAGTTAAGGCATGGCTTGTATTATACAATATGGGATTGGGCTCAAGATAAAAAGGGGTTTTTTGCCGCGTTGAGGTTTTCCCCTACAAATAAATATAACTCAATCTTCAGGCTAATACTTCTCCATATAAGAGACCTACTAGAAGATATCTTTTTACTTTATTATATTATAGGTTTCTTTAACTTCTACAGCCCTCTCTCTTTATTCTTAGCGGCCAATCGACGTCTGAACCTACTTAACAAACTAAGTAAAGTAATCAATCTATTATACTAGAAACATCGCTTAAACCTGTTATAAAACAAGAATAGTATCCGGGCGTGTAAAATAACAATCCTGCAGCCAGGTCTACTCCATACTGCCCGTGGGCGCTTCTATCTCCATTAAAGTAGCAATTACCCAGAGCAGGTCTGTTGAGAGCCTGCTCGATTGTTCGCCTTGCGACTCTTGCTTATCGAGCACTTTCCTTCCATGCATCCGTACGTCTCCCTCCTTTAACCTGGCAAGCATCAGCTAACCAATCGCGATAAAGTCTTTGGGCGTACATCCCATCGCTTGCAGAATCCTTCTGCCGAACCCGAAAGTGTCAACTCGGACTATACATTATTCTATAGCATACAGTCACTCACTAGCTGCGACTGGATATTAGTAAATATCTATTCTTCTGCTTTATATTTGTGGAAGCAATCTAACTTGTCAACAGTTTCAACGTGATGAAGCGTGGAGAGATCCGCGAGGCATATGGTATCGAGGGTAGCGGCATGGGAGACTGCTGTGCTTCATTCTGGTGTCTTTGCTGTGCGCTAATCCAGCAGGAAAAGGAGGTCAAGTCCCGACAACTTGCGTGCTGCGAGACCGCTGGCTATCAGCCTATGAAGGATGGCATGCATATGCCTTGAGAATCTCCCTTCCAGGCATGGTGGATGTGGATATCCTTCATCGAACGTACCGTAGCAGGGTTAGGCTGACAAGACACTGCAAAAGAAATGAGATTGTCTCACTTTATTAACCGCTTCTTGATAGCGATAGTTCACTCTTCACTGCCTGACTCAATATTCTTAAGCATTCTAATGCTATTTAAATACTATCTCTAGATTTCGAGTATCAAGCTAGGGATAAGATATATATATATCAGTCAGTGTGTCACTATACCGGATATAAGCATGGCCTTACAGAAAGTCGATCTTACAGATAAAACAGCTGGAATTATTTCTCCGCCCTAATAAGAACTCAATGTTGCCAACTCTTCCTCAGTAACCTGGCCATCAAATTCCTGCATCTTAGGCAAGTCCTTCAATCCCTTGGCCGTCGCAGAAACACACTGACTCAGAGGTGTTCCATACTTGAACATTCCCTCACTACTAGGATTAAACCAGTCCTTCTCGAGAAACTTGCGATCCAGTGTTCCAAGGTACAAATGAAAAGTGTCCCGCCATCCATCAGGCAATTTTCCATCAGCGCAAAATTCAGGCTCCAGTTTGAAGTGGTAGCACAGCTGGGTTCCGCAACGGCCACAGAAGCTGCGGGATACGTCGGAGCTGCATTTGATGGAGTGGAAGAAGCGCAGCCAAGTTTTGGTCTCGCCTGTTGCGCGGAGGGCTTCCATGGCTGGGATGTATGGAGGACGATCCGCATCTGTTTTTGCAGCGTCGTAATCAGCTGCAAGGACATCTAGGATTCGACCAGAGACTATGTCTGATTCCGATGAGGGTGCCATGGCGGAGACGGTGAGCATAGGCGCCGGGATGTCAGCTATGCCAACTGCAAGGAACGAGCCAGTTGATCTACGGCAGTCATTGCAGTGGCATGTCATGGCACCTGGGAGTTTAATACCCATGGCTGGAGGGGCAAAAGGGTTCAATGGACGGTCTTCCAGTGCAGGGACGTCAATACGATAGCGGATGGCGCCACAGGAGCAGCCACCGGTGACTTTGACAGGTTCGTTGGGGAGAGGCATGTTGATTGAGAGTAGAAAGGTAGTTTTGGGCCGTTGGCTACAGATTCACGTTGCAACATGCAGTTTTATACTCTTCCTCTGGCGATCTTTGTTGAATTCACGATAAATTCCGAAGCTGAACATGTGCCTAGGCTCATGACGGTGAGGCGCTCTTGGCAAACCTCGCTACTGGTGGATTGTTGTTCTTTCGCGATATTATGACCAGAACAGCACAACGCGTCTATGGGTCTCAAAATTTTGGTACGCCCTGTGATCATCTAAAATCACAGTTATATCTACTTCAGGCATTGAGGTGTTTAAATTGACTGGATCGCTTGGCTTTAACATGGCTTTTATTGCTGCCAAGCCTGAATCGACCACTCGGGAGTCAGAAGACGGTATCCACAGGGCGCAACGAATTCCGCCGTGCTTATGCGTTGCGAAACCCGCGACAGAATACGAGCAATTGCCTGATCAAAATTCACGACAATTAATCGGCTCGTGATGTCATTTCTCATCTGCTGTAAACGTGGCGCTGGGAGGCTCAGACGAAGCTGAGCGGTAGGTACGTACTGAAAGGGGAAGTAAGCTTACTCTAATCGAGGAATTGTCATTGGTCAGTTCTTGGAGCTCGGTCTTTAACCCTGCTTTGCTATCGATAAGGATCGCGCTATGTTACCCTGAACTCAAAGACCGAGCTGCATCTACTGATCGGTGCCGTTTTTAATTATTCGGTCTTGGATCATTCGTCATCAAAGCTACTCCATAGCTTTTAATAAGTGAAAGTATTCCAATGTGCCTTAGTTACGGGTTTTCATCGTGGCTGAGTTATCTGACATGGCTCAGATGTGTTTTACTGAACCATAAGCCCGAGTTGATCTCGGTCATTAGCTTCACTGACAACACGAGCTCAAAACAGTCAGTTTGAACTGCATAAATATCCTCAGGGCGACCGCGTTTATTTTTCTATCTCATCCTACTAATCACCAATCACTTCAATCAATCAACCACCCAAAATGCGTCTTCTCGCTCTTCTTGCCTTTCTCAAGACTTCGCGAGCCCTGCTTGTTCCTTATCCACCTGGCCCGTATAATGTCGCGGTCAAGAACTTTGAGCTGATCGACACAAACCGTATCGACACATTTGCCCCCGAGCTCAATACCAAACGTCGTCTCATGGTCTCGGCCTACTTCCCCATCGACTCCCAATATGGCTGCAAAGATGAAGTTATTCCGTATCTGCCTACCCTTACTGCAGAGGCGTATGGCAAGGTAGCCGGAGCTCTTGGCCTGCCTGACAACATAGTCAAAGACTTTGAGATGAAGGTCTGCAATATCTCGACCGTCAAGCCAAAGAGGTTTCATAAGCCGAAGAAAGAATACCCTGTCGCGCTTTTCTCACCTGGTTACCAAGGTTCAAGGCTTGTCTATGGGGTTATGGCGAGGTCCCTTGCAAGTCTTGGGTATATCATTCTTACTGTGGACCATACTTATGAAGCATTTGTGGTTGAGTTCCCTGATGGGACGGCTGCAACTGCTGCTGAGTTTCCGGATAACATGAACTCGACATATCGACAGCTCGAGGTTAGTTGTTCATTAAGCTGCGAGTCGGATGGACAATAATAACTTGAACCATCAGGTCCGAACTAAAGACGAGTCCTTTGTCATCTCACAACTTTGCAATAGTACGCTCGTGGAGCAGGTCTTTGGCGACTTCCCCGGTACCTTTGACCCTCACAAAGTTGCAGTGTACGGCCATTCTTTTGGCGGTTCAACTGCCGCCGTCACAGCCCAACGCGATCGCCGTGTCATTGGAGGTCTCAACTTCGATGGTCCCATGTATGGTTCCGTCGTTGAAGAAGGCCTGAAGAACACGCCTTACATACTCGTCGGAACAAACATGACGTCTGATCCGGTCCCTGGCTGGAATGCATTCTACGACAAGATCGATGCTGCCAAGATGGAAATGGTGGTCAAGCACACACGTCACTATGCATTCACAGATGTCCCGTTACTCTTGACGGAGTTTAAGATCCCCGCTGAGTCAGAAGCTATGGTTCATGAGGTATTTGGAACGCTTGATGGGAGGAAGGTCGAGAAGGCGGCGAATGAGATTATGGTTGGGTTCTTGGACTTGGTGTTTAAGAAGGATGACAAGAAGTTTAAGGCTGTTGGTAAGAAGAATGGAATCCACGTTCTGCAGCGTGATCTTGCATAAGCAATGAGAGCCATGGTTTATTAAGTATAAATGGGGTCTCGGGGCGGCATGATTGAGTCTATGCTGTATAAAATCAAGCTAGGTAGCATTGCGCTCCAACTATAATTGAGATCGTCAATTGTGTCTGGCACTTCAACCGCTTGAAAAAAATGTTTGATATGCTCTTCAATCGAGCTGAAAGACCAAGGCCATTATATTGTGTAGAAAGTAGTGACCGGACAAAAAGACGTTTCCAGGAGGATGCTGGGGTCTTCCTATTGAATAGCCTTGTTAGAAGTAAACATTTCAATCCGAGAGTCCTTACCAACCTGGGAGTTAATGTTCCTCACCGGTCCCATTGCATGCTGCACAAATCAACGTTCCTTTGAGCCCCGAACCTTTACACTCCTCGCATGCTATGGCCATCTTGTAAATTTTAAAATGTGTTTTAGGCAAAGACTTGTAGGAATTGCTGGATATATCTTGTCATAGAAGGTTGAGGGGTTCAAGCCAGCTATATAGAGATTGAGTCTCAGATTGAGGCCCCCCAGATGGAGGTACACATGACCAAGAGCGGGGTAGAAGCACATCTATTTACGGATGCACACAAGCCATCTTTATCATCATTATCTTATGAGATGATCCCATCACAAGGAGAAGACAACTGGGCTCCTCTTCAGCTTTAGCGAATTGAGCTGGGAGATCCGGGCTATCGTGTTGTGGAAAAAGTTGTTTGAACTAGGGTCTGTACAACTTACATCGTCCAACCAGAGCACTGCTACTCCAAAGCCCTCTGGCCCTCTGGGGTGATGGAAACCACTTTAGAATCATCCGCCCAATCAACATAATCATATTCCAGAGCATTGACGGAGCTGGCTCAATATTCCGCCCGGTGATAACATCCTCCCCACTCACACTTTCGTAGGTATATTATTCTTATCCTTTGATATTTAGACACGCGACGATAAGTGAGCCTCAAATCACAACGGTCAAATCTCACGGAAGCTCATTTCATAGCGCTTTTATTTTATTTTAAGCGAGCCCAAGCAATTTGCTTTTCCCATTACCCGCCCTATCTTAGCTACCATGCGAATGAGTGATAGGGAGGCTGGCCCAGCCATTCGAGCAAGACTCGAGCCCTTGGGCCGGACAGCTCTCAGCATCATTTATGCCGACAAAACCGAACCCCAAGTGGCTATAAAAGCCACCGGCTTCTGGCTAGATGGGGAGATGTATGACCACGCAGCTCTTGCTGAGGATACCAGCGAGACGTTCAAGCGCGAAGCCGCCATATACGATGCGCTAGGCGCTCATCCACATATCCTTAAATCATTCGGTGCTGCATATCTCCCCGCCATCGAGGACGAAGGATCGGATCCCAAAGGTGACGAGGAGAGAGAAGCCTGGGCCTTGAAACTCGAGAGAGCCCCGCACGGCAACCTCCGTCAGCGCATCCTTCAGGGTGATGCACTACCTATGGCTGAGCGCTTGAGAATGGCATTGGACCTTGCAGACACCTTGCAGTATGTGCATACCCGAGGCGTGATTTGGGGTGATATCTCGACACGGAACATCCTTCTCTTTGACGACCACCACATCAAACTTAGCGACTTTGCTGGTTCCAGTCTACGCGATGTATATCCAGACCTGCTCTTTGCATATGAGCCTCGCTATTGGATACCTACGATTTATTCTCCAGGCCCACAGAGAAGTATTTTTGAGAAGGAATTGTTCGCACTTGGCACTGGTATCTGTGAGATTACTGAATGGGAGGTACCATATGGCGAGATTGAGATTGAAGAGTTGCAGGAGAAGTTAATGCGTGGAGAGTATCCCCATGTACGTGAGGACAACCCGGCACGGGATATCATTCAAGGTCTGTGGAATCTGGACTACAGTTCTGTTCAGGAGGTTGCCGATGCGCTTCGCAGACTCATACCTACTGCATAGGTGATTGTTGGCGATAAGATGACTTTATACAGCCAACCACATGATGAGCACAAACTGTTTCTTCTGTAATACTAGCTTTTACCCAATAAACCTCCATGTTTTCTTGGGTAAGTAGCAAGAGTTCGGTGTTACTGGTTGTCAATAGACTACAATCTGGGGCTGCAGATCTACATCGCGGAGACTGTCTTGTTTGTGAGAAAGTAAATGTATTATTTGCAGTTGAGACTTATGGCTGAGTTGAATCAGCAGAGAGAACTTAGTCTGTGAGCGAGCGAGATAGATGTTGACTGAAATTCAGTGTAGATTTAGATTGTATCATTGCTTAAAGACTGGACTCTCACCACCTTGGCCGGTTTGAGCTGAGAGGCTAGGGTGATCGGGTTGTGGACAAAGGTGTTTACACTAGTTATTGTTCCACTCAATTTATCCAACCAGAACAACACTACTGCAAGGTCCTCTGGGGTAATGGAAGCCACCTTACAATCAAGCATCCAATCAACAGAATGATATTCCGGAGCACTGACGGACCTGTCTCGGTATCTTAAAGAAATCCGTCGGCAAAGTGACCCCCACTATTCCGATGGTCTAACTCTTTTTATCTTCCGACGATGCCCCGCTCCACTAGACCCCGGACCCCACGGGGAAGGACTTGATGAGATGCTGGTGCTATAAGAAGTTGACATCTCCAACGGCTGGGCAGGAGCCTAGACGTATCTCCGGTGGACAGACGCAGCTATGTATATCGCGAATTATCTCAGTGTACCATTATTGACCGGCGTCTTTCTCGTCGGCATAGTCATCTATGCCTTGATCAACGCCTTCAAGTCTCCTCTCCGAGGCTTGCCTGGACCATGGTACACCCATTTCACTCACCTCACCCTTAAATATCATATTCTCACTGGCAACCGCGTTCACTATATACACTCGCTGCACCAGTGCTACGGCCCAGTCGTACGGGTTTCGCCAGGAGAAGTTGATGTCAGTGACCTCGAAGCATTCTCCAAAATCCACAAGATCGGTTCTGGCTTTCTCAAGTCTGCTTGGTACGATGCCGTGACTCCCGATCGAGAACCTGGCATCTTTGTCATGAGAGATCCTCACCAGCATGCTGCTCGAAGACGTTTGTTTGCGCGTGCCTTCAGTGTCAGCTCGTTGTGGACGAATTGGGAGTCCGAAATCCGGCAAAAGACTGAGCTTGCGGTGAACAACATAAAGCGAGATGCTCAGAGTACTGGGGCGGATGTGTTTAAGTGGTGGACTCTTATGGCAACGGACGTGATCGCTCATCTTTCCTTTGGAGAGTCGTTCCGAATGCTGGAGCTGGGCAAGGTATGTCATTGCGCAGACGTTTTGAACTACACTAATCTTGCTACTCTAGCAAACCCCATATATCGACGCAATCCAGTCCTCTCTTCTCATGAGCGGTCTCCGCGCCGAACTATCATGGATCTATCCACTCCTCAAGCGTCTGCCACTCCAGGGCTTGAAAAGGTTGCTGAATGCCGACAGCATCGTGTTCGAGCATGGCTCCATCGCCGTCCGAAACATGCAAAGCGCAGGAGATGGCCTCAGCAAAGCGAATTTGTTCAGCCAAATGCTGGCTGAGTCTGACAGTCAGGAAAAGACTAGTCTCTCAACGTCCAGCGTGCAGGCGGAAGCAAGCAATCTCATCGTCGCTGGATCGGACACTACGGCTGTGACCTTGACGTATCTTATCTGGGCTGTTCTCAAGCAGCCCCAGCTTCAGGCTGAACTGGAGCGCGAGATATCAGAGCTCAGTGATGAGCTGACCTTTGAGGAGCTCAAGAATGCTCCGCTCCTTAACAGTGTGATTGAAGAGACACTTCGTCTGTATGGTGCAGCTCCTGGTGCTCTTCCGCGTGTCGTGCCTGGAAAGGGCCTTGATGTTTGCGGTCATTATATCCCCCCTGGTACTGTCGTCAGTACTCAAGCTTTTACGCTGCACCGAAACGAAAACATTTTTGAAGATGCACAGAGGTAATATCATCCCTGTTCTTTTGTATAACCCCACGCTGACATAGCAACAAGGTTCAATGGCCATCGTTTCATAGACAGGTCCACACTCACGGCAGCACAAAAGGCCGCCTTTTCTCCTTTCGGCGCTGGGTCACGAATCTGCATTGGTCTACACTTGGCCTGGATGGAGCTTCGACTTGGTGCCGCGCTATTCTTCCGTGAGTGTCGTGGCGCTTCACTAAGCCCTGAGATGACAGATGAAATGATGGGGATGGAGAATAGGTTCTTGATTGCCCCGAAAGGGCACAAGTGCATTGTGAAGCTTTGATGAAGGGATAAGAAGAGAATAGATAGTGGTCTCAGATTTGAGTGAATATCTCAGTAACTGTGAAATAGCCGGTCCGGGTTGCTGACGTGCTACTTATGATCAAGGATCAGAGGGTTAAGCTACTGTTGTACCTACATGGAAAGCACTGTGCCACTGGAATAATGAAATTACCATTAAACTTTATGGCCTGATTCGTAAGATAAGACCCTGAACTTCCCAATGAGCTATGCTAAACACGAAATGTGGCTGAGAGCTTATTCCGGCAGAGAGAACCTAGTGCGTTTGAAGATGGCCCAACCCCTATTGTTTGGTACTGGAAGGAGAGCGTCTCGAGGTTCTACGGAAATAGTGACCCAGCTTATCATAACAACTATATTGTCTACTTCAAACTGGAGTAATTCACTCACAGTAGAAGTTGCTCCTTGGCTAAGCTCTGAGAGTGGGCTACGCCTTATTGGATGGCCAGGAAATTGATTATCGTTTTGGGCGCGCGCATTTACCGTATCACGGGTCACATGTTCTTTGCATATAGTTGATGGATATATACCTCTAGCTACAATCATTACATGATGGAAGATACCTCCCAGAGTCTCACTGCATTGTCTTGTAAGTGTTCTCACACTCTACGCTACCAAATATCATATACTTCTGACGTGTTCATTGGTGCCCTTGGTGTCCGCCCCGCCTGCGTCGCCAGACTCAGACTCACTCGCTGCGCCAAGACTCTCAGGCTCAGCCAGACGCATCTCGAGATCAGGGTGCTTGATCTTCCACCTCTTCATATACCAGACTCCTCCCATTAAGATTGCCCACATGGTGAACTCAAACACTGTCGCCGCTGGGTATCCATTTGGGAAGCGCGGGGCCTCAACTGTTGGAAATGTGAAGAGTGGGATCCAGATCTGGTTGCAAAAGCCCAGTGTCATCATAGATGAAATGATGAGCCCACGCTCGCCGTAGTTCTCCTTCAGGGTGGAGTTGACCCACGAGTACAGAATGGGCGATGCCATGCCTGAAAAGCCACCGAAGTAAAAGGCGACAAACTTTAGACCATCGGGCACAGTCCATATAGATAACACAATGCAGGCGAAGAATACGAATGATGCTTGGAACGTCCACAGTCCTCGAAGACTCAGACATCCTGCCAATGTTGTGCCAAGCCAGGAGGAGATGGCGCGGAGCAAGTCGATAAATGTTGGGAGGATATTGACGAGTTCGATTGAGTAGCCAGCGTGGCGAAGCCAGAGAGCCATGTAGCCAGTCCGATTGGAGGTCAGTTAAGCGTCGAGTCTTTATGGTTGCGGTTATAAGACTCACCCAATAATGCGCCTGGCACAAGAAGATGTAGCATGAGACACAGATCCACCACATGGGACGGCTCAAGGTGTACTTGAATGTCTTCCATGTGATCCCCTCCTTCTCGACAGTAGGGATACGTCTGAGAGCGAGAGCATGCTCCTCCTCAGTCATATACCACCTTCTGGGCGATGTAGGCAGTCCAGGCCAAACGACGAATCCCAGAAAAGCGAGAGGTAATGTGATGATGCCTTGTACAATGAACAGCCATCGCCAACCAGCACGCCCAAAAACGCCATTGAGGTTTCGGTACGCAGCAGCTTGGAGATATCCGGAGAACATGGAGCCAAGTGAATTGCCCATGAACCAGACGCCCGCTCGTTTGAAGAGTTCTTCGTTCTTGAACCACGAGCCAACTACACCGACAATGTCAGCACCTAGCAGGGTCTAATGTTTGAAGACTTACGGATTAGATGAGTGCCACCAAATGAGCTGGCCTCGAGGAACCCAGTCAAGGCTCTCAAGATATAGAGTTGCCAGCTATGTTTGATCTCAGACTGACAAAATGCGATGACGGCCCAAAGGATCTGTAGCGAAGGGAGGAGGAACGGTGCCCTGTCATGGTTAACTGCGCCCTTGCTAATGAGTAGCATGTCAGTTGACTTTGGCTTACAGTTTGCCTTTTGTTTGTAGCGTCATAAGTGGGATCTGGCCCAAGACATAAGCCGTATTATCTGCATAAGGCACCTCTATGTCAGTGCTGTTTCTTTCATACCCCTTAACAAAGACCTACAAGCAACGACGTAGTAGTTCAACTCATTTCCGAAGGCATTGAGGTCCTCTCTCATGCCGGAGACATATGCGTTGGTGATGTTTTGTTGTCCGAGGAACTTTAATAAAGAGTCAGTACTAGGTACCATCGTTTTGAAGGTATCAAGAGAGACTGACGCGGCAAAAGACTGGCAGAAGTTAGTATACTACCAGGTGTTAATAGAATGTGAGACTTACAGCTTAGAGATCCAAAGACCAGGATGGCTAGGTCAAGCTTGCGGAGAAGCTTCCTCTCCTCTTTCGGGTATTCCGACGCTGCAAGATTGTCAGCTTGTATCCTGCAAGGTCGGATATGAAGAACGCACGGTACCAGTCAAAGACGGAGACTACCACGGCTCCAACTTTATTGCCCTTCAAGGCTGCGATGACACCCATCTTTGACTGACGGGAGTAGTATGCTAATCAGGAGCAGCGGCGAGATATGGCCCCGAGCATAGTCTTATACTCTCACATATGCATATTTGCATTGATCTGCAAGTATGGCGAGCTTGTTCGCCGAGACGTAGTATTTTGCAGGGTTGGTGCCCATCGCGGTATGCTTTGGTACGCGGAGACTGATTTAGGTACCGGATAAGCAGAATGGGTAATCAACATGGGTATATATATCCTATAGCAGATAAACATAGCTTTACGATAGTGTAGACAATGCCTGCCAATGGAGCTCTCGTAGATGATGGGGTAAATCGTCTCGACGATCGGATGGCGACATCTCTCCACTTGGGCTACTACCGCTATTCATCCAATCGCCGATGGTCCTATGTGGAAAGGCGGGGAAGTTCCAGTGGACTTATCTATTGCGACATCATCAAGGACTATAACGCAACTTTTGTCTTTTCAAGGTCTTACACAAAAGGGCAAAATGAGGGTTTATGTGCCGTCTATGTCCTGCAGAGTGATTACAGACCCTCAGTCGCATGCCTCACTTATGGCCGAGAGCTTAAATCAGCAGAGAGAACTTGGTTCATCAAGAAACACTGCCATCAGTGAGCCTTGGTCGGGAGTGACACAGTGGGAAGGTATACAGAAGATTGGATATACTAATGCGGGAAGTCTATGGTTTAAGCACCTTAACTTGTTTTAATAAATAGGTAGGCTATTGTAATAAAGGTGGGCCCTAAGGTCTTCTGTAGTAGAGATAAATACGAAATGAAGTTTGTAGAAATAGCAACATGTCATGCAAAGTGACCATGACTCGCCGCCCTCACGCTGTAACCAGGCTTAGTGGAGATATAGCAAAGTCTGGAACAGCTGCCTGCAACACTCCCTTTTCCCTCCTACTCATAGATATAACAAAACATTCCCTCTGTTGTCGACATGAGCTCACCCAGTGCCACTTCCTGTGCTTCAGCGACCCAACCTAGATTCTGAAGGTCAAAGATAGTAGCATTCTTATGCGGCTCGTACAAGTCATACATGGTGATCGGCCCATTCACAGCGGTCGACACATTCGCTGCACGCACCTCCGGGTCCCGCATCTGCCATATCCACCAGACCCGATCGATGTTCGCATGGTGTGCCCAGAACGCCGGCTCTCCGGGACTGACCCAGAAATCGCGACCGGGATCACCGCCAAGTGAGTTGTGGGCGCCGGGATGGATTCCGATGTCGCGAGATCCCCAGGGACCTGACATTATTGTCTGGAACCACCATATATCGTCCGTGTCGCGGAGGAGTGTGAGGAAGCTCGTCTTGTTGACGTAGCAGTAAAGGATCTCGTCGGTCAAGTCGCGCTTAAGGCAGCGGGGGTTGTATTTGCAGCCTGCGCCGGATGTGTCGGTCTTGTTGCCTACGAGAGCGAGTCCTACAGGGCCGAGGTTGACGGTGATGTAGGCAAAGGGCCTGCTGGCAACACAGCCTCCGCCTGTACAGTGAGGAAAACTGACAACCAATGTTAGTGTCCATTCTATGTTTTAAGCTTGTCGCTCGATATGGAGATATCACGCAAGGCGCTCGTTCGTTTGGCGCACCGACTTACATGTTGGGATATTGAGAGTTGATAATAATCACATCAGAGTCTGTGTAGTTGAGTGGCGCGCCTTTTCTGCATAGTGAGGTTGCGGACCTGTTAAAGACCTCTGACTTTTCGAAGGTCTCCTTCTCTATCTTTGTCCAGTCCCCTGATCACGTATAGTTAGTAAGCTTGATCTATCAAATTCTCGATAACTACACTAAAGTGATTGAAGACTTGAAAGAGCCTGCCTTGCATGGGAAATATATGTATAGCAAGGGAAGGGGGCTATTGTTGCCGTAATTGTTACGAAGGGCCTGCTCTGTCTCATAGATATGCCATCGATACCACCCAAGGAAGTTAGCATTCAAGTGGATAGTTAGAATCTGGTTGATACGGTTGACGACGCAGTCATCGTGTGGCAACTTGGCAATAGGGGCAAGGCCTGTCGGTCTTGGCTGGCAATTTTATTAGGCACTTCAGGGCGCCAGTATAAGAAATCATCTCATCGGTGGTGAGGTTTTCAAACGCTTTCGAACCCTGACGTTATCCTTATTGCAAGCAGTGGAATTGTCGATTCGCGAAAGGGCTACCTCACGAGCATGCGCGTTGAACTCAACCAGCGTCGCGTTCTTGAGGTTGAAGCTCGACGGAACTGTAGTCTCACGCTTGAAGTTGCTGGCAAGGTTACTACTACCTTGGGTAGTAGCCACCACGCAAAGCGCAATCGCTTAGAAAGAACGATCAACACGTATAGGATAATGGAGATATTGTAACTGGTTTAGTTGTCTCGAGAGCTTGGAGTTTTGATCTTGAGAAATATTCAGGGACTCGATGTTATATAACTGTAAGTATCTGCAGAGCGACCGGACCACTATACTTTCATTGGAGGGGCTGACGTTCGTTGTCAAGTCGGCTCAACACCTACCCAGGAGGTCCGAGTTGGATTGGAAAGTCTCCTCTCCGTGTTCGCTAAATTACCCGGCAACAATTTGCCGTTGCATAAGTTATCACATTATCAGCAAGCCTTAATACCATATTCCGAGACAATATTAAGTTGGCGGCGCTTTCCACCTTTCACGTTCTGGGTAAAAGCTTATATCGGGAAAAAAAAAAAAATCGTGTTGTCATTCATTATCTGTGTTTGCAGCCTAAAGCTTAACCTTATAGGCCGCCGCCACCCATAGCCACCTTTCACGTAATGATCTTGGTCTCATTGTAAGTTCTAGTTTAATAAGATGGATACCTATCCTTGCGTGAATGGGCACAAGTCGACCAGTCACTAGTCTATTGTGTATTGAGATCCTGATCGACTTAGAACTTCAGGCCACTACAGTAGCTACTCCACAGACTCGTCACGTCTAGCATTAAGCTCCTATGGGGTATTTATCTATTGCAACACCGCCAGGTAATATAGCGCAAGGTATGTCTAGCCTGAGCAAAGTGAGGCCTCTTTAAATAGGGAACTGGGTAAGATTCGCGTCACAGTTTTTATTTATAGATTAGATGCGAGTAGAATTGTCAACTTTTCCTATAGATACATCATTGCTGTTACCGTGCATTGTCTTTTATCTATTCTTCTTTCTTATTCCCACTGCAACTCTCTCTTCCAACTCTTCGGGCACCGTAGACACTGTCAAAAAGAAGTAAACGGGTCAACATATTGCTACAACTTTCCCTTATTCACCGTCAAGGCTTGTAGAAAGCCTACCGTGATACTATCACGAACCCTCTCCTGCATCCACACAGGCAAACCACGGACCATTGATGTCCAGCCCAGAGAGTGTGGAACGGGCACCTGCGCTCCGTACCCTGATGTGAGTTGTCTAACAACAGCACCCGCAACGTCTTTTGGTTCAACGTAGCGGCCAAGGGTGCCAGCCTTGAGAATTGGCTCAATCATTGGAGTGTTGACCCAAGTCGGATGAATGACGCTATGTTCCTTTGTCAGCAAGTCTACTCCTCAGACTGAAGGTAGCTGGGAAATTCAACCTACGTCGCGCGTACTCCAGGGGCATTGTAGATATGCCTGAGCTCTTGTTTCAGACCCTCATGGAAGGCGAGCAGACCGACCTTGGTGGCGCCATAGTCAACGTTAGCAGCCTGGGTCAAGAATGAAGCCAAACTGGCGATGTTGACGATATGCCCGTGGTTATTTTTGATCATGTCGGGAAGAAACTGCTGCGTCAGGAGGAAAGGTGCCTCCAGGTTAACGCTGACGAGCCTCTGAAGCTTCTCTGGTGTTACTGATAGAATCGTCTCACCATGTGCAATGCCGGCGTTGTTTACCAAAGCTGTCGGGTGGCCATGGTCAGATCGGATGCGTTCTGCTACTGAAGCAATTGCGTCTGCGTCTGAGAGATCAACCTTGTAAAAGGGAGTTCTTGTACCTATCCCAACCACCAGTCAGCTATTTCCTATGATACAGGGACGGAATTACAAAAGGGCCTGAGAGATTGTAGCCTCGCAGAGAACTCCAAGCTACTTACCATTCTTGACAGGCGGCGGATTTATGTCCAGAATGATGACTTTGATGTTCTTGGCCTCTAACATCTGGACAATTTTGGCGCCTATGCCGCTGCTACCGCCGGTGACCACGACAAAGTTCAGTGGCGGGATTCCATCTGTTGAGGGTGTCGCCATGGTTGGCGCTTCTCCAAGATAGCCACCTGTTCAAGGGTGAGAGCAAGGCAAGAATACCGACGACAGTCGCTACACCTTGTGCTCTTTGCGACTTGGACAAGTTGGTAAAGAACGGTGGCAGATGCTGCGGGAGTCGCGAGATAGATTCCATGCTGATAGCTTGACTGATGGTATAAGTAGAGCGTGTTGAATTAGAGTGAGAGGATTCTGGAAGGTCTCTATGTAACTCTTTCAGTCGTGGACTTTTATACTTATTAGAGCGTGGGTACAACCCATACCCCAGATACCGCTACTGCCGGGACTTCTCCAGGCAGGCATGAGCTAAAGTGTCGGCACTTTGAGGCCCCTGTGCCGTCGGCTTGGGAAAGCGGCTAAGGGGGACAATCTAGCCGAACCAATCATGTAAGTGGGATCACCCATTCTGGGTCCACCAAGTATCAAATCCGAGGTGAATAGCTGTTTGTTTGTTATGTTTGTAGGAAATAGACACCGCTGCTTGGCCACTGTTACATATGTCCTCGGATGTGATAGCCACGAGGTTGACTGACTCTGTCCTTGGGTTAGACCTATGCCTACCTAAGACTTTGCCGGATGCCTCGGTGTAGCCCATATCAAGTGTCATGTCTCCCCCATTATAAATGCCTAATGTCCCTCGTCTCATTTTGTTTCGAGTTAAGTTCAATTGTTACTCAGAGTCACCGCGCTTATCTAAACCAGCTATACATACTATCTATCAAACATGTCATCCGAACGAGTTGTCGAGTTCAAGACTTATGATGGCCTCAAGCTTCAAGGCACATTTTATGCTGCTGGAGAAAGACGGCCTTGTATTATCATGACGACCGGCGTGAGTCTTTTAATTTCTGCTTCCTGTTTATTGATTGACTAAGGACCATCGTTTTAGTTCAGTGGGGAAAGGTTCCAGTACCTGCCAGACTTTGCCCGGCGATTTCAGGCCGCCGGTTTTGGTGTGCTGCTGTACGACAATCGGAACTTTGGCGAAAGTGAGGGTGTTCCCCGTAACGAGGTTGACCCTGATATGCAGGCAAGGGACTACTTTGACGCATTTAATTATGCCACTACACTTGCTGAGGTTGATCCCAGTCGGATCGTGTATTGGGGCTCGAGCATGTCTGGTGGAAATGTCATCAAGGCTGCAGCTCTCAACAGCAACATCGCTGCAGTCATCGCTCAAGTTCCCTTTGTTTCGGGCGACGGGCTGTCCCGAGCTAGCCGGCAACCACCTGCGACCTTGGTCATGGAACGCGGAAATGCTGTGGCTACGGGAAACCCTACCATGATCCCTACGTACCCCGAGCTGCGGGATGGCGCTGTGCATGATAATCCCGGTGCGGTTCTTGCTGGCCCATCAGCGGTCAAGTTCATCGAGGAAATGGTTCGCCGCGGGTATTCCTGGGCTGAGACTGTGACGGCTCAAAGTGTGGCAAATTGCAGCCTTTCCGAGCCGCTTGCTTATATTCACCGAATCTCTCCCAATCCGTTGCTCATGATTGTGGCAGATGACGACACCATCACTGACACGCGGTCTCAACTTGAAGCATTCGAAAAGGCGGTTCAGCCTAAGAAGCTCCTTATCATGAAGGGCGAAGACCATTTCAGTGTCTATTTCGGGGATGCCTTTGAGAGGAACATAGCCGGACAGATCGACTTCTTAAAAGAGACGTTGACCGTTTGATGACAGCTATTAAGGCTACGCTATGGAACACCCAAGGTATTGAATCAGTAGATCAAATAAATACAAGAGGCATTCCTTCCAAGGGCATTAGAGCTGAAATTGTGAAATCGTTCTTGTAAGCGGTATGGGCGTTCCGTTGATTGCGCGTATCGGACTATGTACTTTATTAACCAGTTTGCGGGAGAGGAAAGCAGGTAATTAATGCTCAGAATATGTGCAATAATCGTGGGAAAGTGACAGCGCGTGACAGCAAAACCTTGCCAAAGGATGTAACTAAAATGAGGCCTCAGATCTGCGGGTCGAACTCCGCACTAAATAAGTTACAGCTACTACTAACTACATTGACTCACTTACTGCTTTGGAGTTAAAGTTTAAATGCTATGGGGCCCGGAGCCTCAGTAACTTTGTGGATCCCGGAATCAGACAAAGCTGTTGGCATCCATTTCCCCTCAAACTTCAGTCCTCTTACAGAATCACGAGTAATTCTTGAATCCCCCCGCAAATAGACATCCTGCCATGGAAGATGCTTCCTGCAGAGCCTCAGCTTCAATTGACATGCCAAGTTCCAACTCGCATCGTAAGAGGGCAATAAAGGCGTGCCTGGCCTGTCGATCACGCAAGGTTCGATGCGACGTCTCGATTGTTGCTCAGCCGTGCACCAACTGTCGGTATCTGGGAAAGAACTGCCTGGTTGTCGGGAGGGCTACGCGTCTGTTAGTAAAGAGAACCGCCGATTCCGTCCAATATCACCTCATAGGTTGCTGACTACAGTATCGACGAGCAGGGCAACGAGAGGGGGACGTCACAGCCGCCGAGTACCGATTGACAACTCAGAGAAGCAAGACCTGCAGCCGGCGGTGGTAGAACTAGGCTCTGAATCACAGAACAGCACAGAAGAACCCTCCAGTGTTGTCCCTACTCACGAGGCGATTCGTCCCGAAAGCCTACTCGGCCCATCTCAATCCTGGGGCCCTGTCATCTCACAACCTGATCATGTGTCCAGTGATACGGGTCAGGAATCGCCAAGAAGCAGCAACCCATCGGTAAATCAGAATGGGTCCCAAGCGCCGTCAGCGACCATGGTGGTCACGTACTCTCACTTTCGCTTTCTCACCCTAAGCAACCTTCACAACATATCGGCATCAGATGTCAACTATCTCGAGTCCCAAGGTTGCCTTCATGTTCCTACGCGGCCAGTGCTGGATGATTTTGTCGAGCAGTATTTTCTCCACGTTCACCCAATGGCCCCCATCATCGACGAGGGTAACTTCTGGGACATGTATGCGCAGAACCTCACAGATAAAGGCGAAATAAGGCTGGATACTGTATCCCTTGTTCTTTTCCAGGCGATGCTCTTCAGTAGCTGCACGGTGTGTATTCCATGCACTTGTAATACTGGGTCACAACCGTCACATGAGGTCATGAGTTTAACGAGAAACGTTACTAATACATCGCCTTTTTACCAGTTTGTTCCCTTCGACTGTATAAGAAAGCTTGGATACGCAACTCTCCGCCAGGCCAGAGCGGAGTTCTACAGGCAAGCAAAGGTAAGGGAACCAAGTCGGGGTGATATATCAAGGGACGTGATGCTGATCGGTATGCCCAGCTTCTGTACGAGTTACACGCAGAATGTGATCATTTGCCGCTCGCTCAGGCGTCAATCCTACTCATGCTATGGTACCCTCCATTACATATGGTGTTGGTTCCCTGTCAGACCTGGTTAAGCCGTGCCGTGCAGCACGCCCGATGTTTGGGCGCCGACAAACTTGCTGCGAGACCAGATGCGTCAACCAAGGGCCAAGGGAGCCTCCGCCGTCTCTGGTGGTGCTGTATTATCGCAGACCGCATCATGTCGCTCTCTGCCCGTTGCCGACTGTTGATCAGTCACTCTACATTCAATTTCGGGAGCAGCACGGCTCTTCAAGCCTCAGATCTCCAGGATGAGGTTCATCGATCGAGCGTCTATAATCCTGTGAGCAAGAAGAGTCTGAATTGTCTCTTGGGGGTATCGACTGATTTCATGGTGATGCTAACCGACGTTCTTGAAATCACCTTCCCGTTGAGGGATCTCTCTGTGGCTAAGAAAAACATGGATTTTGAAGAGCCTATCACAATCGCAAAATGTGAGAGTGCTATGAATCGGTGGTTCAGTCATGCCTCAATGATATTTCCGCCCTTCGAGCAGCCAAATTCTTACACTGAGAGAAGGCCAACTCTTCACAAATCTGTCGGCCTACACATTGGTATTCTATATATTTATTACCAGTAGGTATCCCCTCCTCTTACCAGTGGCTGTGTATTCCTTTTGGCTGCTCCTGACGCTGAGACAGCCATGCAAGAATCGCCTTGCAGCACTGCAAACTATCTTCCTACCTGAGGTCTGCCACCGATCAGACAGTAGAGCCAACTGCCCTGCTCGAGATTCGAGACAATCTGCAAGATGCAATAGCAAGCATGTCGCAGTTATTCAGCAACCTGAACAGGCTTCGAATCGTACGGTGGTTACCTGTCAGCGCGTAAGTCAGGATTGATGTACTCTCAGCATTTCGACGCTTGCTGATGTATTTCAATGCAGAATTGGATGTATGGCAATACCACTTGCACTGAGCGTTGTGACAGCGAAATTGGGAACGACCAATGCTCCCTCTTCGCCAATTCACTCTTCGGGCACCGGCTCGGATAATCACAGTCTGATTGCTTTCACCGAAGCCTTGAGCTCCTTCTATCCCCAATACGACGACGTCGAGCTGATAAAGGCAGCCGTCAGACAAGCAGCAGACCAGGTCGAGACTGTATCCCAAACGCACGACATGTGGGCCCTAAGCTCAACCTGGACGGAAATTCTGCTAAACAACCCGAGCTCATACCTCAGAATAGTTCTTTTGATTGATATATGTATTAATAAGGGAAGAGTTGCAGATGACCAAGACTTGCCTGAGTGGCTGTTGTGTCGGGACAAAGTCAACAGCCCGGGCGCCTTCCTGGATACATTGCAGGAAACAACTCTACAGGGGTTTTCTCCAACTTTGGGAGGGCTATTATTGTCTCAAATGGCAGAACTTGGAGAATGAACTATATCTCGTTGTAGAAGAGGGCTATGACAACGCACGTGGCGCAATGGAATGGGCTATGTATAAAATGCATATATACATACTGGCTCAGACTAATGTTTGCATCGGAGCTTAATGCATGGGATTTATACATATGATAGAAGATTGTTATCAACTGTAATAGCAGTGGATAGTCAGATCGTACGTCAGCATCGACGGTCATAGAATTCCCAAGGACCTGCTAACTCTCAAGAGCGAGGCAGACGGGGTGTGGCTATATTTTTCTGGTATGTCTCATTCTTCAAAGTATGATTGAGTACGCTGAGAAAAATTCCGGGGCGTTATAACCCAGTTCGCACAGAACGCACAGAACATATACACTAGAATGATTAACGCGCTCAATGGCGTTTTCAGGGCGGCGATATCGACAACCTGGACAACGGCGCGTCTTTGCCGTAAGTCCGAATAGCATCACCAAGTTTTGTAGCTTTGGTTTCACATATCTGATAGAGTTTACAGCGCAAGCCATGCTGATTATGTTTCGGATCTTGAGGTATGAAATCCTACTGGAAGAATCCTTACTTATAGTTATCATGGTAGCCCTAACCAGCTCTTCAAGCTTTAGAAGAAATGGTAAGCTAGTGCCTTGTCTTTGGATCAATTTAAGGTCAGATTGGAGACATTTGGTCCGCTTGTCGAAAACTATGACTTTATGTTATATGTGAAGCAAAGGTCTTCCGCATCAAAGATGTGTATCGATACACGAATTGTTGATGACGCCGGTCTGAAAGGTTTAAAACATCCTAGCAGCCTCCATTAATCATGACGTTCCAATTCCGTACGTCGTACTGTGCGCCCATGACAAGCCATGTGTCAATAGCCTGACAGCAATTGGTACAAACAGGATTGGGAACCCAGCAGTCAGCCTTGACATGCCGCTGACATTTCTCAATCACCAGCTCAGCCAAGTAACCCTGCCAATCGCAACGGTCGCTGACCTCGTAGTCATTCTGCATATGTACAGTCAGCCGGGCAGCATTGTTGGAGAAAATTTTAACTTACATCGTTGCAGAACCAAATGGCAGACTGCCAATTGCACGTCATGCGTGCGCATGATCTTGCAGGGGCACCGCATCCAAAGTCTCCAAGCCTTCTGAGATGATCGATTCCTTGGCGCGCGTCACTGACTTTGGTGCGCATGCTTTGGCCTCCGTTTGGGCCTCCTCCATCACAAGCGACGCGAGTCTGAGCAGTTTAATATCAGAACCATGGATCAGGAAGAAAAGAGAAGCTGAAGGAGGAACGTACCGGCTGGCGAGCTTCCAGGGCACGTATAGACACCTTCGTGCTGTCGTCTTTCTTCTTGCTGTCAGCGAACTCGGCAAAGTTGGGGTTGAGCTTTTCGATCTGAGCCAGCACCTCCTGTGAGTGATTTTCGGTCAGCTGCGTCTTTATGAGATACATATTTAGCTGTTGAATTACCTCAGCTGTGCCCTTGAAGGTGTGGTTTTTGCCGCCCTCCTCGATGGGGCCGACCCACGTCATAGGCACAATAGTGTAGCCCTCAGGGATATCTGAGCGGATATCAACGGCCTGAGAGTCGATTAGCATGAGGGATGATAAACATCTGATGTGCATAAACGTGCCATAGCAGACACCATCGTCAGGCCCACGAGGGACATAAGCGGGGTCATGATAGACGCTTTCATGATGAAGTAGGTGACACTGAATGTTTTGACTAAATGTCAATGGCGATGGAATGATGTTGTAATGATGGGGAGGTAAAACTTCTAGTCGATTCAGACATTGGCTTCCAGTTTATATATCCAATACTGGCTGGGTAATTATGCAGGCTTGACAAGCTTTGTTCCATATGCGATGTCTCGCGCCCATAGTCGTGTGTTGATGGCAGCACAGAGAATCCTTCCTTAGAGATCTTACGATATTTCTCTAGCTTGTCCCATTGCATTTTCATTTTGTTATCCATTTTGGGCATATTCTTCAAGTGTTGTACCTGGATAAATTAATCAGACAACAGGCTAAATGGAAAGAGTCTGCTTTCTTGACAGAAAAGGGTATATTATTTATGATTTGAAAGTTATGCCCTGAACAGGCTGCTTGCCCAGTGGATCATCATAGGCGAATTCGTGACTGATAATAAATGCATTGTGCAAACGGAGAATTCATGCCACCAATCAGCGTTCGACCCAGTTGAACACCAGATAATGCAGGTTCGGAATTTCTCTCTTGCGATCTTTTCTATTTAAAACGCAGTGTTAAGTTAAGAGGCTTGTCTTCGGGCTATTTGTAGAGAGCAGCGATCGGATCTACGGCACGCTAAATTGAACTGCCGATGTTCTAAACTTTAGTGTGACATGGTAAATAAAATTAAATGATATAATGTACAAGGCTGTACAAAACAAGCTTCTCGTGTTACAGGGATACAAACCTTCTCGCGCAAGAAGGATAAATAGAAAGCGATCCTGCCTTCAGTTTTGACATTGTTGGTTCAAAAAGCATTGAAGACAATTCCACAAGCAAGCGCTTGCTCTGTCCACAGAATCTGAGACAGCCAAGGTAATTCGACTAGTTCAATCTAGCGATAGAAGCAAGAGGAATCCCGTACTAACAATGCAGCAGTCATCCATCAATTATGCTCGCCAAAGCCGTCCTCCTCGTCACAGTTGCATGCAATGCATGGGCATCACCCTACGTCGTCACAAACCCAAAAGATCTCATCAACGACTGGCACAGCAATGACTACACCGGAACCCGCGGCAAGGATCAGATGATCCATTGGCAGTTCACTCTTGAGGGCCACAACGCCGTACCCCACCCAGGCGACTTTTCAACCTTCTGCAAGGGCGTGCAGAACGGGGAGCTGTGCGGTGAACCATGCACCAAGCCCGGAGCCTTTGTGAAGTGCAAGAATGAAGCATACGAGGCTCGTCAGTGGTTCAATGACTATGGCACGACTGTTGAAGTGCGTCGCATTACGTTCCCTGATGCCCGGAAGAAGGTCATTACCAGTGCTATGGCCAACATCACTGAGCAGGACGTGGTCGGCACCGTGCATTACGAGCTGAAGTTTGGGGATTTCCAGAAGCAATTCATTGACACATTTAATCCACCGTCGACTAAGATTTAGATGCAGGATTTTTTAAATACTTAGAGCCTACCATTCTAGCCAGTTATCTTCACTCCTTATTATTATATAAAAATATTAACCAGTCGCAGAGGCGAAGTTGCTTAATAAAGCAATCTAAACCACATTTGGGCTGGGCTTCTTGGCCACTTGCTGTGGCTGAAACCTGATCTTCAATGCCTGTCGGGATGTGGAGGGACGCCAAGCTTTGGATCGGCCCACGTCGCTACCATGAGGATATTAACGACTTCTTGTTAAAATCATCAGGTCAAACACCTAACTTATTTCAGCGAGTAAAAGCACTTTTCTCTTTCTTCGATATTAAAATGTTCAACTCTCGACTTCAGCTGCGGTACGGCTGTGACTCGTGATAGAGCAGATAGGCCCTCCAGCTAAGGTATGACGTTTCGGACGGACACTACATATCATTCTGATGACAATCAAGATATCATCTCCAAAGACACTCCTGCTCATGATCAGATCACGGCATCCTATCCTCTTCAGAGTTACAGGTGAGTCAGACTGTCGCTACCGTTCCTTTCCCCATTAGTTCAACACCAAAGGCATCGCTGCAGATACTTGGACATGCCTGAGCGACGAGACTGCGGCCCAGACAATGCATGCTGTAGTTAATGGCTACAGTGAAGTTATCAAAAGTTGAATGCGCATGTGCACCTCGTGTCACATTCTCCTTTTGCAGATCACATTTGCAAGTCTGATGAAAATGCAACGTTGCGCTCAAATCTCGATCGACAAAGTCCCCGCATCTACTCAGGGGTTAGGCGCTCCGTGATTGAACCATGCATTTATCGAAACTATTTATTTCCGAATTTCATGCGGCCCGAGCAAAAGAACCAGTTACGCGCCCCGTGGGTATCCAAACTAGGTGACATGAAACAAATACTAAATGACTATATTTTTCCAGATAAGATCTCCTCCGCGTGAAGGAGAAGAGCGCCTGCTGCTATTCGCCACGTGCCTCGGGAGATCAGCCAGGGACCGTCCGAGCATCACAAGCTCCAGGGTTGTATTGCGATAAGTAAGGATCTATCTGTTGTGCTGGCCTATCAGATCTTATCGTGGGCTCTGGGGAATATCAGAAACAAAGCCGGTTTCATTGGGCCGGCTATCTACCAGTCATCTTCCATCATTAACCAACAGGTTTCGCTTTGAGTGGAAGCTCATTTTCTTAGGGACTGACACTGAATGCACTGGTCAGGAGTTATGAGGGCCAGGTCGAAATCTCCTGACTGCTGTTTTACCTGCATGAACTCACCCTACAGCGTCACAACCCCTTATTGGCTCACGTGAAATGAATAGCAGCCGGCTTTGCTTTTCAGACAGAATTCGGATAGGAGATGTGGATTAGGAGACAAAGACATAGAACCACAAGATACGCGCTGTAATTATACAGCAAGAACATTTAATACAAATACGCAATGTTTCCTTCAATCCTAAGCGCCTATTCAGATACCCTTTGCTCTATTACATTAGCATCACTAAGATTTGTCAGGCTCTTAACAGATCAGACAAAAGAGATATTCTTATCCTTTCCAATCTTTGAAGCCAACATGAAAGTCTTCACTAGGCTGCACGCATGCCTCCTTGGAGTTCTTACACAGCATGTTGCACAATCATGGGCACTATCAGGAGAGGCCAAAGCAATGGTTGAAGACTCTATGGAGTGGATGGATAGGTTCTACGACCCCAAGATCTCACAGCTATACGACCTCAACTCTAATGCCGCGATGAATCACGAGACACTAGCCTCTACATGGTACGCGGTCGGCCTTCTTGCACGGAACGGCGATGGTGATGCCTCAAAGGCTGAAGATGTCATCAGATACGTTATCAACGACCAGCACGACAATCCCAAAGATTTGTGGTATGGCGACTATACGCGAGAACCCGAGGAGCCAACTGTTGGAACAGCATGGTACCCTGCCAAAATGTACGGATCGTGGGACCCCAACTGGCGTGGCTTCGTTGGTCTCAGCTTCATCACTATATACGAAGAGTTCGGCGATCTGTTGTCTGACGATTTGAAGGGGCTTATGCTGGACAGTTTGTATAACTGCAGCGTTGGCGACTCGTACCGTGTGGGTGGTGTCAACGGAGATAACCTCTATCCATCTTACAGCAACCCTGCAATCATGCGTGCAATCGGGACGAGCTGGACTGGCCGACAAGTAGGCGATGACAATATGACACAGGCTGGAGAGGATTATGCCAAGGAGATTATCAACCTCTTTGACTTGCATGATACGCTTTCGGAATTCAACTCTGCGACATACACCGGAATTTCGCTCTTTGGTCTTACGCTATGGTGCAAGTATGGTGATAAGGATAGTATTCTCTCGGAGAGAGGCCCAGATCTCCTACGCGGTGTCTGGAATTACACTTCGCAACTGTGGAATCCGAGCATGCGCAATCTCGCCGGTCCGTGGGACCGGGCATATACATTCGACATGACCAAGTCTCTGGGCATTCTATCTCACTTTCTTGCGCCTATTATCGGGAGGAAGGAGTCAGGGTTATGGGAGTACCCGGAAGTCATGAGCCATGCGCGTGACTGGGCTTGGGCACCTCTCATTGCTGTTCACTCGGAATTCCACAATTCGTTGCTTTCGGATGATCTTAAGGAGTCGCTGAAGACATTTAATGGAGAGAGGACGTATGAGGGGAAGGCTTACTATCCGCCGTACGATCTTGATACCCGAAATATCACCACGTGGCTTAGCGAGTCGCTCATGATTGGGGCTCAGTCGTATCGAACGAAAAGTGCAAACGGGCCGTCGAATAATAAGGCCCAGTTCCACCCTGCGGTTGCACATTGGTCTTACGGAGATGATGAGATTGGATGGCTCAGCGTAAGTTATACCGCTTCAAAACTCACTCCTGCTTTTACTGACGCACCTCACAGCTCCGACCCACTGAGGCCCATGTCCTGATGGAAGTATCACCAAAGAAGCTCAAAGTGACATATCCTGAAGGGACTAGCAGTTCAATTTTCACTTTTGTGGCCTCTCCCTCACTTGCGAAGAGGGATGTTCAGTCGTGGGCCGACATCCAAGGCGCCTCGATATCTGTCTCTGGAAACGCAAACCCGGAGCCACAGATCACATTTGCTGGTCGATATGGTGGCTCGGGAAGTCCGATTTACGACCACAATCATTGGACGTTTGTTCACACCATGCCTGCTGATTTTGAGGGCGCACCTGAGATTACCATTGAGTTTGAATGAGGGGACCTGGTTCAAGATCAACAACTAGATTTTTTGTCTGATATACCGTATAGATTAGAGGATGTAACATTATTGTGTATATGTGTTTTATAGATTTCAGCTAGTATCAATTTTCAATTTTATAAAGCACTTTGCTAGGAGCATTACGCAAGTAAACCTCCTACGATGAAAGCCGCAATGGTGATAATGAAAGCAGCCGATCCTGGCTGTAGAGACGCGGAATCGTTATCATCATCACCACTGCCAGAGCTGGATTCAGATCCATTCCCTCCAGTTGAACCCGAGCCGCCCTCGTGACTCAACACAAAGATCTCGCCAGTCTTGTCAGAACTGAACCACAGTCTACCCTTAGAATCCCAGGCCAGACCGACGGGGCGGAAGCAGTCATCCGGACATTTGGAGAGATCTTTGTTGTAGATTATGGGTGTAGTAGCGTTCGTGCTTCGTGAAGAAGATGCAGGTTTACCATCTTGGAAATCTACGTACGAGACTTTGTATCCAACTGGTGGATTGCGGTTCCCTGGAGTTGTTAGAAGTGTACGGGGTCCGAAGTTGGGGAAAGGGGAGCTTACAGCTACCGTGAAAAGATACATAGGCTCTTGTTCCATTCTCGTCAAACTTCAGGTCAAGAGGCGCCATATGGGCTTGGAACGCTAGGACTGGAGCAACGTAGTCGGATTTGCATTCCTCATCAGTAAGGGCGGTAGCATTATCGCCGTCAGCCTGGCGATCAGCTGGAAATTGATCGCCTATCTTCAGGTCGCCGAGATTAGGGAAGCCTTCTGTAGACCAGAGGGTATAGCAAAGAGGGTAGCCGTAGTTGCCACCCTGATCATCAGAGCCATTAAGATACCCGTGGAAATTCATCTCCTCGCCTGGGTTGTCCTTGTGGATGTCTTTACCATTACGATGTAGTTCGTCGGCGGAATTCTCAACGCTGAAAATGCCACCTGTCTCTGGATGCTCTGCCACGCCGACGGAATTGCGAAGACCCCAGCCGAGGATCTCGCCGTCAAGATAATCGTAAGGCTTTTTATCGGAATTGCCGCTGAAAGACGAGATGTTGAAGGCGCGGATCTGAGAGCGACCAGAGTCACGATCTTCAGCACCTGCGTCATCGTTCCCATCGCTACCCCGGGACACGAGCAGCATGTCTGGATGTTTCTGTGAGATGAGCAGGGTTCGAGAGGTATGACCTCCGTTAGTCATATTGTTAACTAAAGTCTGGGCAGAAGATTCGCTGAGGGTGAGTTTGGATGGGTCATAGGACCAAGCAAAGACTTCATCGGATGATGAAGCATAGATTGTACGTCCATCTTTAGAGAGGGCGATGCCATGGTTGAGCTAGCACGGTGAATAACTTAGCTGATGGTCAAACGATGGGGTTTCCTGGATCTGGGTAGCTCACGTTATTCTTCTTTAGTAGAGTGGTCTTCTTCTTGACTTGCAAGCAGGTTCCACCTTCATCATCGAGTTCGAAATGTATTATGCCATTTCCAGAGTCTATCACAATGAGAGCACCTTCGCTGTCGAATAGTATACCTCGGGGTCGTCTAAGCTCATTGGCGATGATACTGTAGTTCCAGCCATCGGCAGTAGCAGGCGCTGGATAAGAGGACTTCAAGGTCTTGAGGTTGCATTGCTGGGCTGAAGCGATGACGATGAGTAGCGTTACGGTGGCGAGGAGGCGGATGGACGCCATCGCAAAACTGCGGGGTATCGATGACGTCGGGATCAAGAGGTGGATGGCCAGTGTTGATGAATGTAACAGAACTATAGAGATGCTACCAGGCCCTGAGTTTGGGTATTAAAACGAGCAATGCTGTCGAAAATAAGGGATAACAGGATCATGGAGGAAATATCTCGAATACATGATCAAAGTCAGAAGTCGTCATTGACAACTCTTGGCAAGGCAAGTCACACGACTTTGTTGCCCAATGAAACAGAGGACAGGGGTTGAGACATTTTAGGCTAAAGCAGGCCAATGCTGGCGAAGTCGACTTGACGAGCTTACCCTACATCGCGTTTATATAAAAGTTAGGGAATAGCAAAAAGGATGAGTTAGCAGGGTTTTAATCTATTATATAAACACAGGCGCAAGTATCTGTAGCTTCACTTCCAACCACTTCTATACTCACAGCATCTAGGAAAATTCATTCACTGAATTAGCAACAAGGAGTTAAAAACCGCAAAATTTACAGCACTGACATTCCAACGTTGAGCTCTATCAAGGCCATAACTTTCATAACTTTGACACAAACTAACGTCAATGATATGACTAGGCATTTTATTTAAACCTTCTGACTGGTTGAGCTTTCTAAATCGAGCTGACAGACTTTTAGTCAGTTGATTCAAGACTCTGGGGTTGTTCCGCACTGGTTCTAGACCTTAGCGGCCATCTCCGCTATCTGACCTTGGCCCCGAGCAACTCAATTTCCTGGCACGAGTGGCTATAAACAAAATGATACAGAAATTTATTCCAGCATCTAGTCCATGTGGAGTTTACCATCCCGTATCAGGAAGCAGGATAAAAAGTCTCTTCCCCACGGCACATATTCCGATGCCGTGGTAGCCGGATTCTCAGCGGGTCATTGATAAGTAGCCCCATCGGGCAATGGATCTGACAGGCATCTAAGTGGCTGCAGCCAATGCCGACGGTCCTGGGTTTCTAGCGCGTACGACGTCTCGGACACACTGCTCGTGGGTTACACGCGCATCGCACAGAACATCCTGGTATGGTAGTGATAAGTATCGCTTATCGCCGCTGAGGGTCTGACAGTGACCAATAATAGGCGCGATGTGACAGCGAAATGGGAAGGTTAGTGGTATCGTACCCCATGAACGAGTGCGATAGCTAGGTGGGCACGGGAGAAGCGGCAACTGCTATCGGTCGAATATTCGATTGAGCGAACCGATGTGGGGTTTCTAGGATCTAGAAATACAGTGTTACAGCCTGCTCACTCTGTCTCTCTTGATGTCTGTTCTATTGTGTGACCTCGGTCCTTTCACTTTATCCGCGTCCTCAGCTGTCGCCTATCTCTGGTCAATCACAACTCCTGCAACCAAGGACTCAGGCAGGCATGGCAACCTACAATGAGAAGCTCAAGGGCGGCGACCACGAGTTATCCCTAGAGTCAGGCAGCGGCGACATTCCGGCGGCCGAAGACTACACTTCATCAGCCGACTATGGACGCGGCGTCTTGGCAAGCCTCCGCCGCTTCGAGGCTCGCATGGACAAGGCTCTCGGCGTCGAGTCTGAAGCCATCGTACGCAAGACAGAAGAGGACAAGCGACCTGTACCATGGCATGAGGAACTCAACATGGCCCTGATTTGGGCCTCGGGTACTATGGGCATCAGCTGTTTCGCCACCGGGTTCTTGGGCTGGGAGTTCGGTCTGAGCTTGAAGCAGAGTCTGCTGATTTACATTTTTGCTTCTATCCTTGGTGGTTCAGTGTCCTCGTACTGCGCTACCTTTGGTGCAGCAACGGGTCTACGTCAGGTATCTGTCTCTCGTTACAGCTTCGGATGGTATCCCAACAAGATCATTGCTTTCCTCAATGGTATTGAACAGCTGGGTTGGGCTTCCGTTGCTACGATCAGTGGCGGCCTGGCTCTTACTGCCGTCGCGGACGGTCATATATCCCTTGTTGTCGGCGTTATCATCATCGCCATTGTTTCGCTCGCCATCAGCTTTTTGGGTCTCAAGTACATCCTGATCTACGAGCGTTATGCCTGGTGTATCTATTTCATCGTGTTCATGATCATCTTCGGCATGGTTGGACCGTACGCCGACAACAAGACCCCTGCCTCTAGTTCAGGCATTGATCTCTCGGGCAACGTGCTTTCTTTAATTGCCATCGTTTATGGTAGCTCCGCATCGTGGGCGACTATGGCTTCGGATTACTATGCGCACTACCCGGCCAACACATCACGGCTGAAAGTCTGGCTCTTGACTACTGCTGGTATTGGTATCCCTACAGCGATCGGCATGACTGCTGGAGCTACGGTTGCCAGTTCACTCAACAATGTCGAAGCTTGGAAGACGGCATACGAAGATCCCCACCAAGGTCTTGGTTTTCTCATCAGAGATATGCTGCATCCACGAGGTTTCGCCAAGTTGCTTCTCGTTCTGCTATCATTCAGCGGCATCAACACCAACATCATGTCCCTCTACTCATCAGCCATCTCGTTCCAGCAAATGGCCACTCCGTGTGCCAAAGTTCCTCGCTTCATCTGGACCCTTGGAAATTTCGTAATCGTCATCATTCTAGCTATCGTTGGCCGCCAAAAGCTCAACACCTATCTGCAAGATTTTCTGAGTCTGCTGGGTTATTGGTGTACTAGCTACTTCGTCATCCTTTTCGAGGAACACACCATCTTCCGCAAGCGTAACTTCGACAATTACGATCTTGAGGGCTGGAACACCAGAGAGAGGCTGCCACATGGTATTGCTGCCTCTGTTGCTTTCCTTTTAGGCGTTGTTGCGTGGTGCATGGGAATGGTTGAGACTTGGTTCACCGGACCACTAGGCAAGTTGATTGGAACATATGGAGGCGATGTTGCAAATGAGCTGACCTTTGTGGTCACCGCGATCGTGTACCCAATTGCTCGATACTTGGAACTAAAGTACTTTGGCAAGTAGGTTATAGTTATTAACATCCGTAAGGAGTAGAATACAATTATCTGACTCTAGGTTCTCTCTGCCGGANNACTTCTAGCCCACAACTTAGATGTCGATACCACGATGACTGACTAATGGCTACAGCATAAAGCTGATACAATTATCTGACTCGTATATCGTTAATCCGCCCTGAACCTGAGAATATTATCTTGATCCGACGTTTCCTCCCGTTATTACAACGGTATTTGGCGCTCGTCTCGAACAAGCTCCTTATAGGCCCAACCTTATGTACGTTTTTCTAAATGTCCAGTCCTTTCCTACTGTTCCTAGTTCCCTCGTGGTGGGTTCAAATTCCCCGTGTGAGAGGGCAGCTCAGATACGGGCGTGTTGCCGTGAGGGGAAGAAGCGATGGGAAGTTCGGAAACAGGCGATGCAACTGTCTTGTAGGGCTCGATGGGAGGACTCTGATGCGGAGAGCTTGTGCCCTCCACGAACATTTGGCTGTATCTTGGATCGCTGGGGGGAGGCGGCGAGCCCTGAGTGGAATAGCCGGCGTAATTGTTGTAGTCGTAGACAACCGGAGGAGGCACATCTTGCTGGTACATTTGTTTTTGGTATTGTTGAGAGGGAACAACAGGTGCGACTGCAGGCGTAGGCGTCACCTCCTTGCTCTGCGGCTTCTTGCTTCGAAGGAACCAAAATGCCAGTCCCAAGATGGCGATCAGCGAGACACCGCCGATAACACTACCGACGATGGCCCCGACTGGGGTAGGGTTACTTGGTTCACGTGAGGGCTCGGCCGTCTTGGTGACAATGGGGACGCCCTTGGTGGTATCGATACTGGTAAGTGTCTGCTCTCTAGTCGTACTACCCGTTGTTACCTTGATAATGGTTGATTAGTAGAAGGGAACCTGTTGCTCGCTTTTACCACAAAGGTATACAGATAGCTCGTCGTCGTCTTCTAGGGCCTTGATGCCTGTCGCACAATACGGATAGTTCACGTTAACATCCCCGGTGCTGAAGTCAGTCATTAGCCGACGTCTTGCAACCATTTGGGTACCAATCAGACGAACCAGCAAAGGGCACCTGAATCTGCATTATTGCAGATAGATGCACGGGGATAGCATGTCGTGAAGATATTCTCGAAGCAACCAAAGTGTGAGCCAATGGTCTTGCAGGTCGTAGTCCAGGCATTCGCTTCGCCGTATTTCCAGGTAGCCCAATCTATGGGATTGTGTTAGATCATTGGAGGCTCAAGATAATGATTAGCAAAAGTCAATACCACTGCCCAAGAGAGAAAAGTAGCCATAGGAACCGTAGTTGTTTTGGCGACCGGACAGATCGCGCTGATAAATCGTTCCCGGAGCAGTCACAGCCAGGCCAGCCGCATCAAACGCAGGCGCAGCTGGAACATTTATAGGCTGAACATCAGTCATAGTTGCAAAAGATTTCTGACCGCCAAATGATCGATGGACTGTTGGTCTAAACCAAATCGTCCTTTACTCAATGCGGAGAAACATTTAAGGGGGTAAAGCAAACTGGATTTCTTTTTTAGCAGATTGAGGCAGATGAAACTGTAAGACAGCAGAAGAGGCAGTGCTCCCTAGAATATCCCTTCTTTCTTGGGGGTTGAAAATAACTCATAGGTTTTATCCAATGGTATGAGGATGTCGCTCCTCTAGTCTGCGGCTGAGAGAGTGGTACACCATTTACAACCTGTCGCCAATCTCAGCCCTCCTGCAAAGAGCCTAAAGAGGAGATTGACACAACAGCTTGTAAGCGCCAGCCTGGTTCAGATTGACGCCCAGTTATGTCAGCAGCCTCCACTATGATCGCTGATATTGGCTGGGGTAATCGGCCAATATTAAGAGGCTGTAAGCCATATCTGCAGCTGCACGTTCTAGGGTTGGTGGCCTTGTTCAGCTGCTGTCGGCTGGCTTTTAACTCACTTTCCTTCCTCCCTATAGGCCTTATAGGCGCGCTCAGGAAGGATTTTCAGATTTGAGACATTGCTCGTCCAGACCGGCGTCTTTAATAAGGCGTCAAAATCCCACCCATCTCACCAACTGAAGTAGCCACTGATTTCAACTAAATCCATCCCACTTCTCGTTTTGCAAGCTCCCCCTAGGATCAGTAAAGGATACAATCCTCCACAGAGAATTAATTGGATACTGTCCAGAAAATGGCAGCCCAGGCACCAGCAGGTAGACTTTTGCGAGGACACAATCCGGCAACACGCAAGAAGCCGTCCGGAGCCGTGGGGAAAATCTCCATTTCCTATTTTGTTGGTTAGTACCATTCCTCCGCTGACTTCCTGGTCAGTCACTGAACATTACTTAACACGTCGCAGCCATTTGCTTTATCGGCATCCATGCCGCTTTTTTCGCGGTATTGAATAATCGTCCAGTTAATACAACGATCGGCCAGGGCCTCTCAACGGCTCTGGCCAATATACTAGCAATTTTTGTTGAAGTCTCCCTGCTTGGAGGTCTCGGATTGGCATACAACCAGATCTTGGCGAGGTTTCTTGGACAGAAGTCCTTCTACAGTCAGGACACTAAGCTCCATACCCTTGCTTCCAGCCCATGGAATCTGTTTCGGCCCAGGGTACTAGCTCATATCCTACATATCAAGAGGCTGTGGCTTGTAGGATTCCTTTGTGCTGGGATTCCTTTTGCAGCTGTATTTCCTCCTGGCGCCCTGACTGTCAAATTCGAGAATTCTGTGCCTTTGACTATGAATGCTGTACCAACAATCAATATCAGCGATTACGGAAATGGCACTTACCAAGACTTCGTGGAGAAGTCGTTCTTTGAAATGAATGCCGACCTCAGTTATATGTCAGTATCTGCACCAAGTTGGACATTCCTCAACTGACGATTCTAGGAACCAATTGAGACCGAGTCTGAATGCATTGGCAGCTCAGGTGCTATCGTCTGGCAGACCAGTCAAGATTGACTCGCCTTGTGGTGCTTCGTGTGTTTACGACATCTCTATTGAGGGGCCTCTGTTCAACTGCCAGGAACTTAGTCGTCACGATGTTCTGTCGGATGGCTGTTCTGTCATATACAGAGCGGCAGATGAAAAAGACAGCAGTCCTGATGAACCATACAGCCGTACTAATAACTCTTTTAAGATAAGCTGGTACACTGACCCGAGACCAGTGAATTGCACATCACTGAGTAAGAAGACGCTGGACTGCTCTATGAAGTTAGCGACTTACAATCTTCATATCAATAACTCACTAGACTCCTCTCAGTCCATCGATGTGCAGATTGAAAATAAAAGGGAGGTCTGGTCGGAAAAGGCTTGGATCCAAACACAATTCTTCTATTACTTCTTCTATGGCGGTGGCATTACGCCTCGTCTAGCCAACGACACCTTGAAAGCAAATTTTACCAATGCCCAGTCATACGCCATCAGCCGCGCTGCTGTGCATGCTTTACAAGGCGAGGTAGAGATGCGTGAGTACATTCCTCCACTTCAAGTTGCCTCCAAAAGCTAAAAGCCCTACAGACAGAGATGGCCCCGGACTGGGGGTTATTTTCTTTTAAGGCAATGCATCACAAGTACTGGGGAGCCCGTATATTGGATTAGTCGACAGATATAATGCTCATTTCAACATTTCTGCGGCAAGTATTGAGAAATACCTACAAGATGTTGTGATTTCGACGATTTCACTTGCGATGTCGACACACAACGGGGATATTGATGCATCCATCGGCGCAGAAGTCTACCAGTTTAGTGAAAAGGTTCAGTTTGTTGCTGGGTATGGGGTTTGTATTTTTGTTGCATTGGGTATTTTTGTCTTTAGTCACTTTATTAATTAATACCGCGTGGCGGCCAACTCTTCACATGACGGCACCTACATGCCTTGTAAGGCACATGTTTACAGGACTAGCATGCGCCCTTTTTGCTTGACTTGCTATTTACTGGTTCTGAAGAGTCTTCTCCCTTTGGTTACTATCGCGATACTCGGCGCTAGAGATGTTAATTGTGTTCAAGATCAACAACCCAATGCCCCGTAGCATAACCAATCAGAGGTCGCGCTTAATTAACAGTTTTAATGTGACTTCTAGACTTTAATTATTTGCGATTGCAAGGTTTTATTCTCTTCCTGCAAGTATGATTTGGTTACATCACCCACTAATGAGTATTCTCCATTAATGACCTGTACGCAATGGTAACAGAGAAAAAGCGACGTTCTCGGTACACGTCCGTTGCTTGGTACGTATCTCATACACGTCATCGATATGTGCTTCGGCTGACGAAATGCACCACAGTGAGAGATGCCAGCAGCGCAAGACCAGATGCAGCGGCGAGCAACCATGCAATGGATGTAGTAAAGCTTGCACGAGATGCCTCTATCCACGGGCAACGCGTTATCGATCTTCGCGTTGTGCATCGTGAGTGTCACTCTAGAACCTTGGAGTCTGGAAGCTTACGTCACGTAGGGCAAGGGCACCTCTTCAAGAATCAGAGAATGTTCAATCAGAGAAAGAAAGCCTGGAGGATGGTTCAGAAAGCCTAGCCTCACTCTCGCACAGCTGGCCACTCGAAGCTCCGGGTTCGGAATTAGCATATGACAATTTCGATGACTTCATACGTTTTACAGAGCGACAGCTGTTTCAAGCCGACCATCAAAGCGATAACTCGAGCGCAAATCCTGGCTTAGTGGGCTTCGTCTCCAGAGAGTTGGACAGGCTGTTTGTGCATGGAGGTGTTTCTCCGGAAGGAGCACTCGAAACTCTCGATCACACCTTTTGGTGTCAAGTTCTAGAGGTCTATGAAGAGGAAGTTGACATGATGTATCCATTTCTCGAAATCAGCCAGTTGAGACATGAGATACTCGACAGAAAAACGTGGTCCGGTTTCGATTACCCCCGCTCTAGCGGTTTCTATGGCGACGTTGTTGGAGATATCGCCTTTCTTGTACTGGCGATTGTCTCAAGTTTCGAAGCTTCCAAGGCTGTAGAAATCGTGAGTCCTGTTGTCGAAAAGTCTTTCGTTTCAACCATCCCCAAGATACACCTACAATCCCCTAACTTGGGTGACTTGACATTGTTGGCTCTGATTGTAAGTGGATTCGGTCTCTTCATCGTGCGTCCATTAGTCTGATGTACTTTTACAGTGTATTTTCTTCTTTCTTAATGATAGAGAAAAAGAAGCTTGGAGATTGATTGGCACCATCATGAGATTGGTACATGAGCAAAGCTCCCAAGAGGAAGAGGCCGCTCTTGAGAAAATTTCGGACACATTCTTCTGGTCTCTATATACCTTGGACCGAAGATGGAGCTTTGGTACTGGTCTACCGTTTGCAGTTCAGGACGCAGAGATCAACCGGCCGTCGTTGCCAACGGTATGACCCCAATGGCAATTACTTTGAACATAAACTGAACCATAGCACAGAACGAAAGCAGCCATTCATTAGCTTATCTTAAAGAGATGGTGTCATTTTGTGGTATAGCCTCACGGTCTATTTGACATGGAGCCTGCTGACACTACCTGGGCGGACACTGACCCGTCAATGTTTAACAACCTAAGCCAGATTCTTGGGAACTGCGAGAGCTTTACGTTCTTCTAGTCATTCCTTTTTAATAAATCGACGAAAATACATTCTAAACTACATAGCTCATACTATCAGGTATCTCGATCATTACACTTTCTCCTCCTCCATCTTTGTCGGCACTGTTAGAATTGCTACCTGTGACGAATCGGGACTGCAGTCTCAGTCGTCACATTAAGACTCAGCAGATCGGGCCGTGAGTAATGCCCCACCAGATCGAGATTCTGCTGCATCATGGCCCGGAATGAAAGATCAACATCAGTATAGAGAATGCCCTCTTCTCCTGGCCCCAATGGCTTGCAGAGCTCAGAGCCGTCTGGCCCGTAGATCATGCTGAAACCGCCACCTGGGGCTCTGGCATAGTCAAACTTTTCCAATCCTGTCTTTGCCTTGCTGTCTTCTGTTAATATCTGAGAGCAGACCAAGACAAAGCAGGCGCCTTCCATCGCCATGACCTGCGAGAATCTGTTGCAGGCTGGCGGTGTCAAGTGATACGGCCACGGTTGGCCCTCCAGGGCATCCCAGCAAAGAGGCCAGCTGGATACTTGAATGTCTAGATTTTGCGAGTACTGGTAGTAGCGTAGCAGAGGCTGGGTGTGTTCCCAGCAGTTCAGACCGCCGATGTTACCAAACGAAGAGGGGACAACAGCCTTGACGGAATCGGCTTGCCCGTCGCCCCAGTATGCTCTCTCAACGTGGGTTGGCTTGATCTTACGCCGGTGGAGAACAATGGTACCGGTCTCATCGATAAAAGACTGAGCATGGGTTAGTGTTCTGCGGCTAGCGGACACAGCAACAGATGACTTGCCTGTGAGATATAGAGGGTACCTTGATATCTCTCACTGTAGCCAAGTACAATGAATACACCAGCATCGCGGACAGCTGTTTTGATTTGTTCCATTTCCTCAGACTCCTTCTCAAGGGAATTGGCAAAATACTCGCTCATAAATGCAGCATTGCTGACTGGCGAGTTTGCCCAAATTGTCCTAAAATGATCTCATTAGCTGGACATTGTTACTCCACAAGATCTGTCTGCACTTACCATGGGTAACCTGGGATAAAGATCTCGGGGAAACCAATGACGTTGGCTCCTTTACTAGCAGCCTCTTGGATCAAGCCGATAGTTTTGGCCATGCTCCCTTTCAAGTCGTTCCAGCATGGTTCGGCCTGGATGGCAGCGACTTTGCATTTGGAAGGCATGGTGAAAGATAGATCAGAGGATTGGAGTTGTTCATGCTTGTACATTGATTGAGTTTTGACTGTATATGGTCGTATTTATGTGCAAGACCCCTCTCTTGGCCTGCATACGATAAGCTATCAATTACAAATTGCCCCGGAGATCTGTCAGCTGCAACAGATGTCGGAATCAACTCATCTTTACCCCACACGATTTGACGCTGATCTCGGATTCAACTACAGAGTACGATACGGAAATTTCTTATCTCATTCCGACAGTTCTCCTCCAATCACAATCTTGGGGGATGTAATCGCGAAACCCAAAGCCAGTTTAGCTTCAGAACAAGCTTTCCTACCCTGACTCGACTAAGTCGAGTCGACCCTTACCCCACAATAAATCCGGGGTCAATACCGTGGTGAGAGATTGTTATCTACAGCGTCGTCGTCACGTGTCATAGTCAAAAAGCGAGACAAAAGACAAGGTCAGTGTCTCGGTTCTTTGTCTCGCCGGTCTGTTATTCGGAATCAGATCAGCGCTATAGCTGGTCTAGATAGCTAAATGTTGATCGAAACCATTGCTGTCGGAATGAGGTGTTTGCCGTAGCCTGGGTAATCAATATCCGGGTTACCTAGTGGCATCGGGCTATGTTGCTTGACTTGTCCTAGATATTGAGCGAATAGATGCGGTCAAAATAGCTGGTGAGAGCAATTGTGAGACTGTAGCTAGCTGCGAGATGGCCACACATATCTATTTGTGCTGCCTCCATACTATAAATACAAGTAGATGTTTCGTCGCTGTTCTAATAAAAGTCGATATTCCGTTCTTTGTCATGAGACATCTTACTTTCTAAAAGGTCACGAAATCATTGGTTGTCAAATCCACCAACATGTTCTACCGCGCCAAATTCCAACCAGGAGACAAGTTCATTTACGGCATATATGGCATCCAGTACCAGGGCCAAAGTCCAAACCGTCAGCAGCTGGATCTCATTCAGAGGTTCGACAAGCTCATCACCGGACAGGCTCATCTTGACCGCATCACGGTCCCAGGTACTAATGAGATGAGCACCCAGATCTGGCTCTCGTATTGGTGGCCGGAGTCCCACGCAAAGTGGTGGTCATCACCTGCCGTGAAACAGTTTTGGGATGAGCTGCCAGAAGACGCAGGCATGTGGAGAGAGATCCTCACAGCCACTGCCAATCGAGTGCAAAATGCATGCACTGCTGAGTTGAAGAATGGGATGAATGGCGTTGGAGAGATGGAGCCATTCGGTGATAAGATTGGATATTGGGGCTGTGTTCGTCATCGTATACCAGACGTGAGCTTGGGTGATAAGTTGGCCTCTTCGTTGGAGGAGATGCCGGCGCGGGTTCCAGAGACAACAACCATTCGCCCTGGCAGAACGATTGTGACCGACCTACCAGACAATATCTGCTTCCTAGTTGAAGGCCAAGATCACTCGGGCATGTCTGATGAAGAGAAGGCGTTGTGGTTCGAGGAGTTTGACGAGCTAGTTAGTGGCTGGATGGGCTACCTAGCAAAGGATACCACTGCCAACGGGCTCTTTGATATACGAATGGGTCATGTCTCAGCCTGTGGAACGTTCAAAACTGGTGCACCGATCAATTTGAACCATAACAGGAAGATCGAGATGTTTTACTGGCAGGACATGAGCAAGTTTGAGCGGGTAGGGAGAATTCACAGAGGCCACGTCAAGCTTCGAAAGCGGTGGATGGAGGTTTATGGGCCTGGTGGAGAGATGGGTGACGGTAAAGGTCAGATAAACCTATGGGAGGAAACTTCTATCTTGAGGGGCTCAGATATCGTGGCTGAATATGTCGGGTGCAGAGAGGGTACTGGTTTCATGGCATTCGATGAGTTAGGAATAATTCATAGTCAGCAAGCAGCTTAATTCGAATGCGGCATCTTGAGTGTCTAACTCTTGGTAACACAGTATTATAAGAGTCTCAACTGCTATTATATCCTTGAGCTGATAGTATACATTGCTGAGTTGAGGAGTAGAATGAATGGTATGAGATTTATCCCCTTGACTAGTCTTTTGCGTTCTTGCAATTTCATCGAGTAAAAAAATAAAGTTTTGATGGCAACTTGTTCCTTATCCAGGTTAAGGGGGTGGTACAGGGGCGACAAGGGCTGATCAAGCCTCTGCTTTTCCAGATACAATACCAAGTGTTGGTCTTTTGGTCATATTTAGCGTGCGCAAATTCGGCAGACGTACAGACAATGATATCCACGCTACTATATTCTTGCTGCCCATTGTAGCCAGGAAGTTAATGCGCGCTATCCCAAAGCTTAATCTTTTTGTCGAGAGGATTGTCCACTGCTCTCGAGACCTCATCAAAATGCATCGTTGACCTGCGACTAGCATCATACTTCGGCCACTCGGGATCTCCTGTCGTGGCGAATGCGACCCAGGCCCGATGCATGGTGTCAGCGAGCTCTTGCGCGGGCGTTGGGCCAAGAAGGGGTTCCGTTCCGAGGCCCAGCGCGTCGAAAACGAAGGGTATCTCCAAGGAATGTGACGCGCCGAGGCGACCGCCCATCTGAGGTGATTGCCAGGCAAATTCATACATATAGGTCGAGGCTTGAGCCGCGTTTGCATGTTCGTCTGCAAAACGAATGGCGGGAATTCGCCAGAACCAGTCGGTCTGGATCGCAGAGAATAGCTCACCAGGACTGGCTCCCGGATGTAAGTCACGGTACGCGTCGAGGTCCTCTGGCGACAAACCGTATACTCCAGCTATCGTGGATAACATCTCTTCCGTAATACGATCGATGGAACCGTCTGGGACTAAGAAAAGACGTGTTTCCTCAGTGTTGGAGCCAATCAGCAAGTCAATATCCGTTGAAGCGCTAGCACGGATAGCATCCATTGGATGTACCGGGATAATATCCCCGTCGATAGTGGGTGCCCACGGAATAAAACTGAGCGCGACCTCGCCCCAGAGAGCTGGGTCAGGGCGTGCGGTCAGTTCGTCTCGCAGCTGGGCCTGAGCGTGGAGGATCTGATCAGATGGAGTAGCCTTGATGGCCTCCAATGTAGCCTCGACGCCTAGGATCTCTGCCAATCGCTGTCCAATCCGCTTCGCTGTTGCCGCTGAATTGAGCTTTGGGTTACTCCCGCTTTGCACAATCGCTCGGTGAAACAGCCCCTTAGCCTTGGGGACAGCCAGTAGTGTGGCGACACTCATGGCACCAGCAGACTCCCCAAAGATAGTGACCTTGCTGGGGTCTCCTCCGAATGCGCTTATGTTCTTCTGCACCCATTCTAGGGCGGCGATTTGGTCAAGGAGGCCAAGGTTGGGGGTGACATCGTCTAGGTAGAGAAATCCTTGTGCACCCACGCGGTAATTGATGGAAACGCACACAACGCCGTCGCGCGCAAACCTACCACCATCGTAGTAGGCTGTAGCCCCAGTGGCATGGAATTCGAACATACCACCGGGAATCCATACCATTACTGGTAGTTCCGAGGTGCCGAAGCTAGGTGTCCAGACGTTGAGGGTCAGGCAGTCTTCACCACTACCAACTAGCTCTGCGAGGCCTTCAGCGATCCCCGGCGGATAGGGGACCTGAGGCGGCTTGGGTCCGAACTCTAGCGCGCCACGCACGCCTTCCCAATATTCTGGCGGCTGTGGAGGACGGAGGTAGTTTGGCCCGAAAGGCGGTGCAGCAAATGGCACCCCTTTAAACACATGAACATTGTCAACAGTGTTGCCCCGAACGTCGCCCGACTCCGTTTTGACGATCGGGTATGAGGACTGATTGTCAAGAAGACCTTGCGGTGATGTAAGTTGCTCCGTCATAACGCTGTCGTTGTTCCTTGAGAATGGTACGGCTATTTGCGGTTAAGATTGGGCTGAGAGCTTGAATCAGGATAGAGAACTTGGATGGCAAGCTTGAATATATTTGCGAGCATAGGACAAGACAGTCGCTGTCAGGGACCCCGCGGTACTGGGACGCTTAAAATAGTCATCTTGGAATCTCTGGTGGGTGATGGCTTACGTGTTCACGGTCTTGATTAATGGTGTGATGTGTGGCAGCCACAAAACAGTAGTGGGGCCATGGCACGCAATGTTTGCCATTGAGACCTGTGCCTAGAAGCATGGGTATGCCCATAGCCACTCGAGGTGGTTACGAATCATTCGTTTATCAGATCATGTGGCTGAAATGATATCTTTTGGCGGTCATTTGTCGACACAAGGTAACATGTTATGCCCATTTGCGGATTGTATGAGATCCGAATTATTGGATGGCTGATAAACGATACACCATCAGTAAGCATTTGCGTAGGCTGATTCCCCAGCCGTTTATAGTCTGCTGTTTATTCCTGTGTGGTGACAATCTGCTGCAAAGTGGAAAAGGCAAGTCGTGTACCTCTCTAAGCCTTACCACCGCGAGAACTACTGGTATCTACTTTAAGCTAAATCCACAGGAATGTACTTGGTCCAAAACCCCTCCGCTGCAAGAAAGTCAAGCGGCTCCATGTGTTCCACTGCGCCTCCATAAGGGAGACTGACATAGTATCCTAGAAAGCGTTGTATCTTTTGGGGAGTGTTTTAATAATCTCGTATGGTACGGCCAAATACTGATTCTCCTCCTGGCGGCACCACCCTGGTGTCGTGAAAGCGCTGAGCAATATGCTAGCCTCATTGGTGGTGTTTGGCTTCTGGCCGTAGAAGATAGACCCTAGACTATAGACGGTTAGATTCAACCTCGAGGATATGTGAAAGTTAAGAATAAGCTCACCAAAGAATAGCATCCCCTTTCTTCCACTCGATTTGAGTCACATCAGTAGCTAACTATGGATGACAGCGGCCTATAAGGTTAAGCTTTAGGCTGCGAACACAGATAATGAATGACAACACGATAGAAAGGTCAATGAAGAGATCATTCATCAAAAGCTCAGTGGCAAAGGTTCGACTCTTGCCGATTAGACCAAACGTTTGACCATCAGCCCAGCTCTCTAATCTCTCGGGGAGCGGGGTCTAAAGTTTCCGTCTTGGCTGCGCCTTCAACAACAACGATGCCGTCTGCCTTCAGGGTTTGAAGGACATCATGAGCTTCAGCTGAATCGGTGAAACTCTTAACAGTAAACGTAGTAGTGGATACGAGCAGTAGGCACGAGAGGGACAAGATAACTCTGATGTAAGGTACGGAATGTTTGGCAGTGTTTCCCTGCATATTCGAGATACTTATACTACCACGATCTGCAAGCGAGAGTTGCTACCTTGTCCATCGTATTGACTATCCTCGGAAATAATGCGACATACCCTGAAGCGGCCGAAAGCCCCAAGCCTCGAGATAAGATAAGCCCGGGCCCAGCGCACTGCGATAAGATCTTGAGTGACCGTGTCGCGTCGTGTTACGCTATTCTGTAACTAGCTAGACTGGATGACCTTCTTAACCGGGAATGAGCCCGAGAACGGAACCGTCACCGACAAATCATGGACTGCATGTTATCTCCCCGACAATTGTGGGGTCACCATACTTAACTCCCCGATCTGAGAGACTCTCTCAAAGTGAATGTCATTCTGGAGCGAATGTTAAAATAAAAGAACGAGAGTAAAAGTGTAATACATTGATTTAAATACCCTTTCTAAACTCTTTCTTAGCATCTATCACAAGTCATAAATACAAAAGCCTGGCACGACAAGTCATTTCAATTCAATCATGTTGCTCGACATTCATACCTCAATTTTCAAGACAGCTGTATTGACACTTTGTGCTCTATTAGTACTCAAAGTAGCTGTCTATATTATATACAACTTCTTTTTCCATCCGCTTTCCAAGTATCCCGGGCCACCGCTTGCACGAATCTCAAGATTATGGAGCCGAATCGGCAACTTCCAAGGGCGAAAGTCAGAAAGAATCCACGAAGCACATGTTAGGTATGGCTCTGTGGTTCGAGTTGGACCAAATGAACTTTCCTTTTCAACACCCACTGCCGTGCAGGCAATCTACACTTCCAATGACTTTACTAAAGAACAGAGCTTCTATGTAAGTACTTAATTTAACAGATATAATTTTCAGCAGCCAACTTAAAGCAGCGCGCGAAACGAATATTCCATGAAAACCACTTGTTTAGTTTCAGGTGAGTCTTTTCGCATATTCCGATAATCCTTCCATGCCTGAACTGACCTGATATAGAGACGCTGAAGCCCATAAAACTCGCCGAAAAAATTTCTCCAGAGGGTTTTCTCAATCTTCAATGCTCGATTTTGAACCCCACGTCTCTTCAAAGATCAAGACGCTTCTGAACCAGTGGGCGACGAGAGCTAACGACGGACCCATTGACGTGTATCCTTGGTGTCACTGGCTGGGATTTGACGTCATTTGTGAGTGAAACAGACGATGAAACTGCTTTTGTACACAGGAGATTGATTGAAATCCAGACCATCTCATGTTCGATGAGGATCCTGGGTCTGTGCAGCGGGGCCAGCCGCACCAGGTCATGAAATACATCAAGGCTTGGAAACCCACGTATATCTATGTAAATTCCATCCACTGGACGAGCTGCTGATGGAAACTGACTGATTATAGAAAGAATTCCTACCTCAGATGGAACAATACGGAGTCTACGTCCCTGGAACCATCGGCGGATATTTCAGGGATGTTCGCACATGGAAAAATGTGAATAACCTTGGAATATACACTGCTTCATTCGACACCAACTGATCTTGTGTAGTATGCACTCACGCTTGTCGAAGGAATCCGCCAGAAAGACTCGCATACACCCTTCCTCCGAAATGTCCTCAGTGCAGAGAAGAGCGAAAACACGGCGCAGCCTTTAACGAACTCGGAGCTTGCGGAGGAATGTATGGGAGGCATGTAAGTTCAGACGCGAGGATAGACAGGTCTTAGCATAATTCGGCCGAGCTGATGATTATTTGACTAGGTTCGGCGGAAGCGGAACTACCGCAAATACGTTCGTATACATACTCTGGGCGTGTTTGAAACATCCCAAGGTGGTAGAAAAGCTGAGGTCAGAGCTCCTCCAAGCATTCCCAGAGCCAGGTTTGGTCCCCGACTATCAAGTAATTGCACCTTTCCAGGATGGTTGTGATGTTTACTAATTGACATAACGCAAGACCTGCAGCAAGTTACCCTACCTTCAGGCTGTTATCAATGAGACTCTTCGAAGGTATCCCACTATCGTGGCGACCTTGCCACGCACCGCAAATAACGATACTGTAATTGATGGAATCCCAGTACCTAAAGGGGTAAGTCAAAACTGACGCATGCATTGTATACTCTGTACTCAGAATTTCTAGACTATTGTGGGAACTCAGAACTTCACCATACACCGCAATGAGGATGCATTTCCATTACCTGAGGAATTTATTCCTGAGAGATGGTTGACCGCTGATGGCAGCGAAACTCGCAAGGCATCTTGGACACCTTTTTCTGTTGGTTCCAGGAGGTGCATCGGCATCAAGTAAGTTGTAAAAACTCCATTCACTGCAGCTGCATCAGCTAAGATAATAGTCTCGCTCAAATGGAGCTTTCCAAGCTGACTGCGGCTTTCTTTTTGAGATTTGATGCAAGGGTTGATGAGACCATGACCGAGGAAGATATGAGAATGTATGACACGTTCAATGCTGGTCCGGCTGGTGCGAGGTTGTTAGTACACATGCGGGAAGTATAAGAAAGGGAGACCTCGTTCGAGATGAAGCAAGAGTTCGAATTCAATGGGAAGTTGAATAGCAGTAGATTTAGTATTGCCAGACATCGAAGCCTTTACTTCTGTATTTATTTTATTATTCTACTAAAGCTTCTATATTTACAGAAAAACACTAACCCTAACCCTAACTCTCTTATAATATATATCCCCCATGTTATCATCCTGACCGTCACCCGTTTGAAAACCTTAGTTGTGCTATGATGGCGATATCGAAGTATGATTGCTTAATTGAACTTACTGGTACGCGTCGGCAAATGTGGCCCAGCGTCGGAAGCGGGGTGAGTTCACCGGCCCGTTCTCAGTCTAGACTCTAGAGTCACAGTCGGCAGACAGTCCGCCAAGGAAACCAAAAGGCGGGGTAACAGTGATTAACGTAGTTGGGTTTGGCGCATTTTCTATGCAGAAAAGCCCACTACGCCGCACCAGCAAGTCCACCGGAGAAAGCGGGAGGTCAACTCGTCAATATAAGCAAGATTACCAGCTATACTCACCCCAAGACTGGCCATGAACGCAACCAAGGTACATGATCAAAGTGGACGAAAGGTTGTCAAACGCCGTAAGATCGCACTCGCATGCGAGTATTGCCGGAAGCGCAAGACACGATGTGACGGCAGGCAACCTGCTTGTTCAGCGTGCGAAGCTAAGGGTCTGAGTGCTACTTGTCTCTATGAACAGAGTTCTCTCACAACAAAAAGGTAAAGATGCATCGGCACCTTAAGAGGAATATTCTAAACCTGGTTAAATATAGATATGTTTCGGATCTTGAGGCTCGAGTACAAGAGTATGAGCGCCGGTCCCAAACAACTTTCCTAATGCCCAGCGTCACATCTGAAACAACCACGGACCGAAACTCTTCTCCAGCTCAGGACACTTTCCTGGGCCAAAGGAAGGATAACCGGTATCCCCAAATACAACAACAACCCGGTATGGCGATCCCAGACGATCCTCCATCGATTTCTTTCGAAAGCTTCCAGTCAGATGACAGGCTCCTATCCCCTCCAAGAACCGAGTCTGTCAGTAGCGACGCCATGGTAGTAGTTCCATATCCCGAATGCAGCAATGATAAAGATCTTGGTCAGTCATCATCAATATCATTTATTCAGTCAATGCTGCGAACTGTGACCCGGGATCATTCAGTCTTTAAGGTCTCTCATCATCCGGCTAAGAATTCATATCCGTTCCTCCAAACCCTCGATGAAGAAGCATTGTTTCTTCCGCCACGGAGAGTAGCCGACGGCTTTGTACAAGCCTACTGGAGATTCTTGCACCCAATACTGCCCATTTTACATAGGCCGACTTTCACGGGAAGCTACGATAAGTTATGGATGGTAGACGATGCCAAAGGGTCAGATCAAATCTGCAACGTCGACGACGCGGTTTTCCTCTCGACTGTCAATATAGTCCTGGCAATCGGATGTCAATTTAGCGAACAAATCGAACCGACCCGAAAGTCGAGCATGGCGAGCAAGTTCTACCAGCGGTCAAAAGCTCTGTTAACAGACGAAGTTTTGGATCATCCAACCTTAGCTCTTGTACAGCTTTTGCTACTCACAGGCGTGTACCTGCAGTCTACAGAATATGCTAATAGATGCTGGAACACTGTCGGTTTAGCCATTCGGTCGGCGCAAAGCATTGGTCTTCATCTTGATCGAAAACGCGGTTCCATAAATCAGCTCGAGCGAGAAATGGAAAGGAGAGTATGGCATACGTGTGTATTCCTCGATCGGTGAGTACTAGTTTGTCATAGATCTGCTCCTAAACTAAACAAATCGTACCTACTACAGCCAGCTCGCTTGTACCTTTGGCCGGCCACCGATGGTTCTAGACTCATCGAGTGTGCCCAAGCCTGAGATGATCAATGATGAATATTTATCGGAAACTCGCCAAGGCGTTCAACCGACGAATGCCTATCCACAGATGGGCTGTTTCGTCTACTCCTGCGACTTGTTTGACATCCTGCATCAGATCTTGGTTGAATTCTACGTCAAAAAGAAGCCCAACCCTCACAACCGGAGCACAGATTCCTGGTTGGGAGACGAGATACAAGTTATCATGGGTTACCATCGGGAGTTAAATAAGTTTCAAGAATCACTCCCAGGCTCTTTGGCTACTTCTGACAGTACGGATGAATCTGGAGATGCTCTGGGCTCTCGAATATTGCATTCCAGGTAACTATGCCACTTGCCTCTTCAGTGCCAGACCAGGCTTCTTGTCTGTTAGCTAACCTTGAGCTGATATCAGATTATTATACATACGCATATTCCTCCTCAGGCCCGTTGTACTCCTGTTAGCTCAGGGATCAAGTGAAACCAGGGCCGGAAATAGGATAAAGAGTCGAGATAGTCTTGATCAACACCTGGCCTTGAAAGCATCCAATCTTTGTATTTCCACAGCCCAAGAGCTGGTAGCACATATGCATGACAATATGGGCACCTCTTACTGGACATCCATTTCCCACAAGATACATTGTGAGACGAGACTTGCCATGTGATACTCTATTGACGTGCTGACAAGAGAGCAGATGCGTTTGCCTGCGTTGTGGTACTGGCTGCTGCACGTCTTTGCACAGTGTTGAACGGAGACATCGACAAGGCTTCGATCCAAGCTTCATGGTCGCAGTGTATGCGAGTATTTGATAAATACAAGCTACACTCTCCTGCGGCATCTCACGCAATAAAGATATTGGAAGTATTAGAAGCGCGACTTCCAAAATTCGGACCTGGAATCAACAAATTCCCCCCCGAAACACAGATACACACTGGAGAGCAAGACGCTATGGCAGAGCAAGGAGATGATTTTGTGGATGATAACCAGCGGCAATTGGACTCAGGTGAGCTTGTGGGTGATCTTCCAGAGATCGACTTTGGTTCTACATGGGCGCTCTTGGATGATCTGCTTCAGTGTGAATCCTCTAGTTACAACGTCACCAATCACACTAGCCAGAGCAGCTTGAGTTCAGGTATCTGGGGAGGGTTTCTATAGGAGTCTCAATTCGTTACCATCTTTACATTACTTCCAGAAAGTAACCTCTTCAACAGCCTCAACGACAACCAAGACAACTTGACACATCCCCAAGCTGTCATTAGCTCGAAACTATAAACCAGCCCAGATAACAAGGCCCTATCATACCAACGACGACACAGATTATTTAACGGGTGAATCTGAAGCTGGGATGATCATCCCCAAGATTGTTCAGTTCCTCCTCGGGCGCGTTGAGACGATAATCTCGCTTCCCCTCGTCACGTAGCTTGTTCTCCCTCCGGATCCAAAAGTCAAACGCACAAGCTGCAGCTACGCAAAGCCATACAAATCCAAGTCCGACCCCATACCCGAGAAGAAATCTTGGCTGATCTTGTGGACTGAAAATGTTCGATGCGACAAACCCGGAACAGTTACCAATCGATAGCTGTATGGCAGCACCAACACCACGTTTGTAGTGCCCTCCGAGATTGTTGTTGAGCCAGACGACTGTGATAGGTTGTGCAAGCCAGCAACCGCATGTAACGAGATACAGAGCAAAGTATTGCACTCCAACATGGACGTGAGGCGATGCAAGAAGAATGCCATAGCCAGTAGTGGATAGAGCGCAACCAACCAGAATGAAGCCAAAGCGATGCTTCAGTCGATCGGAAAGTATGGCTCCAGTCAATGTAACGACGGCTGCTGCGATATAGATAGGGATGGACATCACTTGCGCCCGCAGGGATGTCCACCCTAGTTGTCTCAAGATGGTAGGGATGAAAAACGAGGTACTGTATGTCGTGGTGACGATACCAAGATACATCAAAGCACTAGGACAGAAAGTCAGAGTCACTTCAATCAAAACGCTGTCTTCTCCGCTTACCCAAGCCATATCTTGATATCTCCGAAAACACGTTGGGCAGCCTTCTTATCCCAGTGGTTCATCGTAGCATCTGGGCTTTCTTCAGCTCCTCGAGCTAGGAGTTGGCTTCTTTCCCTATCATTGAGAAACCTTGCAGTCTGTGGCCAGTCTGGAGTATAGAAGTACGCAAATGTCGCAATGAGAACGGTTGCAGCTCCTGGAAAAGATTATTAGCTGCCAGGACAGGTGTATATCCAAGACGTTGCTCACCTTCCAGTATGAAGATCCACCTCCAACCACTGTAGCCGGCGACGCCTGACATGTGAGCGATTGCGTACGCTAAAAGGCCCGAGAAAGCACCCGCCAAGATAGATGCTGCGTAGAAGAGGTTTATCCGCCATTGTAGTTCGTGGCGCTTATAGAACATGGAGATCAGGTAGACACAACCAGGGACAAATCCTGCTTCAAATAGCCCGATTAGTACACGGCAAGCGACTAAGCCACCAAAGGACCTTGTAACGCCTTGCCCAATGGTAATGATGCCACAAGCTCCAATGATGAGACTCAGAAATGCTGATGGCTTGGTCTTTTTGAGGAGTATGTTGCACGGCACCTCGAACAGGATATACGTGATAAAGAAAGTAAAGACAACAATGTTATAGTCATTTCCAGACATGTTGAGATCAGCTTCAAGACCTTGGATTCGAGCATTTCCAATATTGATACTATGATATTGTGAGCTACTGCAAAATGCTAATCTCTCGAGCTTGGACATACCGGTCGACAAAAGCACAGAGCAAGAGCAGGCTAAGTATTGGGATAAGATGGAGGTCGATCTTTCGTAGTAGTTTCTTCTCCTGCAAATGATCGATCTCGGCTGTTCCAGACTCAGTGACCGCCTTTTCAAAGTGGCAGGTTTCGCCTTCAATGGTTTTGTTAGTTGCATCCATAATAAGGTCTTTAGCCGTCAGTGCCAAAACAATCAAAATATGAACAGTGATTGGGGGAGAGCTCTGAAAATTGAAATAACGGGCAATGATAGAGTCAGACCAGACAAGACCATGTATCCCAGTTTAGTGGTCTTCTACAGACTATTTCGTACTCTTATGGGCCCTGCAAGACTGATGGCTGTGGTGTCACATTATCCCGACTATGGAGTCCTTGCCGATAATTGATCTTATCTCCCCGTGTGGCGTTCTGGTTCCGAAAACCCCAGATCAATCACCCCGACGGAAGCTAGGACTATTGGGACGCACCCGACAAGCCGCTTACTTCCACAGCCGGTCGGAAGATGAGCACAGGTCAATACAATTGTTATCTGCTCTGGTAATTGAAACCATCAGATAGCCATCACAGAAACTCTGGCAGGCGATTGCATTTTCGCAGCCTCGATTGATGTATAGCAGCCATGGCACGCGTTGCTTGCACTTGAGACCAGTGGCTAGAAGCATGTATATACTCAGGTCTGGTACTAAAGGCCGTTTCAGGTTAACTTACAACTAAATCAGATTGATAGCGAAAGGACAGGAGCAGATTAAATTATAACATAAGCATTAAAGGTATATATATGAGAGTAACTAAACTTTCCTTACTACGAGATAAGTTTAACAACTATCAGAAGAAGAATAAAAGACATGATTCATGTCTACAGAAGAGCAGGGACAATGGCAGCCAGTAGGGCAAACAAACTAGTAACCTGCTTGCCCGCGCCGCTAACAACCATGGGGACGTCACTTGGCTTGCCGCCAGGTGCGGGCTCACCGTGAGAGTCACCGCCGCTGGGCTCATGGGAATCCCCGGGCTTGGAGTTGGATTCGCCACCGTATGGTCCAGTGCAGTGATCTCCAATGCACTCAGGGGCATCGCCCTTTGAGCCATTGTCGTCTGACCCCTTGTTGTCCGAGCCCTTGCTGTGGTCGTCGTAGCTGGAGCCACTGTCGGAACCTCCATGTTGCTTGCCAGGCTGGTAGCTGCTACCGTGATCCCCGCTACCCCCACCGTTCTGACCCTTGTTGTTGCTGGGGTAGACAGCAGGGCACCTATGTCCCTCACAGGCAGGAATCTCCTCTGGCTTGCAGTTCTCAGGTGTACCCCATGAGTTCTCCCAAGGCTTGTAGATGCTCTCTCCACCGGAGCATTCCTCACAGTCTGCTGGGACGTAGAAGTCCTTGTGGTTCCACCAATCGTGACATTCCTCAGACTTGTACACAGTCTTTCCAGAGCAGCTGCCTCCGAAGCAGAAGTAGGGAACATATTGGAAACCGCCCTGGCAGTCACAAACCTCAGGGATATAGACCCATTGCCCGTTGCAAGCGCCGCAGTCGGCCTCAACAAAGATGTACACTACTCGCTCGATAGCGGTGGTGACGGGTCCAGCGACCGTAGTGGCGATGGTAGTGACGAAGGTTGACTGATCAGTGATGGTTCGAGTGACTTCGTCAGTGACAATTTCAGCTTGTCCACCAGCAGCGACATAAACCGTGAGGAGGCGATCAGAAGGAATGGTCTGGCGACGGTGCATCCTGCGGCGCTGAGAATCACCACCGCAGAATTGAGTGAGATCTCCGGGGCACTCAATGTCGCAGGAATCTAGCTCAGTGCGGGCAGTTTCCTCGCCATCAATCTCATCACCACAGTAGCAGTCACTGAGAATTATCAGTAATGTAGACAAGGGAAGAACGGGAACGTGCGACCTACGTATCATAGACACCAAAGTAGGCTCGGCCTTGGCAGAGACTAGCGCACTGATCCAAATCCATAGAGGTATCCGATTCAGCGAGTTCGAAAGTTGGGAAGCCATCAACAGATCCGACACAGCCAAAGAGGGCGAAAGCATCAATGGAGTCAGGGAAGCCGGCGGGAGAGGTAGCAGTTGGAGCGGAAGTTTGATCCTCAGTGCCAGTTGCGGTCTCAGTGGGGAAGATGGTCTCTCCGTTCGAGTTGGTAGTGAAACCAGCCGAGTTAGTTCCAGTGGGGAAAATAGTCTCTCCATTCGAATTCGTGGTGAAACCAGCCGAGTTCGTGCTAGGAGGGAAGATGGTCTCGCCGTTGGAGTTTGTCGTGAAACCAGCAGAGTTGGTGTTGGTGGGGAAGGTAGTTTGACCATTCGAGTTCGTGGTGAATCCCTCAGAGTTGGTACTAGGAGGGAAAACAGTCTCTCCATTAGAATTGGTAGTAAAACCCTCAGAGTTAGTGTCAGTAACACCTGGCGTCTCAGTTCCCGTTGGAAGGGGAGCAATAGGTGTGGTCTCTGCATCATCGCCAGCTTGGTCGAAAGAGAGATGAGAAACAACGACCTCAACAGCATCGGAGCCGCAAGTCAGGAAGTATTGGAGGTCAGGGCGACCTTCGGCGTTGATCCTGACGGGGTTGCTTCTCTGTCCAACCTCTGATCCGCCCGTGTCGGTCATGACTTGCTGGTAGATGCTTTGGCCGTCCAACTGAACTTCGAGACTGCATCCTTCGAACACTTGACGCTTAAGACCTCTAGGAGGAGGCCTGACGAGGATGCTGAAGACGACGAAGACACGAAGGCCTGCGAAGCTGGCTAGGAAGGGCACGAGTCTGAATGTAGCAACCCCATTTCGGATGAAGAGAGAGCTAGAGTGTGTCAGTGCCTCGTGCTGCGTAGTTGCGAAGATATACTCACACTGCCGCAGAACCGTCGAGTGCAGTGGTGTAGCTAGCACCTGCACCAAGCTGGGCTGTTCCAAGAGAGATCGGCGCAGAGGATGGGGCAGTGCTACTAGTCGTAGAAGCACTGGTATCAATTGAACTGGGAACAGAGCCAGAAGTCGTCGTGGCAGGAATACTGGAGTTTGTGAATCTCTTGAAATTGTGGTTGAACTGCCCGAATGCGCTCGAGGCACATGCCGCGAGGAGGAACGAGGACAAACGCATGTTGAACGAGTGGCTGCCAAATAATGGCCTACGGTGGGAAATGAATGATAGACTGATGATATCAGATGGAGAATAGTAAGCGTGTTAAACATTTATATGCATTGGGCAGTAAGGGAATAATTCAGGTGGCTTGATTTATGCCAAGATACCCAATCTCCCATCATTTTTGGGTGAACGCCCAAGACATCCGCCAAGGTATTACATCCGTGTCCACTGTAATTCAATCAGTTTGACCTCTGGGCTATTGTAATAGCATAGAATGGTAACCAAAAACGGAATAGTGTTTTCAAGAAGAAAAGACGGCTAAGCCATATTTCTTGAGTGCGCTCAGCTGTAGAAGCTGAAGCAGGCGTTGTTTGCCTTACAGCATTGTATCGAGATCATAATATGTATGCCCCTACATTCCCAACGCGGCACCTGCAACATCTCAAAGGGAGATGGCATATCCGTGTTCACTCCAGCCCAATAAGAATCTTCTGCTGGTTACATTTCTTATGCGCCAAATGCTGCGACAATTCGTCGGCAAGTACGGCAGAGTGTCATCTTAGCACTCATCCCTTGGTGTCTGACCTCCAGCTTCACGGAAGCTCAGCAAAGGGAGAGCTGACACCTTGTAAGACGCTAAAAATGTTAATCGCCGATGCATCGAGGTTGTACGGGGCGGATACCCTAGATTAAGCTTAGGTAGCTAACTAGACCCATTCACATGGGAAAAGAATGTTAAGATTTTATCTATTCCTGTCGATCAAGTGGGCAGGAGCGCATATTGTAACATTGAAGTATATTATACGAAATCGGCTTTTGTGAGCACATATACGTATTCAGAGAGAAGCGCCAACTAATTATCACATTTTTCATCCCGCAATTGACAGCTAGAACATAAACATGTGATCTGGCCAGCCAGTTTAATGTCTTTCCCCCCCTGATTGAGATTGCATAAGTAATGTGCCAAGGTCTTGGGACAGGTGTCTCGGCCTGAAATGATCTACCCTCCCTTACGCCACTTTTATCCAACACTCTCGTGGCCATGTTCCGAATTCCAACATTAATTGTTACTTAATAAAAGGTTTCCTTCCTTATATATAATCTGGAATTATTTTCTTAATATACAATGCCTTAATAAATCACGTTTTATTATAGCCGACTTCATAGTCAGTAAGCTCATGGTCATGGTAGGCAAGGATCGAACAGTATCTATATCTACAGCTCAAGCATTTAAGCCAGGGCTATCACTCTGCAATAATGTATCTATCCACCCATCACTTAGTCCGTCCACTATTATCATGTCGTCTCTGTCGGTGAATTCAATCGCTGTAGTTTTAATCTCTTCGCGGGACCCAATATGGTCAGGGACGTCTCCATTACTGCCAGTAATCTCTTCTACCCAAAGACTGCCAGAAGTTTCTAATGATGTCGGTGAGTATACCTCGCCAGGCTCCTCATCATTGCAGGATTGGGGAAGGTCCATCTGCTGCATTATAATATCGCTGAATATGTCATGCACCGCTTCTAGTTGCAGGCAGCCCGGGTCGCTTTTGCTAACTTGTAGCTGTACCTCCGGCTCATTCCCGGTGGCCATCAACGGTGTCATCTGTTTGACGCTTCGTCGAGCAGGAGCTGAAGATACAGGCGGGATCCATTTCCACGATGGCTTTCTCTGTTGCAGTTCCTGAGTCGAATCAGAAGGTATTTGGTATTCGCTGTATGGAGCGGCCACGTCAACTTCAGCCAAAGGTCCTCCCCAGGAGATGAGACTGTTAAGCCTTTCGATGAGGCGAATATAGAGTCTTGGTCTTGCGTCTAACAGTTCACGCCAATTTCTGGGCTTTGTTTCGTCTTCCTGAATAAGGAGAATTGGCGGCTCTTGGCTTTCTTGGAGGCCTTGAGCAAGGCTGCTGTTTACTACTCCAACAGCCTGTAGAATGTATTCGAGCTCGTCTCGAAAGTGCAGTCCTAAGCACTTTATGATCTCTCTAGCCCATTGTGGGTCACGAGAGCATCGTGCCCCGACGTCTTGAATTCTCGACGGTATCAAAGACACGGGAGACCATGGACTATTGTACAGATGGCCGGCTGTGTTAAGGAGATGCGCAAAAAGTGGAGGTGCTGTGCAGAATATCCTGTAGATAGGTACGTCAGCCCACCTACTCAAAGTTGTCTTCAATCAGTTACAATCCCGCTTACATGATCGGTGGAAACTTGGATAGGTGTTGCTGCCCCAAGGCTTCCGAAAGCTGATCCGTCAATCTGAGAGTACAATTCGCAAGATCGTCTTTTTGTCTTCGGAGGGAAACCCGCTCGTACCGTCTGTAGGATGAGTATGTTGCTTGTGAGTTCGCCGCGAGGTGCGAGAGCCCCAGTTCACAGATCGCCAACATGGCCATCCTATTGTCACAGATTAGTTACCAGAAAACGTACAAAAGACCTGGCCTGACCCATCTACAAGGGGTACTTACTCGTAGTGGAGGTGCATCATGCTTACTAGCAGCTCTACAGGGTCGTTCTGTGAATCCGTTCCTCCGTCGGGGCTCACAGGGGAGCCCAACGCGGAGTCACGTCCGGAGATGAGGGGCATCAACTTGTCATTATACCATGTTTTCAGGCGACCCTTGCAATCAAGAGCCTCATATTCCTCTTCTCTGAGCGTCGACGCGGTTCCGCACATTGGCATGCCTCCCTGTGGGTAGACCAGAGGCAGAACCCTTCTCAAGATACTGATGAGAGCAGACATCTGCTCCTGTGCCTCGATAAAACGCTGCTTTGCTTCGGCGTCATAGACTCGAGACCGTCCTATCTCACGTGACAAATCGGCACGAGAGAGCACGAGGGAATCTCTTTCTGCTTCAACCATACCAAAAGGCGACATGGGCGGCCGTCGTGTGTACAAGCTGTGAATACAGTCGCTGATTATGCAGCACCCCAATAATCGTCTAAGGTTGCTTCGGTTGAAGTGACTTTTGTCTGATGTCGAGACCTTGGCCTGGTAGATAGCGTCCTGAGAATGCTGAATTGCCCGACCAAGCCATTGAGTGCTCAGTCTATTCGTTGTTGAGCTTTTTTGCGAGATCCAGTGTGCAAGCAGAAGAGAGACTTGAGCAAGTATCAGTGGCGATGACTCAGTCTCTTGGTGGTAGAGAAGCTGAAAGAAGCAGTTAGCATATCAATCAAGTCCCCGCAACGTTGAGTCTTGAACTTACCTGGGTCTTGCGAGAATAACTGTCCTGCGCCTCGTGTGCCGTACTATATTGCATACCTTGAAGCACAGTACAATCGACATACTGTAAGACGGAATTAGGGGAGAGCATTTGAGTCATCAATAGGGACTTACCTTGCACGCCACGAACAACATTGCTGAAAGGAGGATGACAGGGATTCGACCCGTCTTGTCGCCCGAGGTCAATGGATCGTAAATTGACCAGAACTCGGCTTCATTGACAACAGGTAAAATTGGATGAGCGTGTTGAAAGAACGCCCGGACCAGATGGTCCAAACAGCTACTTTCTGGTAACTTGAAACAGCCTTGAGAATCCAGATAATTGAGGTCATCCGGATGCAAAGAGCTAAGATTGTTGATGTAGAGGAAAGGATAATATGCGAATGTGATCTCTACCCGAGCTTGGCTCAGGCGGTGACCCGGACTTTGACGAGCTGTTGCTTCCCCCAATTTGGGCGTCCCCGAATACTCATCGGTCAAGGCTGTGGGCAAGGTTTTGTCTTGCTGAAGTGCTGGTATAAGCTTGGTCACAGTCTCTGTCTCTGACAGTTCGGTTACCTTGTTGTGATTTCTAATGCATACATGTTAGTTCATGATCGGCATGCGAGATCTAAACTTTGTACATCAGGAATCTCTCAGTTACTCATACCTGTCGTTGTAGCGACGTCGATAACTGACGACGCATTGCTTATTGTCAAGCAAACAGTTTGTGCAGGCATTAGGCCTGAATGCCACATCGCAGCGGACCTTTCGTGATCGGCAGGACAAGCATGCTCTGTAGTTGAGAGCACAGCCACCTTGTTAGCCGAGCCTTGATAACGATACGACGGCTTGATGTTCTCTGCTGCGCAATGGACTACTTACTTTGGTGACCTTTTTCGAGTATCCTGCCGCTTGGGTCTCGGCATGGCGAGTGTGCCTTGGTGTTCCCTAGTCATTGTCGGTATCGTTAAAGCTTGGGCCTCGGCCTGGACTGGAAAGGGGAAAGGAAGCGAGCTGTGTTTGTGTGATTGGATCACTAAAATGCTATCATAAATGCAATGCAGCATCTTTCATCAAGACCTCCATATAGACCGAACAGCGGCTGTAATGAAATGTTGCGTGTGCTTTGTGAATTTCCTTCTGGGGAATCTTCGGCATCACCACAAGGTGGCTGGCTCTATAACGCCGAAGTTGCTGTAACGCCGAAACTGGAGCTCTACAACGCCGACCGAGGCTTGGCAATCTGTCAGTGGCTGAAGGTCTATGATTTGATTCACAGCATCGACAACTACGACGGATGTTTTAAAGAGTTGAAGGCTGGTGCTCGACCCCAACAAGCTATCCCTTAGCTACTCATCCCAAACTTATTCAATCATGGCTGAACGTGTTGCTCAAATTGCCTCTCACATCAGTGACCCGAAAGGTCTACTGGCGGGACAAACCGCAATAATCACGGGAAGTGGACAGGGCATTGGTGCGGAAGCAGCGCGCCTCTTTGCTCAGGAGGGTGCCAAAGTGGTTGTTTGTGATGTCGATTCAGGTAAGTGTTGACTGCCGAACCCTCTGGGGTGAAGGCTGTATGACTTGATATTGATAGGAACAAGACTAATACTCCATTTTTACCACAATACAGACATGGCGCAAAGCGTGGTGAATGAGATTGTCGCCTCTGGGGGCCAGGCAATAGCAGTCTCTGGTGATATTACAGACAGAGACTACATCAGCCAGCTCGTGCAGCGGGCTGCCCAGTTTGGAGGTGGAGAGATCCATATCATCGTGAACAATGCTGGCTTCACCTGGGATGGTGTAGTGCATAAGATGACTGATAAGCAATGGGTTGCCATGGAGAATATCCATGGTACTGCTCCCTTTCGGCTGATTCGTGCCGCAGCACCATACTTCCCCGTCATGGCAAGCAGCGAAACATTGTCGGCATATCATCAACTTCAGGTCTTCACGGAAACATCGGCCAGTCTAACTACGCCTTCTTCAAAGCTGGTGTGTCTGGCCTAATGAAGACGGTTGCAAAGGAATGGGGGCCAGCGTTCAATGTCCGAGCCAACACAGTGGCCTTTGGGTATATCGAGACGCGCTTAACGCAGGCGAAAGAGATAGGGACCTTTATCACAGGGCCAGGTGGTGAGGAGATCCAGCTCGGAGTTCCTGGACGCAATGGCAAATCCTCCTTCGAGGATATTCCACTTCGCAGGCCAGGTTCGGCACATGACGCTGCCAAGGTTATCCTGGCTGTATGCAGTCCCCTTTTCAGCTATGTCACTGGACAGGTGATCTCTGTAACTGGAGGGAGAAATATGTGAAGGATGAGTAGTAAGAGGCCACATTATAGTCCAGTAGTCTTAGACAGAATCACTGATGTAACCCAACATGAAAGCCCAATCCACATAGCAGTCCTCAGCATTGGCCAAACCGCGCGCTGCAAGTATCAGCTGCCAGCTGAATCTGCCCAAAACATCAATGTCATCAAAGCAAAATCCAGGCTTGGCTACCGGACAGGGATATTATAAGGGTCCGAGAAAAAGACAACATTTCAGTCATGATCAATGTGTATGAGCTTTGTGTTCATTGGGATCAAAAAGCAATCATTGTACCAATCTATCACTATAGCTTGACCTTTGCCTGACGGGAATTGAGTCGAGAATGAACATAACTGATCTGTTGGAACGCCCTCAGCGCCTCACCATACAGTTCTCCTCTCAACAATCCGTAGACCCCCATCTTTGCCTTGGATTTGACCCTGTTAGCAAGGTCCAAGGCACGATCAAGCATCTCTTCCGGTGGGGTGATCTCGTCCACTATGCCATCCGCCAATGCCTCGCTTGACGTGAACTTATGGCCCTGTAGGATGACCTTCCTGGCTGTCTGTGGTGGCAGCTTGGCTCTCAGAAGAGCACCCATCCCATCGAAATGCAGGCCGAGCTCTGCCACTGGCATGCACCAGTACCCACGGGTAGCATTCATGACGCGATAGTCGTGGGCCAGTGTCATCACTGAGGCGCCTCCAAAAGTGTGTCCAGTAATAAGACAAATGGTTGGGAATGGAAAGTCTAGGAGAGTTGCAACAAGCTGTTACAGCCGAAGAATGGACACGTTAATGAAGGCTCACCAAGTCTATCATAGGCGACTACAGCAGGTGCTTACCGGATAAAATCCCTCCGAGCTGGCATATGGGTTTGTGTCTCGTTCATAGAGATCTAGACCCTATGCATGTGTAAGCAATGTGTCCGTCATGAATAACCTTTAGCGGGGGGAGAACTTACTGTGCAGAAGAACTTGGTATCATTGCCTCGAATGATGACAGCCCCAGGCGCGTCGGGCCCCAGCGCCTTCCGAACATCGTTCAAAGCCCGGATGATCTCTTGGCAGAATTGCGAAGTCATGCGGTTCTCTGGCGGCTTCTGTAGAGTGAGGATGAAGACATCTCCGCGTCGCTCGAGCCCAAGATTTTGGTACATGATTACTCGTACACGCAGAAAAAAAAATGCTAAAGCTCTGCTCTGATGCTCAAGGTGATTCAGAGGCCGTCATTCACTTGATCACTCGAGCGTTTAATGATTCATTCGTAGGTGGAGCTTTTCCTAAGGATGGAAAACTTCATGGGTCGGTCTCGGCGCCGGTTACTCCGTAAAGTGCGTGCCATCCGAGTGTGTCCTCGGCGAAACGAAAAGCCCCCTGGTAAATGAAACGCCGCATCGATTTGCCGAAGCTCCATGAAAGACATGTCAGAGTCTCGGCGACTCTTGGCAGAATCATGGGTCCATCAATGTCGAATGGCGTGCATTTTACTGTCTAAGATCCATCCATTGAATGGGGCTGATCTGGTGAAGCTACGGAACAGCGAACCAGCTTTACAGTGGCTGCCTGATCCCAAGGTTGTAGGTGAGGACAAGCTGCAACTTTTCAACCGCCGCTAGCTGTGCTCAATTTCGTCGATCATGAGAAATGTAGCAACGAAAGTCTTTATCCTTTGCACAACTTTATGGCTTATGGAATTTTGACATTTGACATTTGAAATCACCATGATTCTTAAGTGTGTTGGCTTGATATGTCTCATTGAGATGTCAAAAGCTTTTGGTATCAATCAATGAGAAATACCAGGGAGCAAATAATAGTCTACATGTAAACAAAACGCTGTCTGCGTCCCTCCTAGATATTCTTGGCAAAGTTTATGATAGCATTGGCCATAGCCTCTGGGTGTTCTGGCGCCATAGCATGGCCAGCATCCTTGATAACCTGTACCTCAACACGGTCGCCCAGATGCGGCTTCATCACATCTTTTACGACAACGGCGTCGTGCTCGGCCTGTAGATCCAATATCGGAACAGTCTTTCCGGCAGAAAAGTACTCGTCGACAGGTGTATGGATGCGCGCATGCGCCTGAGCCTTGTGCGCGGCTTCGTTCCACCCGTCCAGCCACAGACGCGGGTTGCCATTGGGCCCGAAGAAGGCTGTTTGCAGGTACTCGAGACGCTTAGACTCGGGGAGGGACATATCGCCAGACCCGTCAATCTCAGTGCGCAGCCGACTAAAGGGCTTCTCTGTCGAGCCAGGGGGGATCTTGCCTGCTGAGGCGGCTGCCATGACGACGCCACGGACGAGGTCTGGACGGTCGGCGGTCAGCATGCGTGCTGGCTGGCTGCCCCAAGCATGGCCTACGATAACAGACGGGCCGCACTCGATGTGATCTAGGATCATGGCCACATCGGCGGCGAAGTCGTGCATCGTCAGCTTGTCCATGGGACCATTGCTTTTGCCAATGCCGCGAGGCTGAGGGCGGATAACACGGTAGCCAGCTTCAACAATGTATGGGGCCACAGTGTCGTAGTCGTTTGCTCCACGGGCCAGCGAGGGAAGAATGACGATGACAGGACCTGTGCCTTGATCGAGAGCCTCAATTGTAATGGGTCCTTTAGTGACCGTAAATGAAGTCGTAGTGGTCATGCTGGCTGTTTTGGAAGATATGTAACGGTGCTGTCAAGATTTGTGCATATATACACTGGTTTAATCAAGAAGAGTCTCGAGATAGTTATTGCTTCACTCGCGCTCTGGTTTTGTAGGTAATGTCCTTTGTGCTACCCCATTGGGTTTTTGTGATTGGAGGAGGCCGAGGTCCTGGAGTAGATGACTTGTGTAGTATCTACTATTATCATGTTTACTAACTGCAACGGGTCGGAGCGATGTAAGATACGCCCACCCGAAACCGATAATACCGGCTGGGTAATGCAGAAGACCGGGCGTGGGTCCAGATCAGGATGGGGGGCGGGGATCCTGACCGGGCTCTCGGCGATTCCCCACGGAATGACGCCGTGGATAGGAAATTTCTTTTTTAAAGATTCTCCAAATTAGATTTAGCTTTCAAGGATCCTCGCAAGTCCTTGTGTTATTGCTAGGGTAAGTTCTGAATTGCAGTTTATATAGGCAGTTTTAGTATCGACTCAAATACCACAAAGAGCTAACTCCAAGCTTATCTTAAATGTTACTGCAATTTCACAGTCTTGCCTGTAGCGGCCTTTGCTGCTTCTTCTTCCACACTTGAACCTGAGGTATCTCCTCGTATCCGGGAGTCGGAATGAGTTTCGGTCCCAGTATCTTCTTCTGTACCTTGCCTGTAGCACCTTTGGGGATCTCCCCTTCCATCACCCTCAGCACAGTGGGGAGCTTATACCCGGCCAGCTGATCCCTTAGAGTATTCCTGACTGTGTCAAGGGTGATATCCGATGCATTTTTGTTCTTCATAGCCAGCACCGCAGCAACCCGCTGCCCAAACTCGTCGTCCTCTACACCCACTACCATGGCCTCGTTCACGTATGGCAGTGTCAAACACGCGCGCTCAACATCCAGCGCTGAGATTTTGTAACCACCAGACTTGATGATGTCCACTGAGGCGCGGCCCTCGATGAAGTAGAAGTTCCCCTCACGTCGTGCGATGTCACCCGTCTTGTACCAGCCATCAGCATCAAGTGCGTTCTTGGTTGTTTCCGGTTCCATGAGGTACCTTTGTTATTCGTCAGCGGCAAGTACATCGGTGATACGGAACAAGACTCTCGAGATAAACATAATACTCACTTGGCGAACATATTAGGCGTCTTGACCAACAACTCACCTTCAGGAGAGATGTTAATCTCTACTCCTGGCAAAGGCTGGCCTACGCTTCCCTTGGGAATGTCCCGAAATTCGAGAGGCACACGAATGCAGCCAGGAATCTCGGTAGCGCCGTAGCGGATAAGGATTGGCTGGCCCCTTGTGGCGGTCCAGAAATCCTGTACGTGCTCCTGCAGAGCGCTAGATCCACATAGAAATGCACGGAATTGGCGTGCTGCCTGCTTATAAGGCATCTGCTCATGTGTCGGGAGCTGTTCGATGAACCACTTGAGACGCATGTAAATCGTAGGTACAGCAGAGAAGATGGTCAGGCCACCCTGCAGCCAGCGCTGGAGCACGGTGCCAGCGTCGAACTTCTCATGGAACTCAATACAGGCTCCTGCGTTGAGGAAGGGGAAGAACGAAGTACCCAGACCAGTGGTGTGATGGACGGGAAGCGTGTGGAGAAGAACGTCTGTGTGAGTGATGCCGTAGCTGTCGCCGACAGTGATAGCGCCCTCATGTGTATAGGTCCGTCGCAGCACTACGCCCTTGGGCTTGCCGGTTGTGCCAGAAGTGAAGATAACTACGCCGGGTGCGCTGGGGTCTCGTGGTGAGTTGGATGATAACGAAATGTTGAACGGCTTCAAGCGGGTCGTGCGAGGTAGGTTGGGTAAAATGTCAAGGTGCAGAATGCCACAGCGCTGCGCTGACTCTTTTGCAAGCTGGGTCGTCGCTGAGCTGGAAAGAATGGCCACCTGCTGTGACTTTGTGGCGTAGTAGAAGATCTCGTCTGCCGGAGCCGTGGGGACTATGACGATGATATGAGTCAGTCACTCACTCCTTGGTCGGCGGATGGCGTGGCATGGAAGAATATACATACACATAGGCACGACTGCTCCTCCGAGCGCCAGCACCGTCAGCACGGCTACAGTAAACTCATAGCCACCTGCAGCTAGCACTCCGAAATACACCTCACTGCCGCTACTCAGCTGGTGCTGCACCTCGGATGCCAACGCTGCTCGTACAACCTCCCTGTACCATAGAACAGCATCGAGCAGCTCCCCATACGTCTTGGACACTCCAAGAACCTGGTCTACAATGGCGACGTGGTCTCGATGGGCGTGCCGCAGTAGCCTGGTGAACAAGGGATCGTTTGGCAATACATGTGGACCTTGATGCGACGGCACGATCTGCGTCCGGTCCAAGTCCGCAAAAGTGCTGGTGATAGTAGTGGGAGTCAGAGCCATGTTGAGAGGATCAATCATTGTCTTTGGTATGAGAGAATACCAACAAACACATTCTGACCTCTGAACACCGGACCTATTTAGAGCGCGTTTTCTGCGTAGTATGTAGCATCTGGCTGCCTCACTCACTCAAGCATGTTTCCCCAAATCCGGCGTTTAGACATACCGACCTTGCAGGGCAAGGACCGAAACTCCGAGTGGGGTCCTGTTACGGAGACTAAGCGGTGTCTCGGTGGTGAGAGGGGTCATGGTGAGTTGAGTCAGTTGACTACTTGGCGGACTCTGCTTCCCCTGGAGTGTCCGTCCGTCGGCTACTCGCTGGAGTGAAGGGCCGGGCAAGTGTGTAGCCCGTGTCGTTCGGTTCCATTTAACAGCTCGCCACAGAAGATTCAGCTAGCGACAGCACGCAACACCTGCATCTATCTACCTATCTAACTTAGTCAATCGAAAGAATGGCAGTCATCGAGGTTGAGTACAATGGCCCCGTCGCGGTTATAGTACTCAACAAACCCAACAAGCTCAACGCTTTGACCAAAGATGAATTCTACCAGCTGGCGCGCACACTCCAGGAGGTTGCCAATCACGATGAAGTTGTGGCCACTGTGTTGACAGGCAACGGGAGATTCTTTTCAGCGTGAGGAGCTTCTCTACCTATCTTATCTATTGTTACTGAGACTGACGTATGTGTACAGCGGTGCCGACGTGTCTGTCTCTAGGCAGGTACCCGAGGGTACAGATTTGTATCGTCATAACCTGACGGTCACCGTAGCCAGCAACATGAATCTTGCGCGGGCATTCTATACCCATCCCAAGATCTTGGTAGTAGCCCTCAACGGTCCTGTAGTCGGCATGGCTGCTGCGCTGATTGCTTTCGCCGATTTCATTTACTGCACACGAGAAACCTATCTCTTGACGCCGTTCGCTAGCTTGGGCTTGATAAGCGAAGGCGTGTCGTCGATAGCTTTCGCAGAGCGCCTGGGCATCTCCAAAGCAAACGAAGCCCTCATTCTGGCGAAGCGGATAACTAGCAAGGAATTACTTGAGGCAGGATTCGTAAACCAAATATTTGATTGCCCCGCCGAGTCGTTCCGGGGCGAGGTACTCAAAGAAGTCAAGGAAAGGTTCCATGATGGTCTGAATGCATCAAGTATGTTGCAGATCAAGAAGATGATTAGAAATCTATCAAGACGGGAGCTGGATGCTCAGAATGTTGATGAAGTGTTTGGAGCTCTCGAGAGAAACGTCCAAGGAATTCCGCAGCAGGAGTTTGAGAAACTGAGGAAGGGGCAGAAGAAACATAAGCTGTGAGCCTGAAGCTGTGACTGAAGTCTAGTGCAAGTGTCGAATAACACAATTTACGGTTCGAATAAAAAGCCATCATTAAGAATCCAATTCTACACATGCTCAAATTGAAATGCCCCCATATCCAGGGCTTCCCCGGGGTCCATGAACGTGTCGGTCGCCAACGCATTGCTGCCGGGGAGCGGTACAGGCTCTGGAATTTGCTCTTGTGCAGCCATCGGACTGGAGCCAGAGGACATCTGTTGGCTTATAGTGCTCCATATACGGCAATAGCCGAGGTCTATCATCTTGAAGTACTCAAGGGAACCCTTATAGTCCACTCGAAAGTGGGCCGTAGAACTTGGGGCACGTTGTTGCCTCTTGTTGATAGCATTCTGGAGAGCCCTCGAAGCCCCAATCGCTGATCGCCAGCGTTTCGATAGCTCCGCAAGTGCAAGCTGAAGTATCTCCAGATCCGGCTGTACAGCATCCCACAGTCTCTTATTAGGCATGACCGAGACAAGCGCCATGCTCGAAATAAGGCAGTACCGAGTGCTTATCGGTGCTAAGACTTTGATCTCGTCTCTGGCCAGAAAGTCCTCAAAAATGCGGGCTACGAACGATGCAGCCAACGTCGCAGTTGCTGATCCCCCCGAGTGCGCAGGCTGCATACGAGAAAACACTATCAAGCTAGTGAAATATGGTAGATACAGCTGACGTGCCGGTAGGTTTTGACTGGTTGCAAGATAGCCATGCGTTGACTGGTTGCTGGGAGCAACTTGGAGATCTTGGGGCAGACTCGTTGCCCAGCGGTACAATGAGCTCTCAATGTAGAGTCTTTTTGTCCGTGACATGTGTCGTCTTATACAGCAAGATGATATGTCTCCAAGTACTTGGCAGATGTCGACCCAGGCCGAGAACAGCTGAAACGCGAACTGCGAGTCTGGGAAGTCGCTTGGTATTGGAGGCTGCACATCGCTGTCATCGAGATTGATGACTCGCGGTCGGCCATGAGCGACGGAGATGAGTGAATCTCGAACCTGTATAATTCTCAGTCAGCATGAGCCAACTTGGCCGAGTGTACGCGTTTCAACTTACCACCAAACTTCACCACAGCCTTCGTCGTATTGCCCTCGATGGTCCTGGAGGAGATTCTCTGTGTAGGCCAATCTGATGGGCGATTCCGACCCCGATCTTGAGCCAGAAACCACTATTGTCAAATGAAATATGCTCAGGGGCCTGTGGGTTGTACCATTGAAGCATCAGCGAGGCCTTTATGGCAGACAACCCATCCGTCTCTACTCCAGACCAGAAGACTGTTTTGGCTCTGTGATAAAAGTCGTCTGAAGATGCGAAGGCAACCACAGAAGGTGAACTTGTGACTCGACTACCGGCCAGCCATAATGATTGTGCCAGCAGCAATGAAGTTGGTTCTTGTTCGAAATGCGAAAGCTCATGGATATCTTTTTGTTCCAGAACAGGCGTCCATAAGTTGCAGTAGTCTAAGAATGCACTCAGCAGGCTTTGACGGGCTGCAAGAGGAGGTATATCTAGAGCTTTCCACAGAACTAACGTTTCCCTTTGAGTGCTTGCATGAGGTCCGACCTTTATCTTTGCTGGCGCAAAGGCACGAGCACTCGTCTCATCTATCTCATCGTCATCTGTGACATAATGGCCTCTACCTATATACGTTGTCGATTGGGTCTTGCAGTTGCATGTCAGCATTGATTAGGTCAAGAATCCTTGGGAAAGGGATGATGAGGAACCAGAAATCATTGTAGTACGAAGCTATTCGGGAAGTTCATACAGGTCATAAAAGATAACGAGGCCCGGGCTTGTTCATTGGGCATGTCATAGCATAGAGATCTGGACTTGTCATCCATACTCGAAGGCCAAGATGCGCAACTTCAGTGCAATACACAAGTAACCTTGATCAAGGCAAAGGAGATAACAGAGCACGCGTGACTTACCGTAGATGGGGTCTGATATGAGGCATGCTCCATCGGCATTACTATGCCTGCCCCAGATGACTGCGAAACGTGCTGAGTTTGTTGATTGCTGTAATTGTGGCTTTCATTGTTGCTGAGCTGTTGAGTCATGGGAGCAGCTCCCCCACGACGACGCTTTCTAGTGCGCGGACTGAAGCATCAGGTAAGCCTACGTCTGACGGGCTTGGACCATGGTAGCCTACATGCACTCTACTCCCGCAGCCTTGCATGTTATGCAAGTGTTTGATTCGGCGTCCACTTCGCAGCGGACCTGGAGGAAGTCAGCAGACCTGGGTTAGGGTTTGTTTGAGCTCGGGACTGGACTCAGCTACTGACCTTGCGATTGTGGCAGAGTGTACAGGCAAGCATTCTCGATCGGCGTTCGTTGACAAGGCGAGGATTGTGCCGGCGGGCAAAATCCTCGCGAGGAAGGAGATGGTCTTGAAAGACCGAAATGCCGACCAAGCCTATCCAAAAACAGAAAAGCGCAGAATGGGGCGAGTCAGGGAATGCGGGGATGACAAGCCGCGACGGGTCTCGATCCTCAGTGACTGAGTCGGTCTTTCGCCGACTTACCGATATTCCATATCAGCACCCTCAGGTCAAAGAATTTTGCCAATATGCCTGAATCCCAATCTGGTCAGCTCAAACCTAAAACATTGTCTACGAGCCAGTTACAACTAACAGTATTATTGACAGATCTTTATTAGTGGAATAGGGTAGGGGCTACAGGCGGAAGACTTGGCGTGGAAGATAAGGTAAATGTGTTTCTTTCTGTAGCTGTATAATATTGATGCTGTTGATTTATGCAATGACTTCACACGATCTGTGTGGGGTTTGTTCTTAATACTAACCTATCCCAGCAAACACATCTGGTTGCCTTGCGTAGCACTTTGCGGCGAGTAGTTAATAGATCTCGGCAACAGTATTTATGAAATTGATCTCGTGAAGCATAACTCTTGCATAAATCATTACAGTCGACTCCACAACCGCCACGTCTCAAAACTAGAACAAAACTAGTAACAACACAATTGTCCCCATCACAATCCCCATGGCTTACTCAACATACCGCCACCTCTTTGGCAGGTTGTTGGCCGCTTCGTGTTCATCCATTTTCTTGTTGAGTCTCTTGACATACCATTTGCAAACAAGGCAACCGGCAATGCCCATGACACAGCCTGCAATGATCAAAATGCCACCATTCTGATAGCGGGGTTCTTGGGAGCGAAGCTTGGCTGGTCAGCAGGAATCTGGGACACCGAGGGTGAGAGACTTACGAAGAAGTATGGCGTGAACCAGTGAGAGACTGACGCGATGCAGTTCGTAATGGCAACCAGAGCACCACGCTTTGTGCGAGGGCGAGCCACGTTAGTTGTTTCCCAAGGTATGTGAATCTGCTCTCGTTAGCATGGATCAAACTATACCCAATTGGAGACATTCGGTACGTACATTCAAGCCAACAAAAGGTCCTGCACACAAAAGGAACATGCCAAAGTATCGGGCACCTGCATTTAGGGTGGAGATCATGATGACAACGCCGACGATGCATGCAACTGTGCTTCCAATTATATGCCAGCAATGCTCCATGTGTCTTCCCCAGGACCAGGAGATTACACAAGTGGCGAGGTAGGCGAAGATGTACGGCGGAGCTTGGATGAGATAGGTCATTAGGTTCGAGTAACCGAGAGTTTTCACGATCTAGACTGGTCAGACATCTTGGGGATTTGCAGTGACTTGCGGGCATGACTTACTGATGGGAAGAAATCCTTGAATGAAAGGGCGACAATGAGGCCAAAGTGAAGCACCGTATAAATCCAGGTGAATGGGTCTTTGCAGGCAAGCTTGACTCCTTCCCAAGCACCACCTTCGTCATCCTCCGACCGCCCACCTGCCGAGACGACCATTCGATATTGGGCCATCTCTGACATCTCGGCGGTCATGAAGTACGTTCCCGTGTTGTGAGGGAAGTTGGGGATGCACCAGAATCCCATGATAGCGACGAACAGTCCGACGATACCTGGGAGAGTCAGAGGGATCCATACATCTTCACGGCCAAAGCTAGGGCTGACTTACCCTCAATGATGACAAACCACTGCCACGCACGCATGCCGGCAAGACCGTTCATGTTCTCCAAAATACCAGCAGCAAGCAGCCCAGAGAAGATGTTGGAAGCGATATTGCCCGCATGCCAGATGGCCATTCTCAGAGGGGCCTCCTCCTTTGTGTACCATGAGGAGGTCATCAAGCTGACCATGGGAAGGAAAGGGCCCTCAGCCACGCCGACCATGAAGCGGCATACCAAGAACGACCATCCGGAAGTCATTGCGGCCATGCATGCTGTGATAACAGACCATGCAATGACATAGGCGGGCATCTGCCATCGCGGCAGGCCTTTGGCGAGGTAGACAGTGGCAGGAAGCTGAGTGACGATGTAACCAACATAGAACAGCGAGATTCCAGCAGACCACATGGTGTCAGACATGTGCAGGTCATCCTGCATACCGGCCAACCGAGCATTTGCCACGTTGATGCGGTCGAGGTAGCCCATCAGCAACATGAGCGTCACAACCGGCAAGAAAGCCCAATCAAGTTTTCGCTTGAGCTTCGTTTCGATCTGCTGACGTTCCTCGAGGCTTTTGTTGGCCAAGAGGGGAAAGAGGGAGACATACTCTTCCATATCTGCCTCTCCCTCGACATGGGTGGCATATTCTTTCTCCGTAGAGCTGTCGTGGGATGTCGTGCGTTGTACAGCCATTCTTTCTCCTGTTGATTGCTGGTCACCTTCTTGATATACTTGCTAGTAGATGCGATTGATGAAGGAGATTGTGTGCCCATCACTATTGCCGCAGGGTCAGACTGCTTTATAGGTGAATCAAGATGGCTGCGTGCTGGGGCTCAGTAACTCTGAACAGACTGTCAACAGTCCAACCAGGCGTCGAGGATGTCACAGTGATTCGCAGGAACTTGTTATCCAGTAGCTAGACCCTGACTTCCCCGCGTTTACCCCAGAAAGTTTAAACTTGGCTTATCTAGCGTGGGGAGACTTGGGGTCGGCGTTTCGGAACTTCGGTCATTCTAAACCAACGCCAATGCAGGTTACGGACATAACCCGCTCGTGCTACAATCTAGAACGTAGTTAGGTCAGAGCATAACATACACCTGAGAAACTCTGCGTTATAGCAAACACAGTGCCGAATAGAACACGGTAAGCTTGTGTCGACTGCAAAGAATGCTTACTTATGCTAGGGAATGCATGATGTATATCTTGCCGTCCTACCGGGCAAAGATACAGAAGACCGGAAAGCAAGAGATAAGAAGATAAAGAAGAAGAAAATAGTTTTTTCCGCGTTAAGTTTTACTTATTTATCCTATGCATGAGCGATAGTCTTTTATTATATTAGTGATATTAGGTCTACTGATTCGTAGCATAGATTCAGCACTCTTGACTTCTTGGAGGGTTCACAGATTACAGAAATAACCTGTAGATCTGAAGTGTTTGTAATATACGCGTATTCGGGATGCGATGCGGTTTGAGGCTCTGACATTTTAAGCCCACAACGGGCTGTCCCCTGATAAAGATGAATATTGTGGGGCACGTGCAGAGCTTTAGTTCGGCCTTAAATATTACATAGATACCTCATTTCGTTAATAGTTGGTACTTATCTTCATTTGTTTCAGCGCGTAGACTCAAGATGGTCACCGGCAACTTCAAATACAACAGTTTGCAGGAGAATGAGATCAGGGTGTTGGTGCTGGATGCAGCAGCTCAAGAAAGAGACACTCTCTCGGGCGCTCTCGTCGTTGTGAAGCATATGCCAGGCGATCACGTCACACGGTACGATGCAATGTCGTACATTTGGGGTGACCAGTCAGATCCAGACTACGTAGATCTCAGGCACCCAAGACCGATTGGTCATGATATATCATACACTTGCGACAAGGAGTCTTTGGGGACGCTCGCCATCGGTCGCAATCTTGCCTCGGCGTTGCGAAAGATCCGTCACCAAAGCAACAACCAGATCCTCTGGGCCGATTCTATCTGTATCAATCAAAAGGATCTGGATGAACGCGCCGCGCAGGTGTTGCGAATGCGCGAAATATACAAGCACGCTCAGCGTGTTATTGCCTGGCTTGGCCCTGCAGACAAGCACAGACCTATCGCTATCGCTATACTGGAAGAACTAGCCAACTGCGTTAACTTTATCAACAAAGAGAATGACATCTTGGATAACCGAATAACATTTAAACCAGACAAGTATGACTTTATCATGAGAAGATACCCGGACAACTCACACGACTGGTCCAAGCCAATGCCGTTCTCTGACCACCAACGGAAGGCCTTGATATCCTTGATATCGCGGTCCTGGTTCCGCCGACTCTGGGTACGTCAAGGAATCCTACTGGCGAGCAAAGACACGATTATCCTGGTAGGAGACGATAGCATGCCTTGGCTGCACTTTAGGAGCGCTATCGAAATGATTACCTCAAAAAGAGAGGCATTAGCTGGCACGGTAGACATCCATACCATGGTCGAATTCTCCAATGCACGCAGCTTTTCACCCCTTCGACACTTGAAGGGCTTTTTCTCTCTCGTAGCTTACACACACGCCTGCGAGGTAACGGCGCGGAGGGTTAGAGTCTTCGCCCTATTGGGTCTCGCAGAGGGTGGCTTCACCAGCGAAAATGTGGTTGATTGGTGAAAAGGACGTCAAGGATGTCCATCGCGATGCTTTGGTTCGAGCGTCGACGTATCACCAGGATCTCAAGTTGATGTCGCTGTCCGGCGTCTGAGCCAACATGGATCCCTGACTTGGAGCGGATACAGCTCCAGCGGCCCATAACTTACGGTCGAGCTGCTCTTTGTTCTGCCGAGAATGGACATGCGTTCACCAAAGAGCAACTGTTACTGCAAGGTATACGCTGCGAGTACATTACGGAGCTAGTCGGGCCCCAGGACAGTCAAAACTCACAAGCCGAGCTCCAGGCCACTGTATTAGACGCAGCACGACGCTATCTGGGCCCAGAACCAGAGACTTGGGATTTCCAAAAGGTTCAGCAGTTCTTCCTCATGTTACATGTAAGCGACTTCTTCATCCACCGACCTACCTTTCATCAACAAGATGCAGGAGCAGTTGGCTGAGCAAATCAGCGCCCATAGCAAGACGCTTGGTGGTCAACTTGCACACTTGACTTACTACATGCACAATCGCTCTATATATCTAACCAAGATGGGTTACATCGTACTAGGTCCTCGAGGCTGCCAGCCTGACGACCCAGTCGTTATCTTTCTTGGCTGCCATCTGCCTATGGTGCTTCGGTCGATAGAAGATGACGAGTTCAAACTCAGAGGGCCATGTGTTCACCCATCACTCTTGGGCGGCGAAGCTATTCTCGGCGAGTTGCCCAACGGTTGGCGCCTGAGCTATCCCAAACGTGGTGAAAAGCCTATCCTTGAGGATCCAGATGGAAAGCGACATCATATAGACCCACGACTGAATGGCATCCCGATCTCAGAGGGATGGGAACTACGCTGGAGAGATAATGGTACCCCGTTCTGGTACATTGCTACAGAAGATCGCTGGACCAATTTTGATCCAAGAGTCTCACTGGAAGGCCTTAGGAAGAGGGGGAGGAAAGTGGATGACTATGTACCGCGATAAGGGCATAAATTTCAATTGTCCTGTCGTCCATCTTAAAGTATCTGTCCCGGACTTTCAACAAGGGACTATAGAAATCATGCTACTTAAGAAAGGTGTCAAACGCAATAACATTTCCGCTTTTTCTCTAGTTCTGCCTCACAAATTGTTTGTTGTGGGACTTGAAAAGCTTGGACTGATCCAGCAGTTTCCCTGTCGATGACTGAAAGAAGTCGACTTGTAAGTTCTGGGCATCCTGGAACCGAATAGTCGCGTAACTAAAATCATCCGCATACGCAAATGCGTTGCCAGTAGCATTCTTCCCCACAGCACTCAGTCCCTCGATGTTTCCTGTACCTCCAGACACAATGTACATAGGCGCCTTGGGGTCTTTCATTCCCGCAGCATCAACAGTCCCGTTGTAGATGGGGTAGAAGCGCTGTGAGTTATGTACGTGCCCAAAGACAGCCAAGTCGACGCCATACTTGTAGAACAACCCTTCAAATGCCTGTTGGCAAGGCTTGCAACCTTCATCGCCAGTAGTGTACCAAGGGCGGTGACCCGCAACAATGACCCAGGGTGTGACTGTACGGTCAACTGATGCAAGATCGGCTTCAAGAAATTGGATTTGCTGATTGGGACTGCCAAAGGGTCCGCTATTCAGGTTTGCTGAGCCACCTGGTGCGTCTGGTGCATTGGGGAAGTCGGTTTCAGTATCAATCATGACGACATGTGCCATGCCGTATTCGAAGGAGAACCAGAATGGCGGGTTTGCCAGTTGCTTAGCCTTGTTTGCGCTCACTCTTGCCGCGTCACTAGAAGAGGTCGAAGGAAAGGCGAGAGGCATCACTTGGCCGAATCTATACATGAAATCGGTGAAGTTTTTCTGGCCCTCAGGACAGAGATTGTTGAGGATGGGGATCTCTTCACACGCTGCTTCATGGTTTCCTGGGCTGACCATGTAAGGCTTTCGACCAGAGATAGGGGCCAACTGATTGTAGAATGTCTCGAGAATGGCCTGATAGGCCTCCTCGCCGTGAAGCAGATTCTTGGGTTTCAGGAACCAATCGTCAGCGTATGCGAGATCTCCAGGATGGATGATAAATTCGTAGTCATCGGCTGTCGTTGCAAGACGACCGATGGTCGTGTGGTTCAAAGCAGGCTGAACGTTGGGGATAACATCTCGTTTAGTTTGATCCATCTTGATAGTGAAACCATCCTCTCCGTACACACCAAGGTCAATGATGGCGTTGATGGCGAATGGGGTTGTGTCTCCAGCTGCCCGAGGGCTGAGGAACTGGTCAACAACCGAACTTTTAGACACAATCTTGTAGTAGTATTTCGTTGCTGGGGACAGATTGTCAATAGTCACGGCGTTGGCCCAGGTGCGAGAAGTCGGATATGTCAATGATATATCCGAGCATGCTTGCTTTTCAAGCTTGTCTTTTGACAAGCCATACTGCACGCAAGGTTTAGATTGCTTGGCATAGGTATTCCAGCCAATAGTTACACCTAACAGAGTTGAGTGATAAAACTTGTACTTTGAAGTTGAACTTACTGTTTGGTCCATCCAGCGACAGTCTTTGTTGTACCGGAGTTGAGAGATCGGATGGGATAGGCGGGAAGCTGACCTTGGCTAGAGCGCCGGCCGCAAAAAGAAATAGACCAGCAATCATATCTTGAGATGATGTCGCCTTGTCGTCAAATCAATCTGAAGTCTTCCACTCAAACTTGCCAATGCGAACGGTCGCCATTGACGCAACTAAGGTCCTTCATCTTGGAATTTATACTTATTCTCCTTGTCTGCATTTCAGATAATTGTGCCGCATAGCCGACTGGATACCTTAGCTTCTGTGAGGATCCTGATTAAGAATGTGCTCCGAGGCCATATGCACGAGGTCTGTTGCGATTTGATCTTTACTTGTGAATACCAATCAGCGCGTGGTTATTCAGCAGCATCTCATTGGTTGGGCACCTTGGTTTAGTCGGTCACCCAAAACGGCAGGCAAATGTCTATCATTATGCAACTCCACTGCTTCGGCCGAGGCGCCTGATGTATTTATCGGCAAAAGTTCCAGCTGCCCAATCTGTCTCTTGGTGTTTATGTAAAGTCAAATATTTTGGGTCAGTCTGGCCTGTATATTCTCTGAGTTGAGAGCCTAAGCAATCGGTGTCCCGCTTGGCCTAGGCTGCGTCTATTTCCGTTTTGTGGTCAGTCGCAGGAGCCGCTGTGATTGGTAGAAGAACGACCCAGGAGTGCAGGGTAACGCGCTTCACGGCGCAGCATAGTTACCTAAACAAATTATTCTCATCAGTTCAAGGAAGCTTGTTATAATACTAGTAATGTCTGAAAATAAAATAATAAAAAAATTATATATATGCTGTTTTAATTGGGATCTTGTTCCTACTACTGCTGCTGTCTTGAGTGCAATGGACGGAAAAATAAGTTGTATAGCAAGCATCTAAAACAAACCCAGTGTGAAAAACAGGAAGGGCTAAGGTCTAATCTAATCTTTCGGCTGATCTTCGGCTAACATCGCAACCCCCAGAAATAGCCTGCGTCATAAAATTCTGACTAATGTCATCTCCGAGGGTCAGTGCGTCCTGTGCGCACCTGGTAAGACCCGTATTCTGGGGAAAACGCTGAGGCAGCGTTTCCTGAGTCAAGATGCATTAGCTGATTGTGGGGTATGGGGTAATGTGATCTGGGGAAACACAAGCTGTTCAGTTCCCGGCTGTAGTCTCAGCTTCTCACATCTCTCAACAACTGTAAACTCAGTTACCTGTTGTGGATCTGTTGAAAAAGGTTCCCGATGCGCTTCATCAACCTCGGTATGCCAACACGTCGCGCCAAGCAAGCATGCCTCCATTGTAGGGCCAGAAAGATCCGCTGCGACCTAGCCTTTGGAGGTTCACCCTGCCTAAACTGCCGTTTGGATGAGGTCCACTGTGAGGTCAGGGGCCGGAAGCCGAAGCGGTAAGTCATCCATCGACCGGCAGGTAATCAATAACACCAGTGAAGCTTACTCCTTTGATAGCAGAAGGCTCGACACAAAAAACGCGAGAGTCACGATCAAGACCAACGCTGGCTCCACGACCACTACTCCCGACAACATTTGGCTCCAGGATGGTATGTTTACAGCTGACAACAACTCGTCATTGGGAGTCTACCAATTCTCTTCCTCAAATCCCTCGCCATGTCATCTCGATAACGTGCAAATAGAGTCGACTGATGCTGGGTCCAAAGGCGAGTTGGAGCCGGCAGAAAACTGTCTTGCTTTCATCAATGACCCAGACCTAAGTAAACTTCCTCCAGATGATGTCGGCTTCTTACGACAACAAGGATGCTTGAGCGTCCCGCCCAGACCTATACTCGACGAATTTATTCGAGAATACTTCTTACACGTTCACCCGATGCTCCCCTTGATGGATGAGTCTGTGTTTTGGGAAAATTACAGACAGCAAACGAATAAGCTGTCGCTCTTTTTGGTTCAGGCAATGCTCTTTGCTGCTTGCAGCGTGGGTGAACTTGACTGCGCTTTGGAGATGTTGCTGACATTGCTTTAGTTCGTGTCTGAATCTGCAACCAAAGAACTGGGGTTTGAAAGTCCTCGCCTTGCCGCTGCTAGGTTTTATCAACGAGCCAAGGTACTTTTACTCTGTCCCAATAACTGAGGATAATAGCTGACCTGAGCAAGCTTCTTTATGTCTTCGACATCGAACCCTCTACCGTCGACCTAGCGCGGGGAGCTTTGCTGCTCACATTTTTACCCGTCTCGTTGGGCAGCGATCACCCAACACCCAACTCAGTATGGTTGACCCGAGCGATCAAATACGCCGAAAGCCTTGGTGCCAGCCATGCGGAATATATCGGTGGGGCTGACACAGGCTCACTGAAGCGGCTCTGGTGGTGTTGTATCCTCCGCGACCGCAGTATCTCTCTTGGTCAAAGGCGATGTGTACAAATCGCTGGGCAATACCCGCTACCAGCGGAAGATGTCTTCAGCTCCGAGTTTAACGGGTCTTTGGTTTATACGCCACACACTAAAGTCCAGCTATTCAGAATATTCCGTCGACTGGTGGCATTAAGCTACACAGTAGGAGACTTGCTTCAGCTTATGGCTCGGCATCGCAATGCTTCACATCAGCTGGAGACTGTATGTGCTGACGACCACGCAATTCTATCTACATGCAGAGAGGATCTTTCGACTTGGTTCAGTGCCACCGGAGAAGAATTCCTTACACTGGGTCACGGAAGTCAGCAACGGCATCCGTCTGTTATTGTCTACACGAACTTTGTATACATACAATACTAGTAAGTTAACTTGGAAATTTAACTAAAGCCATGGAAACTAACAAGACTCAAGTACAGCGAAATTGCTACTCCATCATCAGAAGCTCATCGCTGATGTTGGTGTGTGTGATTCGAATAAATCTCTTCCCTGTGCACTCATCGACGAGGTTCGTTCTTCCACCTTTCGTTTTATCGACCATCTGTCAGAGCCTGTCCGACTTGGTCTTGCACGATTTCTACCCATCAGCGTGTGAGTGCAACCCTTTTAGTGAGTGAAGACGGAATAGATAATAATGATCTATCGTTTTAGGGCTGTTTATGCCGCTGTCCCAATGGCGATGCATGTGTTTGAAGCCAGGCTCGGTGGTCAAACCACTGCGAACCAGAGGAGGCTTCGGATACTAATTGAAATGTTGGAGGCACATCAGCCACGATTTGAGGGAATCGAACCCCTGAGCCTTCTTGTTCGCCAAACTGTCACCTCAGTCGAGAGTGGTCTGGTGAGTCAGCGGAAGGGCTGCCTACGAAGCTGGACAGACGTTATAGCCTACCAGCCATACCAATATCTGAACTGTACGTCAGTCATGGAACGAGCTCTGTGTTCTTCACAAGAATTGAAAGGCGGTTCCATGCCGAGCAGTAGCTGGTCTGCTATGATAGAATACTGTCGCCCTGAGCTCGGGATCCCATCCAGTGTTTCCGACGCTGTTGAGGGTCTTGAAAGTATTCACTCTCTTGCTTCTCTTGATTTCGTAATGGAGATGGACGGATCCAAGGCCTCGCTGTCTGAGCAAGAGTTATTTGACTTATGTAGCCTTGACTGGGACCCGTTCTCCAGCATGGACATTGAAGACGAAGAGCCGGACAGGAGTGAAGACAGAGTGGACCTCCTAGATGAGATATTGAATGACCTGTAGTAGTAGTACTGGACAGTCAGCGTATCCGGTATACATGGAATAAAGGATGAGGGGATTGGGAAGAAGTGAATATCAGCTGCTGGTGCATAACTCTGTAAAATAGCACAGGCTGTTGTGATAACCTGATAATAGGTCAGCATTTCACACCGAGAGAATGGGAGCGATGTCAGGTCTATGGAATTATCTTCTAAACATATATGAACTTTACCATAAACCTCAAATATGGCGTCACGTTATCACCCAGCCTAGGTACCATAATCCAATGACTCTATTTCACCCGCTTTCCGGAGCAACATTACCTCTCAAACGATCTCTGTGTATTCTCCCAGCCAGCCGGCTTACTCAGGGCCAACTGACTCAGGATCATCAAATGTCTGGGGTAGGGCAAGAAAGTCTCATGTGTCTTGCATAGTACACTTGCATAAGTGAGCAATTGCCTTTGTAGATCGTGCGGGGTAATGATCTTGTCCCTGAGTCAATATGTCAGATGTCAGCATACTGCGTATAGTTAAATAGTCATAGTATAGAGACAGTCTATATTATTTAAGTCGGTGCGTGATAACAATAGCACTCACTCTCTTTGGACTGCCAACCCCCGATCTTCATCATGATTTCTCTTTCCAATATACAACTTGACAGCCTTTCTGCACTCTGTTGTGTAGCTTTATGTGGCGTCGCCACCCACCTCGCTATATTTCGGATTGGCGAGTGGGACGTTGCCGTTCATCGCATCATTGCTTCCTTTAGTCTTATCTATGCAACGCTCTTTGGCCTTTTGGCTTATCATGGTGATCTGGAACGCCGAAGCCTTCTCGATGCCTGGTACATTGCTTCTGAGCTCCTGGCAGCCTTCATAGCAGGGCTATATGGCAGCATGGTTATCTACAGATTTTTCTTTCACCCCTTGCGCCGATTCCCTGGTCCAACTTTTGCTCCCCTGTCTGCTTTGTGCGCGATATCGATGTCCATGAAGAAGTTTCATATGTTTTCGGAAGTGCAGAAACTACATAAGACCTACGGCGATTTCATCAGGCTGGGTACTGACTTATTTCCTTACCTCTCTGCCCCATATCGACCCAACACTAACCACGTCAAAGGTCCATCTGAGATTTCGGTTGCATCACCAAGTGCCGTGGCCACAATCTACCAAAATTCATCTCCTTGTCAAAAGGGTCCTTGGTATAATGTTTTTGTGCCTACTATATCTCTGCATGCAACAAGGGATAGGCAGGAGCATACACTCCGAAGAAAGGTATGGGATAGAGGCCTTAATGCTAAAGGTATAGAAAAGTTCATCTCTTAATTATTAGAAAGCAAGGCTAACTATTCCAAAAGCCATGCGAGATTACGAGCCAAGGATCGAGAAATACACGGGTTTGTTGATGAATCAGTTGCAACAGAGATGCGGTAAGCCTGTCGATATCACGGACTGGTGCGGCTTTTATGGTTTCGATGTCATGGGCGACCTCGCATTTGGCAAGAGCTTCAATATGCTGAATGATGGTGTCAAGCATTACTACATGGAGCTGACACAGATGTCTACTCTATGGGGCAGCCCGATTGGCCGAGCCTCTTGGCTCTATTTGCTTGTGAAGGATATACCTATCCTGAATCGCCAGATTGTACAGTTCCTAAAATGGCTACGAAAACATGTGAACCAGAGGACCAAGGTAGGGCTACTGCCAATTCGTATCCGTCCTGTCTCTTCTAACTAGATGGCAGAACGAGCCGCACATCCCAGACTTGTTCTCTTGGCTCCTTGGTGCCTACAAAGAACAATCAGTCCATACCAAGCAAGACGATCTCAACCTCTTGGGTGATGCCCACCTTATTGTGGTTGCAGGGAGGTATGACTTTAAATTCGGCTATGATAATAGTTGACTGATTTATTTGCATAGCGACACTACTTCCACGACCATGACATGTGCCCTGTTTGAGCTGGCCCGCCATCCTCAGGTCTATCAGAAGTTACAGAATGAAGTCGACGAGTTCATGAAACAAGGGGAATCGCCTCATAGCCACAGTGCTCTTGCCAAACTCAAATACCTTCAAGCTATCATCGATGAGACTATGCGGCTGTACCCAGCTATTCCATCAGGCCTGCAGAGAATCACACCCCCGCAGGGTCTGCAAATCGACGGAACATTTATCCCGGGGAACACGATTATTCAGACACCGACATATACATTGAACCGGGGTAAGCTGTGCCCCAAAATGCCTAAAGATATAACTGACCAGAATAGACGAACGATGCTTTGTGCGACCCAACGACTTCATTCCTGAGCGGTGGACAACACAACCCGACCTTGTCCGAGATGCTTCAGCATTTGCCCCTTTCTCAATCGGTAAGTCCGGCACCTACCTGACCGGATCATAGATTCTCTAACATTATTCGAAGGCCGTTATTCCTGTGCTGGGAAGCAGCTTGGGCTTCTTGAAGTTCGGCATGTTCTGACCCAAATTGTTTCCAAGTTTGATATTCGCCTTGCACCCAACCAAACAGTTGAGGCGTTCCAAGAAGGGCTAGCAGACGGGTTCACACTTCTCTGCCCCAAGTTGGAAATGGTTTTTGAAGCACGGGTCAGTTAATTTGGAGGATGAGTCGAACACCATTTTATAATTATGAGTTTAAATGTTATCCAAATCCCAGTTATACTCCCCAACAGTAGCATCGTAGCTCCACCTTTGATCATCCTCGCCACCTTGTGAAGGGACAGAGATCGTGCCCTCCGTGAACCTGCTGTGGTCATGAGATGGAGTTCGGCTTCGAGATAGGTAACCTAATGAGTTGGTCTGAAGGGGCAAAGGATGAACTGTGACAGGCAAACTGGTTTGCGGAGACTTGGGCACGTCATGTACGAGTGCAGGAAAATGATAGAAGAAATCGGAATGCATGGTCCAGCAGCCGAGATTGGAGATCGTATCCCTGAATAAGGATGAAAGGCCATACCTGCCCAGCCCTACGTTGAGGGAATACACATCGCGGAACTCGTATGGCCAAGTGATACGAAGATGTTCTTTGAACATGTGCCAGAACAAGTTGCTACAGTATCGATGCGGGTATCGCGAAAATTGCTGCCGAAAAGACGGCCTGTTAAGAGACGTAAGCTCTCGAAGATGGGTTTAACGAAGGGTAATTCGATCTTACCAGGCAAAGTAGTCAACAGCTGGATGGCCAGAGACATCCTGTGATGACGTACTTGAGTAGGCCAGTTAGTCAAGAAGCAATTTAAGCTGAAAGAGACACAAAGACTCACGATTTCATATACCATCGTGGTAGAATGGTACTGATATTGGCCGATGTTGGGTTAGCGTAGGCGCGCATGTACCGGTGAACCATGTGGATCACGGCAAGACGCTCGACCTGGCCGCAAGCAGAAAAGCAAATCTCATCGAGGTGCCGAATCCTCCTCCAAAGTGGTGTCATCCTCCCTGATTTCTCCAGATGGTCCCAACCATAAAGTACAACGCGTACTGGAATGTCTTCGCTAGCTTCGTACTCTAAATCAAGCATCGAGGTTGATAGGTTACCAGGGGGTCCTTTCAAGACCTGATTGCCCGCTTGCCATATATTACGGCTGACTACCGAACCGTCCGAGAGGCGCCTTGTCTCTGAAGAAGTGCAATCGCAGGGCGACGACGTTGCTGAAGTCTTCTCATCGGCGGCGTGACCATACGATGCACTGTACGTTGCAGAGTCAAGATTCATACAGGCCTGACCGCCTTCCAATGCCATATCACCCGGGAGGATCCCGGTGAAGTCGGGCGAAAACAAACTAAGCTCATTGCCAGCCGGAGGTGTCTCCAGCAAGTCCGGCAGCAATGCCGGAGATTCCCTGCAGACAGAACCCGACACGCTTGTTTGCTTTTCTTGAGGTTGTTCTTGGGGTGTAGTGCTACTCTCCCACTTTTTAGCTTCGGAGAGGCGCCTAGTAAAGGACAGAGACGTAGAATCGAGAAAGCGAACCAGGGAGTCACGCTGTTTGGTCACCTCGGACAGCTGAGCCATCAAGGACAAGGTTTTATCGTGATCATCTCCGCTACTCAGCTTCTGTACAAGGTCCTCGAGATATGCAATGCGACTCTTGGTCCTCTCGCGCGAGACGCGCTGGGCCTTGCGGTCAGACTCCCTCTTCTTGAGCCTTTGGGAGTCGACAGTGGGCGACCGAGCCTGTCTACAGGTGGCAGGGGTGTTTGCGGACATGGCGGAATTTGAAATGGTTTGGGTTCCACTGGCTAAGGAGTCCAGGGAAGTCGGCCCATCTTATGCCTCGGGTCTGTGTCTGGGGTAATGAGGGGCTGGCTCGCCGGCATTTCTTGATTGGGCTTAGTCCTCACACAATAGAGTTTCATATTAAACGTTAAATATTCATCTAATACAGAATCGTTGTAGGGACTCTTATTAGTACGTTCTATTGATGGTCGGTGCTCCCTGATTGAAGAGAAAATGATTCAATCAGAAGCAGTCACCTCAGAAATGCGAGGTTATCGGCTCTGTCGCGTTGAGGGAGCAATACCCATGGGATCTGGTAGTCCCCACAGCGGCTGATTCCAAGGGTGTCTACTGGTCCTGGTCCAAATTAGAAAGGGATACGGCTCGCGAATGAGCATACTAACCAAATGTAGTATACACTGAGCTGTCCAATCATCATCGAGAAACTCCAAACCCAGCTGCATGGACAAGCTTAAACAATCACCATAGTGTCGTCGAATTATCTACTTAAGGGGTCATCTTTCTACCTGTTTTTCCCTTCTTTGTCTATCGTCCTCTCATCTTTAACTGTCATCAAAATGCCTTCCGCTTTCAATTTCCAGTCAGAGACATCTGCTGTTCTGGGTGATCAAGATCATTCTCTTGTAACCTTGGAGCATTATGGCCTGCAGCCACTCTCTGCAAAACAAAAGCTTACGCCTTTGGACATGAATATGCCCAGGCTGTATGGAATCCGCTTGATTCTTTGCTTTGCGACAAAACCTGGCGTGGAAAAGCAGCAGATGTAAGTCTTGGGTATGTCATAGTGCCAAACGAAAGACTGACGGAAACAGATATGAGAACTTAAAGAAGGGCTTAGCTCACACTGTCACTTCAATTCCTTGGATATCGGGACTTATTGTAAGTATTGAAATAATATTTAGTGTTATAGTTGCTAATTTCATTGTCTTGATCAGGGTCCAGAAGAAGCACAAGATCCCAAGGCCCGAAAGGTGCAGATTCTCGACTCGCCAGGTGGATTCAGGTTCCCGTACGTGTTAACTTCATAGAAAAATCATAAAAACGCTCACTAACTGATACGCTATGTAGGTACAAGGATCTTACCGATACACTGCCATCTTATGCAGAATTGCGCGAGAGAAACTTTCCCTTGGCAGAGTTCACTACAGCCCAGGTCGGCCCGATTGATGTCATGCCACAGGGACCAGACCAGCCTGTCTTTGCAGCTCAAGCTAACTTTGTCGAAGCTGGCCTTCTGCTAACGGTAGGAGTTCATCACTCTGCATGTGACGCATCGGCCTTGGACGCTATCCTGAGCACATGGTCACACAATACTGCCGTAGCTAGCGGTGGTTCTGGGTCCTTTTCCACGCTTGATGTGCCATCTAACGACCGCAGCCCCTTGATGGAAGGCGATCTCGACAACGTCGACGTGGCTGCTTTTCCTGAGTACGTTCTGATGCCTACTCCTCACTCTACGGAGGGTGATCTGTCAAGCATGTCTGGATTCCAGCTGCCTCCCCTCTCGAGTCACCTTTTCCACTTCTCGTCAGAGTCTCTTACGAGGCTCAAAGAAGAGGCAGGGGCATTCTCATCTCATGATGCTCTCTGTGCTTTCACATGGCAGCGCATGACCTTGGCACGAATGCATTCCGGAGTGTTTAGTGATCCCCTTGGAAGGGACTCAACATCGCGCTTCTGCTTTGCTGTGAATGTTCGCAGTCGAATGAGCCCTCCGCTGCCACCTTCTTATATGGGCAATGCTTCCATGGGCTGCGTTACTGAGAAAATCAGTGTGGCTTCTATTATATCGAACAATGGGTTGAAGCAAGCTTCGGCCACGATACGAAGGTCCTTGAACGATTTCAACAGACCCAGACGAGTTGCTTGAACTATTGGGCTATTGAAGTCGCGACCAGACCCTACCGACTTCAAGCTGTCATTCAATGGTTTCTTAGGACCAGACGTTGTTGAGTCTTCATGGGCAGACCTTGGCGTTTATGGGCACCAATGGGGCAATGCTGTTGGCACACTGGACGCAGTTCGTACACCAGGTGAAGGCTCAGACGGTACTATGATGATATTGCCCAGATTGAAGGATGGCGGTTTGGATGTTGTTGTTGGGTTGTCGACAGCAGCAATGGAGAAGCTCCTCAAGGATGAAGAATTCGCTTCATTTGCAGACTTTTAAATGACGAATGACTATGTACTAGCATTCTTCTGCGAGTATAGCATCTATCAATCATACTATCTCTTATGTTCTTTTAAATCTTAAGCGTTCAAGATCGTCCGTTCCTTTAAGTGTAGCCCATAGCTTCATACGCAGTCAAAACGAAACACCTCAGGTCTACCAAGGAGTATCTGGCTCTCCGTGTTGCAGAGCGTCTGGGCAATAGGGACACCGCCTTGTGCAAGATATTGAAGCTGCTTGCGTATCCAATTCCTTTGTCCCTGTGGTACTTCCGAAGCACTGCAAGCGACATATAAAGGCCAGACGAGAGAAAACTTCCCATTTTGTACATTCCCAACTTTCTTAACAGTAGAACCTGAGGTCAGCAAAGAGGCGTCCGGCGTTCGGTGGCTGGTGACGAAATGGTGGTTTATCTTGCAGAGATCCTTGCCCAGAAGATAAGGCACAGTTGCGCATATATCATCCACCAATGCAGCCATTCGCTTTCTGATCTGGCTGGTATCTAATGATGCAGTTAGGATAGAGGATGCGCGAAGTTGAATTGAAAGAAGGATAAGCTGCGAGACACGGCAAAAGTTCCATACGCGAGCCGTGTAAAAGTGGGCATATCTGTGGACGCTTTGCGGAGAGTATTCTGAGCATGCATCACTGTTGATATTCAGTGCAGTGGCGTAAGACCAAGCAGTTGGGAGCCCTTTACCCCAAGTGGACAGAAGGAAATCCAACGCATTAGCATCGTAGACTATTCTTTCTATATCGTTCGCCCTGAGTTGTGTAAGATCGATACTTTGGTGTTGAAGCCGTGGTATGCCAGCTGCTATTGAAAGCAGGCGGGTCTCTGGGTCATGAAATGAAGAGGTAAGCCCTTGAGTGAAGATTTCATCAACAGGTTGACAGATCTGCATCTGGCTCATAACCTACTGGAGTAAGTATAAAGCTTCTGGTGCAAGCATAGGAAAACTGTCTCTTACCACGTTCTTCTGGACAAAGAAGTACATGCCGCGGAATAGGGGAGAGTCAACGTGAGTTGTCTGGAGCTTAAGAAGAGCTAGCGCCCCGTCCACATGGGTACCCCATGCCGAAGGCATACACAAATGGCCAGTCATGGTCTAAGACGTGTCAGTACAGAACCCAGAGATTGGTGAACAATGAAGGCTCAGAGTCTGACCTCATACCCACAAAGGAGCAGAACACTATACAACGCTTGGTAATATGGGTCTCGTTCCTCGCTCTGCATTGCTTCCCTCAGGGCTCGAACAGCCTTGAGGTATCTTTTCAATCCCAGTTGGACAGCTTGGGGTATGATTTTCGCAGAAGCGACAAGCGACACTGCCTCCAATGCCAAGCGCAAAGCCGAATCCTGCCTACATGCAGCATGAAGGCGCGGTAGCTGCTCCTGGAGAGAAAGTGTTGGATCATGGATCGATAGAATCTCGACTGTAGAGTGATAAAAGTGACATATGGCGATGTCTTCCTTAGAGGGGAGCAATGGAGGATGAAGGGTGCCGTACTTGAAAGATGTCTCCATAACTAACGAATCGGCGTTCTTCAACCACTTGATTTCCCGACCATGTTTTAATGTCCTGCGCTGCCGGATTTTGTCTTTTGTCTTGGATGTTTCATCTCGAAACAATAGGGTTAATTGATCTCTATAACCAGAGCAGATCTTGCCTAGATCCAAGCATCGCGAACACTGTGGACGTTTTTCATCGCACTTGACGCTGTTAGTATCTGCTTGAACAGGCACTGCCTATGTTGCCTGCCTTTTTATGTGCTTTCCTATGTGAATCTTGTGAGATCCTGTACTTTTGTACAGGGGACGAATTGACCATAGTCAAGCTTACCTGCAGTCTTCACAGGCTTTGCTCGGTATACCGCGGTACACCATTGTAGTAGCGAGCCTGTTGCTAGACAGTGAGAGCTCAAGGCACATGGAAGCGTGCTAAATTGGATTGAGAACAAAGGTCTCTCTCGGACTCCAGAAGTAAAAAGGGGTAGTGGATCTACCTTTTATCTTTATCTTATCTTATCTATGAAGCGAATCCACAAACTACCCTGCATTCCTCTTCAACTCCATGGCACTTTACAGACAGTCCTGTTACGGCAGATGACTTTGAAAAACCCTAAAAACATCAGCAAAACCAGTATCAACAAAATACTGCCCTTTTAGAACGATAACTAAGCCCTGCTTATCTCCTATATTCCGCTAATAGGTGCTGAGCTTGAAAATATAGTATATAAAAACGCGCTAATAAATTACTAAATAGTTAGGGAAAAGCAGAGGGCTAATATATAACCCTGGTTTTTATTTTTAGATAAAATTAAGGCTCTATAAGTTTACCTAAGGCTACCCTCCTTAGAATAGCAATATAATATTAGCTACCCTATAGTAAAACTAGCCTAGTATGTCTTTTTACTTTAATTAGAGGTTAGCAGTTACTTAGACCGTAAGATAGAAATTAATAAACTGTTAAGGCTTGAATAAAATAGCCTATAAATT